TGAACGCGCAAAGCCCTTCCTTTTATGATCTGTGGTTGGGATTTGTGAGGGATGCCGGTAGTTCATCCTGGACCTTGGTCTTAGCGTGTCACAGCCTGTATCCGGATTGCAGGCTCCTTACCCAGGTATTAGGTGCAACGACTGATCCGAACAACCAAAGGCATATGAACATATTGAACCCGATTTTATATTAATGGCATTTACTTTCATGCCATGAGTTCCCAACTACTATTATCAATCACCGTAAAAAGCAGAACTGTTTAGTTTCAAGCTTAGCATGGAGAAAACGAGCGACATTGGGATCGAGGACCCATCCATCCCAAAGGGAGCCTCCCTAGAGGTGAACTCCTTGACGTTGCCTTGCCCACAATTGCCTCTCACTCAAACCCAAAAGGCTAGAAAACACTAAAGCACAAAGATATTGAAACGGCGAGCAACCTTATTCAAAAAGATTCAGAATTTTCATACGGACTGTGGATTTAAAGCATACCTGCTGCTGTGGAATTGTCATTGCTCCTACATTTATAATTCTTGGCGCATTGCCCCGCCGGAATATGCGCAAGTTGTAAGCATACAGTGCCATGCGAGCTGTACAAATAGCTAATTTCTTAGATAGAGAGTTATCCATTGCCAGTTGTATATAACCCAGACGTGCAGAAGAACGGTGACAAAGTTGGGAAATGCTCTCACGATTCACGATGATAGGCGAGGCCAATTCCCTGTAAAATAAATTAAAAAATAACGCTTAAATCAAACAAAAATTAATACAAAGACGTGTTAAAATACCCCGCTATCGACTGTAGCATAATTGCATTCCAGTGTTATTTAGTGGACTTTAAAAACATAGCAAAGTTCGTACATAGTCCGGCAGATCGTTAAATATAATCAAAATAAGAAACCATTGAAGGGATAAGCACATTCTCCCCGGAAGAATCCCTCAGCCTGTTAGCCTAAACACCGCAGCTCTTGTGTAAGACAGCCTAAATCGAGTTATAATACGAGCTTTTATGTCCTGTCCTAAGCTAATAATAGCATAACAAGTAATAGCATATGTAAGCGATTGGCCGGGCTGACCTGTGTTATAAATAATGAATGATCAGCTCTTCCGCTCGCCGACAGATGAGCTGAGGTCATCGTGTTGATAGTGAGCAACGGAGCTGGGGGGTTGTAGCTACTAAATGGTCAAGCAGGCGCAGTCCTGCCCGGGTGCGATATCCCTCCCGTACAAAAATAGTTCTCTGCGGCCAGGCCAGATAGAGGGAATGCATAGACATTATGTTTTGAAGTAGGCTGCGCGCTTCCATTCCTCTACGATATTGTGGTGGGCATGATAGAGGCTGTCATAATCGGCAGCGTGCTGGGCCGCGAGGCATCTGGCAAAGCCAGATCAGTGGCTATAGGGGGTTTTGTCTCGTTTATTCCGGGATATCCCATACACTTAATCGCGCCTATCTGCTCAACCTCCTTCGAAAGGTCTCTGGTGCCATTCGAGACCACGGCCTTGACGCAAGCCACCTGCTCTAAACAGCTCTTGCGGCGCGTTAGCTACTGCAGGAACACACAGAGAGTGGTGGGGGCTGACCACACAACATTGGCCCCTCCATTTGGCGGACCAGCAGGTAGAAGGAAGCTGGTACTCGCCAAGCCCGCGTAGCGCAGGCGTGGGAAGGGGTACGTGATCAGCTTGTAAGCAGGATCTGCAGACTGTAGTAGCGCGCGGCAGTCCTTACCATATCGCCGTCCCCCATTGAATTTCAAAATTTACACCTGCCTATTCCAAAAGGGTTACGTCCGTCAAACTACTCTGCGCAAGATACACCGACATCATGGACATCTTGAAAGCGATTTTTATTGCCGGGTTCGCGTGTATTGCTGATATACTCTGGTAAGCCTGTCTTATGTTCAAGCTTACTTTAAACTGGCATAGCCCAATGCGGACCAGTCCTGACAGGAGCGAGAGGTCAGGACGAACACACAAACGATGACAGCGGACTGGCCGGACTTAAAATATAGCATGGGCTTATAACGTGATTTGGTGGGATGGCCGAAGGGGGTCTCTGGCGGAAACGGGGCTATATGCCACGCCAAGGCCAGCCTGCCTCTCACCTTGTCAGCTCATGCAAGAGAGACGCCCGCTGCAACATTCACGTCCAGTAGCGGTTGGTAAAAAGGCGTGCAGGGCACCAGATGGTCAGCAGTCTGAGAAAGTGGCGCGGGCATACAGACCAAGATCGGCGATCTGCTACTGTTGTCGCAAGGCATTCTGCGCGTCAGGCTGTCTGTAGGGCCGTCGCCAATCCTGCCACCCAATACCGACACATGCCCACATGATAATCCTTATGGTTCAGGTTGGCCGTATGGCGCAATGGTCAAATGCGTCTGGTTGTGTTCTCGTTTGTGCGGTGGGCGACGAGAACAAGTGGGTTCGAATCCTGCTATGGCCTCCTTCTGACCCGGCTTGTGCGAGTCAACAACCAGCACACGACAGTGGAGAGGCCCCGTTATCGCAGAGGCCGATAACCAAGCAGCTTGTCTCCATAACACCCACTCCTGCGAGATTTTTCCCCTTGTGATTTCCCTCGCCAGCAGATAACAAACACCTACTTCACCCACCAATGCGACATATATCGAACGGCTACTGGAATGATGTGTATACCAGAGGATTGAGGTTCACTGGGTCGCTTTGTCATTGGATAGGAGGTTTTTCTGACGGAATCGTGCTTGGGTATTGACTAAAACCATCTGGAGACTCCAGATTAAGTAACAAACATGATACTCTAATGGCCATCTGAGTCCGTCTTAAGATCAAGGAAGTCGATAGACAGGATGCTATCTGGCTTGGTTGACGGTCGCCTAGGTGTTCTGTATGTCTGTTTCTTGATTTTGGCCTTGCCACACCCGTCACACTGAGCAGTAGAGGGACCCTTGATTCTCACTCCTCTAGCATGCTTTGTAATCTGGGCAATTACTTTAGGGTCAGGATGCCCTAGCCGCCAGTGCCAGAGGTTCTCGTCACTCTTGTTTAGAGCTCTTTCTGTTCTGGAGTTGATCATCCTCTTCTGCAGGGCAAAAAACGCTTTGGTTTCGCCTAGGGGTATGTCCTCCATGACCCATTGTCCAAACTTATCCGTGAGTTTGAACACCACTGAATCATCCTTTTGTCTGACAAAGTTGTTAAATGATTTGTTGTCCCAGTAATATCCAAGCTTCTTGAGTTGCTGTAAAGATACAAGATTTGTCGTGAATCCTTCACAGAAGGTGACATTCTGTAGCGTCAAGATGAATGGTCCTAGTGAGTCATGAGCAGTGATGTCTACTTTTCCGTATCCTAGGATTGGTATGAAGGTGTCTCCTGCATATACTCCATCATCTATTGGGGCTTTGGGAAAGTTGTTGAAGCGAGTGATAACGTTAAAAATATGTAAGGTTGCGCCAGAGTCGAGGATTGACGAGTTGAGTAAGGGGTAAGGGGTGGTTGCATAAGAGGACTTTGTGTTATTTGTTAGATAGGATACTGCTGTCTTCTTTGCGTGTGTTGGCACATGTTATATTCTCTCACCCCTTTCCACGAGTCAATCACGCGGTGTCTGTCTCTTGGAAATTTGTGCCACTTTCTCAGATAGATTGTTGTCCCTTTTAAGCAATATTTTGACCATTTGCTCCACATTGTGATGGACTTTCTATCCATTTAGTCGCTTGTTTAGGAAGAGGTAAAAGCACTCTGTGAAGTGGTGCCCTTTATAATAACATCCCTTACATGCTTAAATGGTTAAGGGAGCTTCTTTATTATCTTGGCCCCTTTTACTAGAAGTTCCCTGACTTCCTCCTCTAAAACCTCCTTTTGATCCACCTCTTGAGCCCCCTTGCTGTCTCTGGTTGTTGTTTCCTCCACCGCGGCCTCTGCCTCTTGTGTCTGATTGTTGTTGAGGATGCTCCTTTTCTCTCTTGTTTTTAATTGAGTCTCTTGTTGAGTCTCCTATATCGTCTGGTTGTTCTCTATGAAGGGCTGGGAAACCCGTTTTCTATCCCTTCTAAGGATTGGTAATGGCGCGCGTTGTTATCCAGTCGTCGTGGAGGTCAGAGGCTATCTAGGAGTATGAAATACTGCCTTCAAGCACTCCTTCCTTCTTGTTTGCCCTGGCTTGAGAAGACCAATTGGAGTTCATCAAGGCGACAGCAACTATGAAGTCATTAAACCAGGTTGCTGGAGATAGAGCTTCAGGGACCCTGGCTTTCATAGCCCTGGCCATAACCAACTTCCACTCTTTAATCCAGCTGATAAAATCTTTCTTTTTCTTTTTTTGTACCACCTTGTTGACCGTTGATATAATGGCACGGTAGTCGACTTGGGCCTGGTGCATGATGTTCTTACTGTAGATGGCTCCTTCAGTTGCGAGCTCTTGGTACCACTGACGGAGGTTTCGTTCGGGGAGTAGTTTGGTCTCATGTATGGTAGGATCGACGGTTTCGAGAGTCCACTTGGTGAGTTCGGATATGGAGGCCTTGGTTTGCTGATAGATCTTGTCTTCGTGCGCTCCTTCGATTACCAGGTATCGGAGTTGTCGCCAAAAAGGGCGTGCTGCTTACATAATCCATATATGCCCCTCACTCATCGCTTCTTCTGTCAGGGGTAGTCTACCTTACATACTGCGCCATCTTCCTTTCATCAACAAGGTTTTGACCGCTCAACGGACATCGTCTTGCACCCATTCTTGAACCATGCGTAAACACAGGGCGGGGAGAACAAAGAAGTCACCATACACACGTCGTGTTTCTTTGATTCCAAGAAGAAGTGCTTCCGCTCAAACGTGTCGATCTCTGTTGACCCGAGCACCGGCCTCGTGACCAAAACGTACGAGCGCGACCAACCCCTATCGCAGCATGACGCGTCGGACGCTCACACGATCGATCTCCGGGGCCTCACAGTCCTACCAGGGCTCGTTGATGCCCATACGCATGTGTTCCTACACCCATACTCGGAGACACCGTCTCTGAACCAAATGCGCGATGAGAGCCTGGTGGAGCGGGTTGTGCGAGCCACCAACCACGCCAAGAGTGCCTTGATGGCTGGGTACACCACCTACCGCGACCTGGGCACCGAGGGTTTGCGAGACGCGGATGTCAGTTTCAGAGACACCATCAATCGCAGCATCATACCTGGTCCCCGCATGTTCGTCGCGACCGAGACCATCGCGTCAAGTAGCGGGTACGAGATCAGGCAGGAGAACGGCATGCCGGGCGTGGACACCACTATCCCGAGGATATCCGATTCCGCCGATGGCGTCGACGGCGTCCGGACAGCCGTGCGCAGGCGACTCGGTGCGGGCGCCGACATAGTCAAGTTCTACGCGACTACCGGAAACGGCGGCTGCGGTTTCCCGCGCCGGCATGGCAAGGAGCGCGGGAGATCATGTTCCCGCCGTCGGCTGACCCTTTCACTGGAGATCAGAACCCCAATCTGCTCCTCTTCACGCAGGAGGAGATGGACGCGATGGTTTCGGAGGCGAAGAGGGGACATGCTCCCATTTCTGCCCATGCCCAAAGCCCCGAGGGCGTGATCATGGCTGCGAAGGCAGGTGTCACGACTATCGAGCATGGCTTCATTCCCAGCGACGAGGCATTAGACGCGATGAAAGAGAACAACACCATTTTCGTGCCAACGCTGGCCGTGCTCGAGACGGAGTTACGTCCAGAACCAGAGAGCCGTACTCCGAACGACGTGCTCAAAAAATTTCTCGACCACACGAAGGCAGCCTACGACAGAGGCATCAAACTTGCCTGTGGCGGCGACACTGGTGCTTTTGCCCATGGGGACAATGCGCGCGAGCTGGAGCTGATGATCGAAGCTGGGTTGCCTCTCGAGGACGTCTTGCAGGCGGCAACGTTGCACGGCTGGGAGGCTTGCGGGGGCGACCTTTGCGGCAGGAAATTTGGCTGCATAGAAGAGGGCCGCGCTGCTGATATCGTCGCTCTGGGTGGCAACTTGGCGGAGGATCTCGGCGCGTTGAGGAAGGTGAAGTTCGTGATGAAGGATGGAACGGTGTACAAAGAAGAGCGTACACAAGGATTCGATATACATACACGAAGTGGCTTGATGCCCAGGAAATGATGAAAGGTCAACGTATCACTTGAGTAGCTGATACAGCATACAACTGCCTCTATCACGCGATGTTGCGTCGGATACCACTTTGATGTCTCTCATTTATACTATATAGAGATCTCAATTAAAAGAAATGTACACTATTACCAGGGTTCGCCCAGATGCCCAATTGGCGCCGCATTTGCTCCATCACGTCCTCGTACGTAAACCTTTCCTCCTCCAAGAGATGAGTCAACTCGACCAGCGCCAAAGCCGCGCATTGCATGATGGCCACCATGCCCTCAATCCGGGCCAGAGTCTTTGGGAGACCCTCGTCAGTAGTGCGGATGTGCCCCTTGGCAATATCGGCCAGACGGTCATTGACGTGGGTGAATTCGCGCGTGGCCATCGTCATGGCAGTCTCGATCTGAATGAACAGCCCGTTCCAGAGCTTATGCCCGACGTCGTCCCCCATGAGCCCGAACGCTTCGATGATGTCCAATATTGCGACTTTGTCCTCTTTCAGGATACGAAGATTGTCCGCGACCTTTGTCTGCCTGTACTCCAGGAGCGGGAGCGTGTACTTCAGGATCCTCTTCCTGATCAATGCCTGGGCGCTGGCTCTATCTCTGGTGTCGTCATGTCGGTGGCTACTGCCCCGTGCATCCGAACTAGCATGGTCATCGTGTTGGCGCCGAGCATCTGGGTTACCCAGAATCTCGTATGCTTCCTTTATCTTGACGAATCTGGCAGTTGCCGTTGATGTGGAACCGGCTTTGTCTGGGTGGTTGGTCAAACAGAGTTCCCTGTATGCCTTTCTGATTTCGACGGTACTGGCGCTTCTAGAGACACCCAGGGTCTCGTACAAGTTGTGGGCTGGGAACGTTGTTCGACTCATAATGGCTTTCTGCTTTTCTTGCTGTGGTATTCAGATTGTATGGTGATCCGAATCTGGAACACGTCCTTGGTTATCCTTGTATTTATCTTCAATCTCCTCTTCCTAAGTGTATGTGCGTAGGTCCATTGAGACCGTACCCAGTGAAAGGTTCTTTGTTCGTAACGTCTTTGAAAATGAGATTTGTCCCTCGGACGGGGACAAAGCTTACTGCAACCCCGCAAGCTGATCGAATCACATTGTTGTTGTGTAAAGACCTTTCTTTGTCCAATTTTGTTAGGTTCACAATAGTACCCGTAGAGCAAGAGTATGGCCTGTAGTGCTGCTCCGGTAGAGCTTGAGGCCGAGTCACATTTATCGTCACAGTATCACGCCACAATATAGTCTTCACTTTACGTTGAACTCAGACACGAATGGGCACAACACATGATCGAAAAATCGATGGATTGGCAGACAAGATAGGTCCAACGGGCTTGATCGTATGCTATGAAGACGACATAATCGTTCATCATGCCGCGCTCTTGAGCGGCTCCCCAATGTTCTGACATCCACTGATAACCCACCGATCATCGCGCTTGAGTAGCGAGAAGATATTAAATCCCTCGTGGGACTTCCTGCCACCGGCCTCGATAACGAAAGGCGCCCACACAAACCCGAGGTCGCCACACGTCCGCGCCTCAATATCGTGGAGTTTCTCTTCGAATGTTGTTCCCGGCGGAAGCTGGTCGAGAATGCCCTGGAGACGAACAATGGATTGCTCCAAATTCGTGACCTGGTATTCGGCAGGCGGTCGAGACTGCAACGATGCACCGCCGTCCAGAAACCACTGTGACAATGCGGGCCAGTCCGGCTTACTGAAGGCGGACAACAAGGCGTCGATTGGTGCCATGAGACCTGGCGTTTCGGTGAGATTGGAGGACAAGCTGGGCGTCGGAGTCCCTGCTTCCCACAGTGTCTCTGCCACTCCGCAGATCTTCCAATCATCCTTCACTTTTAGCAGAGATAACAGCATGACGCTGCTCTTCACTTCATTTCCGTCTTTCATTAGGCGACTGCCTGTCCACACCGCCGCTAGATCACCAGCGACCCATACTGCCTGCGCCGGCTCCCTGAGTGTTTCAGTTGACACTGAGCCTGCACTTGCTGATATGGGTTTGGTCGTTCCCGGGCTGTTCAGATGGTCTTTGACAGTCGATATCACTAGGCCGTCTGGCTTCGATAGCACGCAGTGGCAGTCTTGTAAGAAGTACTTGTGAGCTTCGGTGGAACGCTTCTCACTGTCGACGATGGTGGCCAGGAATGAGCCGACCGTGTCGGTGATCCGACCCTTCTCCAAATCCTCAGTTGTAGCCATGTTGAATTGAGTAGCGAAATAAGTGCTTTTATGGAGGTATGTGTATTGGTTGACTGTGGTTCTTTGGTGACGATGAGCATGTGGAGTTGCTCGTTATGTTGAGGTTGTGAGGGGGTCTGGAGGAGTCTTTATAAGCTCACGACAATCAAGGGAAAGCAACCGGGCCACTTGCAACGACCCTGGACCAAGGATGCCCTGAGAGCTCGGAGTCCTCGGACTCTCGAAGCGCCCCCTCACTTATTCCACACGGATGCATTAGTGCTGACAGCGGAATCCTCTTACCCGTTGCTGGCTTCTCTGCCAGTAGCCTATTTAATAACACTGTCTCAAAGGGGAAACCTTACTTAAAACAACAAAGTGTCAAAAGAAGTCCTCGGAATCCTATGCTACGAGGACTCCGAAAATCTTTTCTCGGAGATCCTTCCTTTGGGTTCTTCCTTCAGGAGGGCTTAACGGGAAAATGAAGGGAGCCGGTCTGAGGTATACCAGGAACATTATGATAACATGCCTATAACTGGCGCGGGCCTCCGCTCCTCGCCCCCTTTCCTCTGGACGTCGCCCACAAGCCAGAGATCGTAGCCGCGCAGCAAGTCAATCAGCCGCGCCTTGACCTCGGCGACTGCGAAGAGCCATCCGGACACGCGTGCGGCCCGTGGCCGGAGGTCAGCGAGTCGAGCGACGTCGCGACGACCTCATGGCTGGAAACCCCAGGAGTCCTTTCAGGCTTTTCGTACGCCGCCACCCATTCAGACCGTAAATCACCCTTTCCAATGGTATGAAATCATAGTGCATGGGGCGCAATCAATAGTACTTGACTACCTACCTATCTCATGTCGAAGGCACCTCGTTTTCTATGGCGTTGAACCGAGGCCACCCTATGCAAGCCTTAAACAAGCCCCTATATTGCCTCGCCATGATTCGGCCTATCAGAGCAACCACCTTTCGCCCGAGACCAGATTTTTGATTGCTATACTATAACGCAATGATATTCAGATATGCCAAGTCAATCGTTCTTCCGTTTGGTCACATCCCGCCCCCATCGATATTACAAGTCTGCTACCCAGGGACCGGCAGTCGAGCAGCAGGAGTCTTCTCCGCCCGGTACAGGTTCTCTGATTCCCTTATATAAGGTTTGAAACAGTGGCCCCGTGTGGTACACCATCTATCAATCGTCCATCCTCCACATAACACCTCGACCCATGCCGACCATGTACCGGAGCAGTCTTCTCGGCTTCGCCGCGCTGGCCAGTGCCGCGCCCCAGGGCGGCTTCGATAGCACCCTCACCATGCTGAGGTTCGGTTGCGCCCAGGTCGTCATCGACCGTCTCGATCCCCTTGTCAACCCCGGTGTCATTCCCTCTCCGCATGTTCACCAGATCGTGGGTGGCAATGGATTCAACGCTTCGATGACGACCGGCGATGTTTCCGCTACCGCCTCCTGCACGACATGTGCGTTCTCCGAGGACTTCTCGAACTACTGGACAGCGAACATGTACTTCAAGGCCCGCAACGGCACCTACAAGCGAGTTCCTCAGCTCGGCGCGGCGTACGTATTGCGCTTGTTCTTATCCGGACCCAGGGTTCTCTGGGTATACTCATCCGCAACAGCTAACACGCCGCTCCTGTACAGGCTCCAGTTCGGTGACAATTTCAGTACCGAGATCTCAGGTGGTGTGCTGGTCTACTACGTCTCCGCTCAGCCGGGCGAAATCACCGCTTTCCAGCCGGTCAGTGATACTCAAGTTGGAGGTGCTCACACGAAGACGACTGATCCGGACGTCTAGGGTTTCCGCATGCTCGTCGGTGACCCGACCAAGCGTACGGCCGACACGAACCTGAAACTGCAGAACTGCTACCGCTGCTACACCGGTCCCAACTTCGGTGGCGATGTTAACGCACCTTGCCAGGACGACAGGTTTGTGTCTCATGTTCAATTTTCTGAGGGCCTAGATAATAATGATACACAGCATTGACACTCAGGGTCTGCCCAACAAGCAATGCGCGGGCGGTATCCGATCTAACCTTCTGTTTCCCACGTAAGCTCCCCATTGCGAGTGACGTACCTGCAAGAGGAGAATACTGACGACTCATCTACTCCCAGCTGCTGGGACGGCAAGAACCTCGACAGCCCGAACCACCAAGCCCACGTCGCCTACCCAACAACGGGACCAGCCGCGTTTCTCAGTCTGGGCGGCGCCTGCTCGTCGACGCACCCGGTCCGGATCCCACAGTTGATGTACGAGGTGGTCTGGGACACGACCCAGTTCAACGACGAGTCGATCTGGCCAGCCGACGGGTCGCAGCCATTCTATTTAAGCTATGGCGACAACACCGGGTACGGACAGCACGGCGATTACGTGTTCGGCTGGAAGGACGACGCACTCCAGAAGGCCATGGATACGTCGGGCTGCATGGGAGCCACGTGCTCCACGCTCAAGAACCAGGTCATCGCCGACGCCAAGCAGTGCTCCGTCAAGACCGTCGTCCAGGAGGACCACGAGGGCTGTGAGTTGGGCACTTTAATATGTGGGAAACACGTACTGACCAATTGCAGGGCTCACTGAACTGCCGGGCGCGGACACGGCTATGCCCATGTAGCAAGTCCCGATGATGGAATAGATGTCAGTGGATGGCAGAGTGTTCATGGCGTCCCTGATTCTACTGGCTGTCTCCTAAACATGGATAATGATTGGCTGTCTCTGTAATATCCGGACTTTGGATGTACATTGGGGATTAGCCTTAATATGGCGAGACCACTCCTGCTATTGGTCTTCATGCAACCTGGAATACATTGCCCCGGCAGTTATTCGAGCTCTCGTGGATCTTGGGTTTGAGCGGATTCTGGTTGGTGATAGGCCTGGAGACTTGGTGTGTAAACCTGTACTTGGTACAGAAGCCTACCAGACCGGCGATGCCCTCGTTCATAGCCTTGCCCTTTCTAGCTACAACCTACAAGGGGAACCTATTTACGTAGCCTGCACCACAATGAGACCCTGCATTGGTGTAAAAGTATACCAAATTTTGTTACGCATATAATCAAGTAGCTCATGGTCTTTGGCGTCTTATGATTGAATGAAATTGCTACCAATCTAATTACGCATCTACGCCTGCTACATGTATGGCCTTCTCCATCATGTACCGAATCCCCTTCCCTCTGTGACCAAAAGACCAATAGTTTCGATCGCTGTTCTCGCCCGCTTGATCAGTCCATCTTCTAAACTGTGAGGCAGCTGCGTAATTAGTTTGATTGTAAGAAGGGGTCAGGGAAGTGTCGCGCGGGCAGTTTGATGACGGCGCCAGCAGAGTCGGTTTCGTATGGATTTTTTTCTACCAGCTAGTATCCATGACAAGATGCATCGCAGCACGCCTTAATACAACAACAGCCTTGCTGTTTCTCTTGAAATACCCCGATCCGGCCGCGCGAGATGGTAACGTTATAAGCCTCGAGTTGCTCCTGCGAGCCCTGCACCTTGACCTCGCCGTCGGCCAGCATCCCGGGAGTGGACGATGAGAAATATGAGAGGCTCGGAGCATGGGCCAGGTCGATGTGTCTTGTCGTACTCCAAGCATACAACCAAATGACGTGCTTGACACGATGCCATGATTGAGACTTCGCAACTAGAATGTTGTGGTGCTCCTCTGGCCCCGTGTTCCCAGTTACCCCCTTTTCCTCTTCAAGTTCTTCGGTTTTGGTAATTCGGGGTCGTTCGCATCCACATGGAGCCTGAATTCCTCCACACATGCGCCGGAGCACCACCTATAATATTTCGCCGTTAGGTTGCGAATCTCTACCCCGTGGCCACAGGAGCCCCATCCGCGGCTGACGGCTACCACGGCTGTGCAAGTAATGTCAGCCTTACCCGTCATATATCGCGGGAAGTGCACGCATTGATGCAGTACACAGATGGAGGCGTTAACGCAGAACCTAATGGCCCTGATGCAAAATGGGATATGCATCGTGTGCTTTCAATCACGGCAGTGTCGCAGATAGATAAACTAGTTGTACTCACGATCGCATTATTCTTCTCTCTCCCCAGGGTCATACCATACCCTGCACCAGCGGCAGTGTATATCCCGAAGTTCTCTCCAGCACATCGTTGTGAATGGTGAGAGGTAGTTTGGCTTTTCGGTAGCTGATCGGTAAGGTGGTTGTTGGTGCGCTTGATGGTTGATGGAGGAGTGAATCTTCTGCTCGATAAGAAAGTCGATCCGTAGAGAGCATATAAGGTATTGAATTGGTTGGGGACTGTGAGATCCGAATCCAAGAAATCTTGAGGGCCATGTAGGACTATTTATGCTTTTTCTTTCAGGTGTCCCTGGGTTCCGGCTGCGAAGTCATAGCAATAGCTGGAGATGACGATTTCCACCCGCTGTGACGGACTTGTCCTTCTGGGATTCATGAGCTCGGAAGAATATTGCTCCCATGACTCACTGAGTGGATCATTCATACACAAACATCATGGATTGAAAGGCACAAATTAGTCTGTGACATGGCAGCGGTGACAACAGCCTTTGTCCCTGCTCACGTGGCTCTTCCAACTGGGACGACTTGAATAGTTGCCTTTAGACGACATCGACTCAGGTAATTGTTGCATCACGGCTTCTACCACCGGGAATTTAAGTATAAGGAACCTCTTTGTACACATGCAGATGGGATAATTGTATCTGCCCCCTGTTCAATATTGCTTACAACTGCCTTCCGAAACAAAGGCCGGGCAACATGTTTGCCTTAACCTTATACCTTACGACGAATACTACGGTGCTAGCAAGTACCCTAACAAGGCTTTGTGTAAGCCTTGTCTATCTATTCCTTCAGCCTTCTACGATCGGGTGTTGTTGCTATCGAGACCTGGTGCTCGAGGACAACACAGGCATCTTTGCAATAAAAATCACTCGGCAGGTCCCGGTGTACCAGAGGTTTGTGGACTTCACCGACTACTTCCTCTCGAGGATAGTAATTAGAGGATAACACGATAAAAGGCCCCTCATAATACCCTCGATACACTGCACGGAAGATGTATTCCGACGAGGCTTGTCAAGAAATTTGACGGACTTACAAGCTCGAAGCAGTCCATAGAAAGCAGTCAGGTAGACGCACTCTTTGAACTCGTCGTTGTCTCTTATCTCACCTCAAGTTATTTCGTACACTGAGTTCGGTAGCACCATCACATGATGTCCTACCGCCACCAGCAATTTGAAAGTCCTAATCCGCTGTGGGTGAGCACCTCGACATCTGTTGCGTGGTCACGTGACCCACTTGGGCTGGCATATTGCCCACATCCACTGCAGCTGCGCACCACCTCCAGACCTTTAACAACAACAGCACCAATACAGCAGATATGCAACCTTTTGGCCTTCTTGCTGTGCAACAACATCTCAGCGTCGTCGGAGCCTTGGCATTCCTGTATCGACCACTATAAGACATGTTCGATGATGCGCACCAGTGTTCGCCACGAATGGAATAGTGCTGTTTACCTAATTTTAGATAGATGGATGTCTTGAATTGACATGAGCTCCCCCATCAAAACAGGTCAATTGAGTGGCCAATCAAGATCACGAATTGAGTAAGAACATAGAGAGTTGGTGTCTGACTCAAATGGTTTAATTGAATTCTGTGTGTGAAGGAATGCTTTGGAGGTCCATACTCAAGGATGGTGTATCCACCACCCCCGCCCAGGCTTTGGAAAATTTGACGGCACATATCATTCACAATCATGCCATATCATTCACAATCATGCGACGAGACGCCATTGTCGGCTTGCTGTTCAGCAGTATCACATTCACTGTATGAGCCCCATAATATTCAACTCGGCTGCTTGACCACTTGGAAATCTCACCGTCAATCTTAGTGCTAGGACACATCAGCAGGACCTCCCGCCTGTCATCAACAAGTCAACATTCGCAGCTGTGCTGCCAGGACTATATATCGAAGAGGTGGTAGAGTGTGTGGAAGCAGTCGTTTTCCCTACGTACGCGGCAGTCTGCGACTCATTCTCACGATATGCCTCAGCAGTAAGTAGTGAATACCCCTTTCTTCCTCCTCACAGCTTCTAGACGAGGGGTCATGCGCCGCTTCTGTGGACCAAACCTGAACAGTCTCTGATGGCGACCATCACTCCTACCAGTTTGTAATTCGGGGCATTTCTGACCCCGAGTGATGCAGTGATCATGCTTTGGCGTGACTCCTCAGAGTACAGAAAATGTACCCCTCTCGACGACAATCACCCTCGCAGCCACCACCTCGTCGATGGAGACATCCAGTACACCCATATCATCGACAGGACCATTTAGCACACTAACCCCGTCAACGGGGACATCCAGCACATCTCCTTCAAGTGAAAATGCATCTGGAACGAGATCTTCGATTCTTGCTGCCGCGCCACAGACTTCTTCCGAGGTGTCGAGTAGTGAGCAAGCCCCTGGACACTCGTCACAACGGACAACGTTGATATCAACATTCCCGTCATCAAGTCTATCACAACCCATCCCCAACGCGGCGGGAACAACGCCCTCCTTTACAACAGACAACGTGCCTGTCATTCTGACCATCGTCCCCGACATTCCGCAGGCCGTTCCAAGACGAATCTGAGACTTTCACAAACGCCAGTATTCCGAGGGATTCGTCAGTACGATGGCCTGCAAGCTAGCTGCAGTGACGGGACGACTTTCAACATCAATTCGTGGCCACGGAACCAGGACAGCCGTTCGTGGAGCTCTTACCCATATCAGGTGGCAATATCACATCTACGTTCCTCGTTATCGACAATCTTCTTCATTGGCAAAATGGCGGTTTCTATCAGGGCGAGCCCGGCTTTTGCCAGATCCCTTCGAGCCGGATTTATGCTACACTCCCCGGCCATAAGTCTCCGAACATCCCTGTTTTACACCAAAACACCCCAACTTTACGCGATCGTGATAAATCGAGTAAAATAGATACAACTTAAGTACTTATAATACATATGGTTAAGTTTACTGGAATATTAAAATGGTTTATTTAAAAACTTTGACATCTTAAAGATAAAGGCCGTAAATGTTACTTTATTAAAGGTTAGATTTTCGATAAAAATAACTTTCTAACATATCTATATTTTTAAAAATCTATCACATAAGGTTTTTCGTCTTATACGTGTATTACATGTCATTTGATATATTATATAACTGTATCACGACTTATACGATTTTTAAACATTTCTTATAGCTTTATTAAGATTTTATATTTAAGATTTTAAACTTTACTTTTATATATCTATTTCTTAATATTTTAGTCGCTAAGAAAATAAATAATTAGAAACTAGTTACGAAAACTTCAGCATTTTCAAATATTAGTTTCTTATAATATCTCAACTTAAAAAGCCTTAAGTCTTTAGTTATAAAAGCGTAAAGGTAGGGCGTTTTGGTGTAAATGCGGGGATGCTCGGAGACTTATGGCGGGTCAGTGTAGGTTAGAGGGGATAGGGGGCACAGGTCCCATTACCCCTCAAATAGGCCCGGAAGTGCTAAATTCCGACCCCTACCGCGGCCCATCCCGCCGTGATGGACCTAATCAAACCTGGATCATAGAAAACACCAAGAAAAGATGATTCAGGCGCTGTACTTACGGTATATAGGGCTTCATTGGCTGTGGAGATATGTATAAGTGAACATAGTGATGTTGGCTGTGAAAACTGTCCCACATATGGGGGTGTCCCATTTATATGGCCCCGCCGTTACGGCCTTGAGCAGCACCACCAGTGAGAGTCGTACAGCGAGTGAGAGTGCCACTACGAGCGATAGTGTCTTGACGAGCAGCAGCACAATACCGAGTGCCAGCGCCCAACCTTCATCCACCGCAGCTACATCAAGTAATAGTGATGTGCCTAGCAGTAGCGTTCCGCCTTCATCTACCCCGGGTACATTCAGCAGCAGCACAACAGCAGCGGGTAACAGCACCCAGCCTACTTCCACTGCGTCTGCATTACCTAGTGTTGCGGTATTACATAATATCTCCACATATTTATGTACATATATACCTCTAGCTTCCCCTTTCTCTTCCGACCTTGCCTCTTCTTCCTTATATATCGTTGAATCTAGATATTTCATCCCATCAGCCCTGACCAGTGCAGCTGCAGGCCTGATTGTCACACCTAGCAGTGCTGTACCATCCCCCCCATAGAAGTCGGACACCCCCACTAGTCGGCCAGCCAAATTATGGGGTCACCACCAAAACACCCCCTTATTCACCCACCCACGAATGAAGCTATTCAGATCAGAGATTTATGGTAATATTATCATTTGAAAGTGCTGAAGCCGTTTACTCATACAATCGTGCGGGCACCCGAATGACTCGCCCCGAACGGGTGTGCCTAGGTTCCTGTACAGCCTCCAAAACCTCCTCTTCAGCCGAGTCTTTGTCTTCGTCCTCTGAATCCTCTGAATCCATAACTATAATTTCTGCTTTACCCGTAAGGGCACCAGGGGTGATAGTACCACCCGTACTTAGTATCCGCGTGACTGTTCTGAATTTCTTGTTAGGATTAGGGACCTTCTTCCGCTTTTTAGGCCGTGCCTGTTCCAGTTCAGCCTCCAGAGCCTTGATCTTCCTATACTTGATCACAAGCTCGGTCTCCTCAGCCTTGAACGCGTTCGCTATCTTCCTATACTTCAGCCTGGTTCTTGGAGATCTTTTTTTGCTGAAACCTATGATCTGGCGGCTCGTAGTAGGCGTCCGCTGGTCTTCTGGTTCAGAGCTTTCAGGGGTATCAAGCTCAGGGGTCTTCCTCTTGTCTTCTTGTATCTCTGGGTGTTTTAAGCACTTCTTGCGGCTGATAGGATAATATCCAGTGACTCTGAAGCCAGAGAGGATATTTTGCTTTGTAAAGGCAGCAGTTCTGGCCTTGCTATAGCACCGGATGAAGTTGATCTTGTCAACAGGCGAGGCATCCGTCAAGGAACTCAGCTCAGAGAGGAATTTCTGGTAGTATGCCTTCAGGGCATTATAAGGACCGTTATACAGGGGTTGCATGCCGTGACTAGTATGCGCAGGAAAGAAACAGAGCAATATATTATTGAGAAAATATATAGTCATAAATTCGTCCTATCAACACTCATTAGACCATATTAAATCAGGAAAAATTAAAAGAAGTCCATTTAAAATAAAGAAAAATTGTATATATACAAAAATATGGCTCTTGTGGCCATCCGGTATTAAAAGGATAGCCTCAGACTGGTTTCCTTTCTGTTCTTCGTCTGCCTATGGGAGGAAAACATCCTCTAGCCACTTGCAGGCTATAGCATTCGAAGTCTAGCCGTTCTCTGAGCATATATAGTGCCAATCTGCGGTCTTTCGAAACTCGTTGATGAATCACTGTACTTGGAGGTCCTTTCCCTTAAAGATAATACCTGGTTTGAGGATTTTTCTAGTTGCTGAGATGGTCTCGAGGAAGGAGGTCCAGCTACGGCCCTGTGGGCTCTTCAAGAAGGCTTTCTTGGTAACAGAACTACCCGAAACTAGGGAATCGATGCCTATGAATCTAATGAGATTTTTTTGGAATTAAAGGGGTAAATATAACAACCAAAACCCGCCATAATGCTGCCTTTATTGACGTTATAGGTGTTCTTTGGCTTCATCCAGCCGTAATTTTAAGAATTTTAAAGAATCAGTTAACTGACTTGGGCGTGAACCCTTTGAAGCGTGCTGCTTCCATTCTTTTGCCGATTTTCGTCTTGATTTTGGGGTTGCGGCGCTTGAAGGCTGCCATGAAGGTGTCTCCTAGGGGGCCCTCATCTCCCTTCTTCTTTAACAGCTTCTTGACGATCTCACGAACCAAGGAGTGCGAAGGGGCTAGGCCGAGCTTTTCCTGTAGTAGAATCCACTTGATTATAGTCTTTTCCTGGGCAGGGGATAGTCTCTGTTGCTGTGTGTGGGCTTTGGTTCTGGTAGCCTTGCCGTTGAGTCGATCAGACAGCGTTTGGTGCGGAATACCGTGTTCTTGACCGGCTTTTTGCACAGATAGGCCCTCATCTGTGATATCTAAGATGGCCAAAGCCATCTGATCCTCCGTATATGAATAGGGAGGCATTTTGGGCGATTATACGATGCTGCAGTGCATACAGAACAAGGCTTTAGGAGAGCCATGAAAATCTTTATTTGGGGTACCAAAAGCGGGGTAATAGCTCCTCAATCATGTAAACTGGGAGGGGTAAATTTAGCAATGGGGAAAACCTCAAGATCAGGGCTATCTAGAGCACGAAATACATTCTGAATAGCTTCAATATCAGGCTGAATCTGTATAAGTGAACATGTGGGAGTTTTGGTGGTGATGGTGGGGTTTGGCTGGCCGACTAGTGGGGGGGATGGTATCATTCTACCGAGTGACAGCGCCCAACCTTCTTCGGCCGCGGTCACATCAAGCAGCAGCGCCATACCGACTGTCAGCATCCAACCTTCTTCGACGACAATGACGACCAGTAGCAGTACTACGGTGACTGATATGACAACGTCAAGTCCGGTGATAACAACTAGCAGTGTACCCGTCACGACATCCATGACGAGCGATAGTACGACGACAAGTGAAAGTGCGACCACGAGTGAAAGCCTCATGTCAGCCACTGAATCCTCCCAGAGCGCGACCGCGAGCACTACTGCTAGCAGCAGCAGCGCAATACCACCCGGCCCCACGAATTTCTGTCTCAGAATAGCATCCGATTCCCCTATATACCCCGGCTACATCGTCTCCACGAACGGGCCGCAGTCGGATATGCCACTCAAGGACCCATCCGACACCACAGCCCAGGAAGCGCGCTTCGAATTAGATTCCAGCACCGGCCGGCTGACGCTCACAGACGACACGATAGCGGCCGTCATGGCGCCCTTTGACGATCCCCAGTTCTTGGCGCCCTACTACGACACCGACATCGCCGACTCGCCGGGAAACTATGCCCAGCTGACGTGCTCGACCGCGGACGGGACGTACGACCAAGGCACGGTGCTGGATTGTTTGGCCGATCCCGCGGTCCATGCGTACCCGCGGTTCAGCATGATAGACAACGGCGGTTATTATACGTATCTGGCCATGTCTACTGGCGATAATGGCGATGTCACCGTTTTCGACCTGGCTATATTCTACGACCCAGACTGTGGCACCTACGGAGACCTAGGGTAGTATAGTGTGACGTAAGGGTTCTGGTACATATAAACGCATATACGACGAGTTACTGTTGCGTTTGATGTTTGATAGTCTTGAATATAACAACGCTCTTGATTCGAAATATCTGACCTCAAAGTAGATAATTCTGTCCAGCAGGGGAGAAAGGGTCGTATATGGCGCGGCAGGTGGCGCGATCGATGTCGGCCCAAAGTAGGTAGCTGCGATGGGAGCAAGGGTACGAGTACTAGAGGATCCTCGAGAAAGTGTCACGGCGAGCATACTGAGGAGCTGGGACATGGCCTGGAGCAAGCAGCTATTACTCTATTGACGAGAATATCAAGACTAGAGAGGAAAGGAAGAGAGAGAGAGATAGGTACAGTGGGAGGTTGCCCCTTTAAGGGGATCCTCTGGTCAGATCCTTCCCCTATTGGGAAGTATCCACTTGTCATGTGGGAAGGTCTGTGCAGGCCGTCACAGAAGGGGTGAACCATCTTCGCTGGCAGGGCCAACCCCTTCTAGGGGATTCTCTAGTAAGGCTGATAGCTGGGACGCCAACATTTCGCTCGCAGTCGGCCTTATGGCTTTTGCGATCGACTCTCATGCTGTTGCGGTTGCAATATCTAGTAAACGCCCGCGTAGTCAGGGACTCGGGGCAACGTCTCATCTGAGACTCTTCGTTCGCCTTCTTGCATCTGGCGTTGTTCGCCCAGTTGGTCATAGACCGTCAGTGCAGAGCAGTTCAATGGGAAAGTGCTAGGTTACGGCATTAGGGGCTTTGCTTCACGTGGACGAGGCTATTCGGGGACCAGAAGCGAACATGCGGAGAAGCCGACGCTCAAAAATGGCTTTCATTCAAGGCTGGTGTCAAGCATCCTCAGTTGGATATTTGTTCTGTCACGTCCAGGTAAGCTCGACTCGCGGCGTGCAACACTTTGTTCGTAGACGACTAGTCGACCATCATGTTCCCATAACATAGCCGCTGGCACAGATCCTCAGATCCCCAAGCAGATAGGGGTATTCGAAAGTAGCCTGCCTTCCAACTTTTTCCAGCGCGGGCTCTCTCCAGCTTCGCAATCTTGTCCCTCCAAACTTTGACCTTCGGGATCCAGGAGTCCTGCAGACTACCGGGCCTGATCATTCCCAGGCCCTCCAGCCCCTGACATACCATGATGTCTTCCCACAGCCGTTGCCTCCAGTTCTGGTCCACGCCCTCGTCGTACCACCATCCGTCGTCGAAGTCTTCCTGGAAGTCCGGGCCCGCCTTAGCTCGGAATGCCTTCCAGTGCGGTCTCCAGCGACTGCTTCGGATAACTCATGTGAGCGCGATGTTGTTGTTTTCATACGGGCCACTCTCGTTCGGCGTCGCATAGGGGCCCGTATTCTTGATACGACGGCGGGGCTCCACTTCATCGCGGGTAGGACAGGTGGTCGCGAAGTCGGGCACGCAATATTTGATGTATTCCAACCTCGTATCGACGCCCAGCCTGCGCGCGTCGGTCTGGTCCAGGATGGCCTCGAAGTCTGGACCGAACAGCTCGCCGTACGTCGCGAGGTGGAAGAATGTAGTTGGCGGGTCGGACGCGATGGTGTAGGCGTCGTCGGCGCCGCCATTCCAGAAGTCGGGCAGCGCGTACCACTGCTTTCCGACGCACTGGTCGATGATGTCCGTCACGGGTTGATGACGGAGAAGCGCAGGAGGTGCAGCTCGCGGATGCACTGCATGGTGAGGCCGCAGTGCTCCAGGGCGAGGTCGAGGAGCGCGTCGACGCCCTCTTCCATGCGGAGGGCGAGCTCTTGCTCGTTGGTATCCGACTCCCGCGCCCAGTTTCCCAGCTCCCGCGCCGTGGCGGCTATGAGGAAGTCCGGCGACGGGCGGCAGAAGATTTTAGACTGTGCCGCTGCCAACCGCAATATATGGTTTGGTGTTGCAGCCGCCATGCATTCACGCAGCGTCCGGCATGTCGAGGAGAGATTCGTGTAGTCTTCGATGTTGTGCAGGTAATCTGGTAGCGAGACCAGCACGTCTACCGGGACTGACTGCAATCCTAGGGCAGCCATCGAGAGAGAGAATGGAATAGCCGTTACCAGCCTGCTATCAAATTGAAACGTGTCTCTGCCGGTGTTTCTATGCCAGCTGGCGGCGCACCCTGTTGTCCACGCTGTCCACGCTGTCCACGCTGGCCGGCCTGACTGTCCGTCTGACTCACCCCGGATGCTGCATAGCCCACTGACGTCATCAGAACCTTTGCTGCCTCCCATCAGATAGGGGCATCAGAAAGGGGCACCATGCCTGCATTCCCTCCCTTCGACATCATACCTACCCAGCATCAAGACAGCTCCAGGGCCACGAGCCTTAGCTGCACCTTTACCTTCGGTTTGCTTCTTAGCACCAGGCAGTCGTCAGCGATACGCAGCGCTTGTTCGAGATGGGGGACGGTTGAGGGGACGGCGAGACAAACAGTGGCGAGTAAGGGATAGATAGGATGGATGTGCAATCGGCACTGGTCAAGGGTTACGAGTTTCCTTCATAAGATGTCGGGTCCATCCCAAAGTGAAGTCGTGATGCCAATGTCGATTCCCGATGTGGTCCTTATCCATAAGTCAGGGTCTCGTTCATAAATACTGTCATGCCAGGCTTTGGTAACTATACAGTTGGATAAACCTATGCCAATAATCCATACATCTCGACGCAGTCATGCCTTCCATCAGTCAAACCCAAGACAAGAACAATACAATAGTCCAACTCGCAAGACACACCAACGACGCCTCAAACATCAGTAGTCCCAGGATCCCGTCCTGTAAAGATCTTATGCACCCGTCTGCTGATCGCCTGCCCAACATTCCGGTCTGTGAACGCACCATCTTTATTCGCACTCTTGCGGCACTCCTCCAGTGCCAAGGGTCCCTCCGCCTCAAGCCCCTGAACCAACTCCGTCACGGTCCCATACTTGGCCGCGATGCCGTACGCGATGGGAGCCGTGACGCGCGTTATTTCCTGTAGCATGCGCACGTACGTGTCCTTGGCGTTCTCGCCCGAGCGGATCTGGCCTGCGTCCATGCAAAATCCAGCGTCCGCACCGGCATCGCGGGCTTTGCGGTACGGTATCGTGCTGATGTGCTGAGTGAACACTTTGACCCATTGTGCAGTCTCGACTTGGTGGTTCGTGTGATGGATGAGGGTGCCGTGGACGACCTGGAGAGAGAGGAGCGCGTCTTCGATGCTGTCTTCATCGATGTACTCCTGGGGCTGCTTGGTTTTGCGCCTGCGGGCCAGGCTGGATGACGGAGCTGTGTCATCGCCATTCGGGTCAAGGTTGCGGACCGCGGATGCAAACTGTCGGTTTTTGACAATTCTGTTCTTGCGCATCCATGCCGTGAGGCCTTCGATGAGGTATATGATGGTGGTATTGGGGAAGTTGGTCTTCATCTTGAGCACATGGGCTTCGAGGTCCTCGCCTTCGGCGCCGAGGACGAACTTAACGAACTCGGCAGCCTGGACGAGAACCGCGACGTGTTTCTCGTTCATGATGCGCATTGGTATGGGTTCCCAATGGCCCATATCTTCGTTGTACTTGGAAGCGACTTTCCGCCGCCATTTGACAACGTTCTCGACACGACTGTTCCAACTCTCATGTTGAACGTCCAATTGATCAAGAAGGGTCTCGACTTGGACCTTGAGTCCGGCATTCAGACTTGCCGGGAGATCAACAATCATTTCTGGCGTTGACATCTTCTTGTCCGTCCGCAGCTTGTTCACTTCGGCTAGGGCCTTCTCTTTTCCCTTTGTGGCAGCGCGTTCCTCCTTGTCGCGTTCTTTCTCGATTCGTTTTCTCTCCTTTTCAGCCTCACGTGCCTTCTCCTTCTGCCTCTTTTCGCGCTCCTTTTCCTCGGCCGATTTCGGCGCGTTCCTTGGTTTTGCAGGCTTCTTCGTCACTTTCGATTTGGGACGCGGAGACAAGCTATAAGAACGTTTTTTGGCGCGAAGCTTGGAGAAGTCAAGGTCGCCCAGGTCGGGTAGACCATCCGATTCCGAATCATAAAGATTGTCGAGGTCGATCGCCAATGCTGTGCGCGGTGGTGGTGGTGGCGGGCTTGACACGAGGTCGTCCGTAGGTCGGGCCTCTGGTGCAGAGCTTGATATCGGATCCCAAGCAGCTTTTTGTTTGGGCGCCTTGGGCTGGACCTTGACCGGCGACGCACCGAACGGGTCGCTTGAGAGATCGATGAACGCCACATTCGAACGCTTCTTCTCGGGTATAACCATAGGAGACTTGGGAGCTGGTTTCGACATATCCTGCGGCCAATTCCAACTCGAAGGACCGATGTTATTGGTCATCTTCAGCGGGCTCTCGAATGGGTCGGCTAGCACGGGTCTGGCAGAGGTACGATGGATCGGCTGTTTCTTTGGTGGACTTGCGAAAGGGTCTGACAGGTTTTCGTCTTGGGTATTGTGGTATGAGTTGACGGCAATGCCATGGGGTGAGCTGCTGTATTGGATCGGATCGGCCATTGTATTCCATCGTCGCATTCCAGCTGGTTGAAGCGGATGGAGCTGTTCGTAGCTCTTTGTCCCAACGACGGCGGACTTTGTTCTCTTCAACGAAGATACATCATTCGTTGCAGCGCGCGGCGCGAGAGGCGAGAGCCTTGACCTCTTCGTGAAGCTGGCGTCGAGGTCTCCGGTGGTGTCAAAGTCATCCGACACGAAAAGGGCGTCCTCTTCTTCTTCTTCATGATGATGACGGTGATGACCACTACTAGTCCGCTTAGTGCCGGCGGTCGGTTGGGCGGATATCCGTGCGGCGGAAATTGGTTGAACCTTCTTTGGAATTGCTGCGGTCAAGTCGAGTATATCATAGTCGAGTGCACGATAGGGGGCGGGAAAGTTAAAGTTGGTTCGAGGCGGCAGCTGGGCAGGTATTGCGTCCACAGGGGAGGGCGCCGCGGGACTCGAAGACAACAGACTGATGACTTCGGCTGGCATTTTGAGACACAGGTTCAACTTCGAGCTGGTTGGATTGGATGCGACAGGAAACCCCAGATCTTCAGCACCAAGGTGTAGCCATTTGGCAAAAGCAAGAAAGCGATTGGTGTTGCGCTACAGCAATTGGAGATGCACAAACAAGAGAAAGTCGTGGTCACCGTATCCGTGTCTCCTTGACTGTTCCCCAGCAACGCGCTACGCGAATCTCTCCGGGGTAGCGCGTCGCCCTCGCGTGGCACGTGACCCCGCACTTCCGCTTCCCAGTCGGGTCGCCCGCTCCCATCTTCCAAACCATCTGCGCAATTATTTCCTGGCCTGTTGCATTTCGGGTTGTCAAGTTTAGACGAACCACTTGAGTTGAACCTGTGGTCTTGATCCTCGGCATTTGAGTAGCAATGTTACCTCAAGTGCCGAAGCCTACAGTAGGAGAAAAATTCGTCACGAGAGTCAAGATCATAGCGATAGGTTCAATCTCAAGTCCACTGCGTGTAACGCGGTATAACTGAGACATTGACCATCCGACCTACTATTAGTGGATTCGTATCTCGAAATAGCCTGCCAGTGCCGCGATCATGTTGTATTCAGGTTGCCTGACTCACTTTACTCCTAGGAGGACTACTTGACCCAGTCATCGAAGCCGAGGGACCTTCCAAAATCTGCAACTCATTATGCATCCGGTAGGCCGCATCAGCTGCAAACAAGCCTGGTCGCGAATGTCTGATCACAGTCATACAGCCCAATCAGGAGACCAGTTCCCAACGAGTCCGATATTGCACGCATGTACGCTCAGACAGTGATTGCCGAGTCCGACAAACTGTCATTGGTTGTATGTACGCGCAGGGATTCAGGGGTTCAGGGGTTCTTGCATCACGATTCACGATAGCCACATGCGACGTGAAACATCGACCCAATCACAACCCGCACACGAGGCCAAACAAATGAACGCCAAGATCCTTCACCGTTTGGCAGAACTGTCGGCTCCAGATCGTCCATCATCAAGATGAACAAATCATGTTCGTTGAGGGCGGGCGAGCACGGTTGAGGATCTATGGGCAAAAATGTGGTGGAGTACCAACGTAGGTTGGGATGCAGGCGACTGCATGACGGCTGGAAGAGTGAAGCTGGTGTTGGTGGATGGAGAGTTCTCGCCGACATGGCGTATGGTTCTCAGTTCTGTCATTACGAGTGTAGCTAGCTGACTTGGGTCGAGATACGGGCAAGAAGGCGTCGCTTCTCGGACTTTATTAACAGGATGCGAAGCTGGACTCGCATTGTTGGGTAACCGCTGAGCATGCGGTACAGAGCCTCATGGCTGATCCTATATAAGAGGGCGGAAGGGTGCTTGACTCCGGCAGCAGTCGCAAGAGCAAGCCATTTGAGGCACCGGCCTCTCAATTGTTCTTTCGTTTCTTGCCGCGCAATCAATACGACAGCGGGATGTTAAAGTGTGGTTGGGTTGTCTACACTGTACAGTCGCTTGCTTTTCACAATTGGTTGCATCGTGGACGGCCAAAGCACCGCGCATGGGCTCGACCATGGTCCATTGCAGGTTACCATGATCGATACCTTCCAGAGCTCTATCCATACCCTGGATACGAGTCCAAGGGGCCGGCACAGTCCACAAGAGAGCGATTGGTGTTGGCGCCCGGGACCTACGGCAAAACAAATCAGCACTGGACCTCACCTTCCAATCCGTCCCCTTCTCCTATCTCTGAAAGGTACGCGGGATAACCCCCGGATCGTGAACTCACATCAAAGAGCACAGCAAAAGGATCCCAATCCGGATCCACATGCGGCACGAACTCGTCATTATTGACCGCGTTGCTCACCACGGGGTCGCCGTAGATATGTCTGAGGAACGCCGCCATCATGTCCATACCTGCCTGCACGCCCGAGCTCGTCCACAGCTTGCCGTCGTGTACCCAGCGCGCGCTCGGCACCCAGGTCACGTTACGCCCGTACTTGACCACCGTGTCCCACGCAGACTTATTAGTCGTAGCGCGACGGCCAGCAAGAACGCCCGCCCGGGCCAGCAGGCCTGAGCCCACGCACACGGACAGCACGTACTCGGTCGTCGCGAAGCGCGACGCGATGAAGTCCTCGATCTGCGTGTCGCCAATCTCCGTCAGGTAGTAGACGCCCAAGCCACCCGGGACGACGAGCACGTCGAGCGGCGGCGCCGAGGCGAAAGTGTGCGTCGCGACGGCCTGGACGTCCAGCGAGGGCGAGGTGTCGACCAGGGCGCCGTTGGGGCTGTGAATGGCCGGCGATCGGCTGTGTACCGGACCGGCCTCGCTGGCGATGATGGAGAGGGTCACGTTGTAGGTCTGGGATATCTAGGGGATGTCTCTGCTCAGTGACCTTGCCACCCACGTACACATTCATGAAAGGGGCTTTCGAGCAAACGTACATCCCAGAGAAGCTCCAGAGGGCCGAACACGTCGAGCATTGTGAACCCGGTATAGAGCACCTGGTGCGGATATGAGCTACTGGGCTCTCCGGTATGGGCTGCACTCACGTAGCCGATGGATAGCGAGCGGTTCGCGTTGCGCAACTGCTCGTCGGTGAAGTTGTACCCCTGAGCCGCTGCAACGCTCGACCACTGCGTGCCTGCAAGCAACGCCGAAGCTAGCTGGTGAGCCACGATCTTCATCTTTATGTATCGACTTTGAGACGCTGTTTTGACACATATCTATCCACTGCTCCCTGGAAGCCCAACTCCTATTTATATACAACATCAGAGCACGATTGCGGGACTGCGGATGACGTCCAGTCATGGAGAGTGTGGCACGAAGGGCCACCTGCGTTACCTGCGCAAAGTCCCTCTTCTATCGTTACAGTCTTCCAAGTTATACACCGTAAGCTCCGAGGCGGTTCGGGGTATAAGACGACCGCTTCACCCTTCTGGGACAGCTTCATCAATGAGTAGCTCCCCATTGGGTACTAGGTGGTATGCGGTCAGCGACTGTGCTGCTGGATGCGTTGGAAACTTGCTCATGCTCATGAGCTCAGGCGGCACGGCGCGATGGACCTACCGTTATGAGGTGTGAGCTCATGGCATGTTAGGTATGTAATCTGAGAAGACACGCATCACGCCTGCACTCACTTCCATCAGGCGGTCCGCGCTAAAGAGCGACAACATCACAGACTAGAGGGTTTGGATTACTGAGCAGCGCGAGTATGGATCGCCGGTCGTTCCACTCCCCTACACTAAAAGCATGGGGTGGCCGACATACTAACAGCAGTACAAACGACGCCCAGAGCCAGTCGCCCAGGACGGCACGACGCCGCAGATTGCGGGGTGCAGGATGGGGGACGGGGCTGCATCATGTCGCCCTGGGTGTATTAGCAAGATGCAATATTTCCGCAGGACGCAACGTGAATGTGCGATGTCAGGGTGTTACCGTTATTGACCGGCAATGCGTCGGCGGGTGGTAGTTGTCATAGTCATACCTTCGACGAGCAATATACTGTCCGGGTCTGTGAGGTATCGGGATGTAACGAAACCTGGGACGCTGCCGGTGCAGAGCTGCCCAATTTTGCCAAATAACGATATAGGTCACGATAGGCATAAGAGAGGGATGGGTGGTATATGCTCCTCTCAACGATAAACGTGCCGCTTCAGGTGAGAGATCTGCGGACTGGTCGAGGCATAGAAGAGGATAAGCAGAGGAATCAAACGGCATGTGCTCCTGTTCTTCTCTATCCTCGCTCGGGGCACAAAATTGAAAAGCTTCACTGGCGTCAAGACTCGACCGGTGTACTTGTGCAGTTGGATGCATGTGGTGCGGCAGTCCTTTATGAACATGCTTCATCCAATATGCCGATGGACGAGCCGGTGATGTACACGGAGAGCAATGAGGCAACAGAACCGTGGACGAACGGCAGAGGATCGCTCACGCGGAACGGCACTCGAAAGAACGGTACGGGTATGTTGATGGTATGCAACATGGTGATCAGATACATGAGCCGTCCGAAGCCCAAGTCTGGTTCTTGAACCCGGTAGTCCCGCCTATTAGACTCAGAGACTATTGTGGTGGCAGTGGCTGATGCCGCGCGGACGCGACGCCTGTGAAGCTTCACATTGTGCATCATATCACGGCATGCTGGTTGGCCGGTGAAGCTGCTAAGCATTGCAGCGTACACTTCCATGTGCCATTCAAGAAAGCGACCTGGATCGCACTACAAATCAGAAATTGGTAGGATTTATGACTCTGCTTCTCTGACGGATTCGTTGCCTGGTGTTCTCACCATCAGCTTAACTTGCATTGTGAGAAGGATCTGGATGGCACCCGGCCCGAGGCGAAGCAGGTGATGAAGGTTGTAGGGCATCAAAGGAGCAAAACGCGTCTGCGAAGGCGTTGATTCGGGTGATGCCGATAATGCAAACCAGCTGTAGCATTCAAGGCTCGCCATGCCTTGTCTTCGCTCTCGTCGATGTCCTACAGGAACAGCTTTCCGTTCCTGGATGTTGGGTATTCCGATGTGTTTCAGCCTGGGTATACCACTATCGAATGCCCGTGATTGCAGGAGACGATAGTAAAGCAAACCCATGCCGACAGTCCCAGCAGTCCAGGTCGGTCCTGTGACCTGGCATTAGTCTGGAGGGTGTGAGGCCTGTATCCAGAAACATGGCCGAGCAAGGGTCGGGACCGTCATCTCGGGGAAAACACGAGACAAGCGCTCCAGGACGCGTTTGAAGACAATCGTTGGGGGGAATCTACGGGTGCGATGAGTAGAATGGGTGATGACTTGTGTAGTTAGATCCGATGGCCTGGCTCATGATGTTTTGCGGCAGCGCAATATTATGAAGAGGCCATAGTAGGAAAGTCAATATTGATAGCGCATAACGGATAAGATCAGCAGTATTCGCACCAAACCAACGGCGGCATGGACGATGACCGAATCAAGGGCAGCGAGGCGGGATGAGGCGGCATTTCCCGCATTTCTAACCAGAAGCAGGAGGATGAAACAGGCGCCTCTTGCTCGTGAATAGCTGATCATCGGTTTGGAGGACATGTTTTGCCGCGGGACCGGTGGTGTCTATTCAAAATCATAACGGCTTCGTTCATTACTAGATGCGACTGGCGCAAGAGGCAAGCGGGCACGCAGCTCGTCGAATGGTCTCAGATCAATGCAATCAATGTCCTGCAGCGTTGACTGTCACACCCTTCTTACCACACCATGGGATATCTTGGTGCGATGTGCCTTTCAATCGGCGCGGGATTGCCCGTCTGGCTAATGATTGCGCATTGTGTCGGTTGACGCAGGAATTGACTTCGCAGTAGGGGTGGACTGTATGCTCGAACGTGATGTACCTAGATATTTCGTAACTCACGTCTGAAGGTGTCAGCCCCCCCTTTACTTGGTGCACGACGCAGTCAATTCCTCGGCATGCGCTCTGTCGGAGATCCGTTGGAAAAGGAGGAGGGGGGGGTGGCGGAGGGGAGGCACTAGCAGAGGGAAGATCCGCCACTCATAACCCTGGTTTCATCCAAGAGAGCCACGCGAGAATGATGGGGTGTGGTGCCAGTCTGCCAGATGAAGAAGCGTTGCTGACATGCGTTTGTCTCCTTTGGCAATCTCGTTCCCAGTGCGGCCGAGCTAGGGTCAAATAGAGTGATCGACGGCGCCCGAGATGGGAAAGGCGCCATTGCAAACGCCATCGCGGGGGGATGTTCCATGCTTCTGGTGTTCTGTCACCTGTGTACATCGCCAACTGGTGGTGACTGGTGAGCAACTTCTACATCTGAGCCACGAGCAGCCTGGCCCTGAAAGATTGTCGATAATGTAAGAGAAACAGGATCTAGAAATTGGCGATTGGTGTGTACCCCCTTTTGGCATTATCTTTCTTTCAGTAAGCAAACATAAAAGGAGTGGGTCGCATTTAGCATGGACTTGCTACTGCACAACTCTCGGGTATTTCTGTCATCTTGTTTGCGGGGACAAAGTCTATAGTAAAAGTATTTCCAGAATGCCATCTGGAATAGTCCGTGTACTGTGTAGAAAGACCTATCCTAATCATTGCCGAATGCCTAGGCAGTGGAAAACTCCAGTATGATGGCAGATCAATGTCAAGCTCCAAGCTGTGCTTCCTGAACCAGGAAGAAACAGCTCAGGGTATGACAGGTCATGCTTGTATGCTGTGGTGATGTGCAGTGCTTCATATGTGACCGATCTCTGATATGGAAGATCTTGATGCGTGCTGTTGCCTCCGGGCAGTAATGTAGCACTGCTTGACAGTCGGTCTCACAGCTTCAAAGATGAAGCTACAGCAGCAGAAAAACATGCCTTATCAGAGCACACACAGGTCATACTAGAGTCTTCTCAGAGCTTGCAACTGAGTGACATCTCGGAGGTATCTTCAGAACTGAGAAAGGCAAATCGCGTCTGACGTGTCGGGTGGTCGTGACTCTGTTGATATGATAAGCTGGAGTATTCCCCGTCCATCCTGTGGGCATCACAGGTCACATACCGGCCATAGAGACAGATAGCGTGTGAACATTGTAGGTACGCGACAACGCGTCGAGCCCGTACATGTGGTTCACATGAACGTGATCACAACCTCACTGCTGTGCAGACCTGCCCGGACATTCACAGATGCACACCAAAGCGATCCCTGTTTGATTGCCTTTTGGTCCAATACCAGCCTAGCGCGTCTCTTGGAGTACCCCTGAAATGGATGCCACCCCCCTAGCCCCCTACTGCTAGCACCACCACGTTCGTAGTAGCGCTGCTAGCCCCTGGAGAGTGCTTGCCTGGATGTGCCTGGCATCGGGTACCTGGCAAGCCTGGGGCCGCTGGGACGTGCCTGGCTGTCATTAAAGATCGCCCCATTGTGACTACATAGTAGGTACCGTAGCGCACCGGGTCTGGCTTGCACCAACGCCGACCGATTAACCTGCCTTGCCGAATCAAAAACAAACAGCGCCTGGCTTTACCTTATCGCTTGCCACCCCGAAATTTCACCTGGACCTCACCCCTAAACCTGACTTTCTCTGTTTTCCCGTCCTTGCGATCCTGATCTGACTGGACCACCGAGTCACCGACCGATCGAACGCAACCGACTGACCCGGCCGTCCTTCTTTTCGTCTATCTTTCTGTCTGGTCTTGCGATTCACAAGGCATCGTTCCGCGACGCTGCACTTGCGACATATGACGCACTCGTCCTAATCCGCCCGCCCAGGTTGAAGGGTTACTGACCCGTCCACGGGCTCTGTTTGGCTCGGCTGAGTGTCGTTCGGGAGTGTCTTGCCTCTTGAGTGGTTTGCATTCCTTAACCGACGGGCGAACGAGTATTGCGATCACCCGCTCCCGTTCCTGCGACTATCCAGTCAGCTTTTCTCCCGCCGCTCACTCGCACCTTGGCGTGCGAACATCAGGCGTTTGGTTATCTTGTGCTTTGGCATTCAAAGTATTGGCGGTTGCCCTCGACGCCATCATGGCCTCGTCGCCACCTTCATCACCTGGCAACCTGCCACCAAGACCATTGAGCGCCATGGTCAAGCCGTCGCCCAGGAGTAATAGTCGTCTGAGTATGACCAGCAAGGCCGGCGGTGGTAGTCGAGCATCTGACGAAGATGGAGGACGTACCGCTGTCAGAGTCGGTATGTTTTTGCTGCCCATTACTCGCCCATCCCGCCATCTTGCAAACCAGTACTGTGAAGCTGACCATCCTGTTCGGAACAGCTGTTCGCGTGCGCCCGCCGTTAAACCCCAACGATCCTGGCTTCGAACTCATTCCTCAACGTTTTCAGAGATCCATGGTCCAGACGACATCCGACACCAGTATATCCATTGATGCCCCGCAAGGCAAGAAGCTCTTCGTCTTCGACCGCGTTTTCAGCCCAGATGTCACGCAAGAAGGAGTCTGGGAATATCTGCATGAAAGTGTCAATGCGTTCCTACAAGGCTACAATGTCTCGCTGCTTGCCTATGGTCAATCTGGTGCTGGCAAGTCCTACACGATGGGCACTTCGGGACCTACAGAACAGGATGACCTCGAATCCATGGGTATGTCGTATATTTCTGTGACTCGAACCTAACCATGACTTTAGTTCATCTTCTGCCTCCCGAGTACTTGATGCTGACATACTTGACTTCAGGAGTGGTCCCACGTGCTGCGACGGCTTTGTTTGAGAAACTCGATGGACCTTCGCGCGAACAGCGGAATTCAAATCGCAACTCAATGTCACAACTGAGAGCACCATCGCGTTACTCAATGCAGTCTCCTACACCCAGGGGCGAAAAGAATTGGCAGCTGAAAGCCACTTATGTGGAGATCTACAATGAGCAATTGCGTGACCTGCTTATGCCAGATCACATTCCACAGCATGAGCGAGGCAACGTCACTATTCGGGAAGACCAAAAAGGAAACATCATCCTCACTGGCCTCCACCAGATTGACATCAACTCCGCGGAAGACCTTATGAACGCCCTCAATTTCGGCTCATCAATTCGGCAGACTGACGCGACAGCCATAAACGCGAAGTCATCACGTTCCCACGCTGTCTTCAGTCTAAACCTTATCCAGAAGAAACCCAAGCCTCAAGGGGCCCAGGGAGCAGAGAAGCGCTTCTCAGTGCCCGTTGAGGCATTGACGGGCGGAGAGACCTGGGTTACCACGGATAGCAAGTTGCACTTCGTCGATTTAGCCGGCAGCGAGCGTTTGAAGAACACGGGTGCCCAGGGAGAGCGGGCCAAGGAGGGTATATCCATCAACGGCGGTCTTGCTGCTTTGGGCAAAGTCATCTCGCAGCTTTCGTCGCGCCAGTCTGGCTCGCATGTTTCTTACCGGGACTCGAAGTTGACCAGACTTCTGCAGGACTCGCTGGGCGGCAATGCTATTACCTATATGATCGCCTGTGTGACCCAGGCAGAATTTCACCTAAGTGAGACGCTCAACACCGTCCAATATGCGCAGAGAGCCCGAGCGATCCAAAGCAAACCTCGAATCCAGCAGATAGAGGAGGGAGACAAGCAGGCCATTATTGAGCGCCTGAAGGCCGAAGTTTCCTTCCTGCGCGAGCAGATCCGGAACTCGGAACACCGCGGTGGGGGTGAAAGGCGCACCGCGGTGGCAAACGAGAGGTCCGAGAGGCAGAACGAGCGGGAGGCCGAACTGCAAAACCAGCTGCTGGACACGCAGGAGAATTATAACACCTTGAGCCAGCGCCATGCTAAGCTCATTGCGGAAATGGCCAGGGCCCGGGATAATGAGGCTGCTGAGAATCACACCCTAGACGAAGCCTTGGGCGATACAGCGACCGAGCGGCTGAACCGGTCCAACTCTTTCGCTCAGGCCGTCGAGCAGGTCGTTCTGGAGTACGAGAAAACCATCCAAACTCTCGAGCAGTCCCTCTCCAGCACACGGGCCTCCCTCTCAAACACCGAAACCGATCTGCTGGAGAAAGAGACGAAATGTGCCTATGTTGAGACCATCAACACACAACTGCAGAGCCGTCTACACAAGCTGATGGATCGTGAAGCCAACACCGAAAGCTATCTTCAAGATTTGGAGACCAAGCTCGACGGACAGACATCTGGCGAAGAGAAGAATGCCTCAATCATCATTGAACTTCGCAAGGAGCTTGCCAGAATTCGAGAAAATGAGACTGCTGCCGAAGAGTACATCACAACTCTGGAGGAGAGGTTGGCTGAATCGGACCAGGACCAGGAGCTGATGCAACGAGAAATGGATCGCCTCGAGCAGGTCATTGAACGTCAACGAAGTTTGGGGAAGCTGGACAGTCTTCTTTGTGAATTGGACAACATCCGAGAGGATGGCAAGCAACCCGATGCTGAAACCGAGGTTAGCAATGGCACCGGACACCGACGCACTTTCTCCGACCGGTCAAGCAAAAGCCACATGAGCCGCGCAAGCCAAGGACCCCGCGAGTTTCTGCCCAAGGTTTCAGAAGGCACCGAGGATGAAGTTAACGACCCCTCTACTGAGAAGGTCGCCGATGGCGTTGATGAGTCTCCAGAATCTACCACCAGCCTGAAGGAAAAGTCTGAAGACGCCGAATACCCACCGCAAAGTCCTGCCCAGAGCCAATTCGTCAACGACAAGCTCGAGAGTGTCACCCAAGAACTGGTTCACCTGCGCGTTGAACACGAGACGAGCATTACCGAGTACGACATGCTTCAAGCCAAGTATGAAGAAGCTTTGCGAAATCTGGCTGAGCTGCAGGATCAGGTTGACGAGGCCCGACACCCAGGCAGACAACGTGACTCCCTCTTGTCGGTCACATCCCCCACGGAGACGAGACCGCCTTCCTTCTTATCCGACACGAAGTCCGCCCACGTCAAGAATGGGATGCGCTTATCGTCACGGTCGCTCTCTTCGGAATTGTCCTCCGCCTTGGAATCCCCAGCTACTACGGATACTATGGAGACTGAAGCCGCAGAAGGTCCCAAGCCTTCGGTGTCTAGCGAGACTCTTACAGCACAAGTCTCATCCCACGAGGCACTGGCTGTTGAGTTGGACAAGCTCAAGCTGCTCGCCAGCGAGAAGGAAGCGGCCGAGAGGGAGCTTGCCGAGAAGTATGCTCAGCTCGAAGAGAAGCACCAAGAAACTTTGGATGTGGTCGAGGAGCTCAAGACTGAGGTCGCCAAGGCCAGATACGCCGAACCAAGTTCTCCGCGGACTGCAACGCCAGTGATTCGCAGGAAGTCCAGTCAGAACATGATGATCATCGACCGTGCCCACCGATCATTTGCCGCCCTTCGAAATATCGCCGCAGACAACTTTGAAGGCCATACCGATACTATGCAAAACTTTGAGCTGAATCTGAATGCTGCCATGCACGAGTTGCACGCTAGGTCCGAGCGTATTCAGGAGCTTGAAGCTGACGTTGCCAACGCCAAGAAGGAAATGGAGACAAAGATGACCATCATCTCAGGCTTGACTCGTGAACGGTCAAGTATGTCGTCCAGTCCGATGGACATTTCCGTGGTGGCGACGATGAGAGATCAGCTCGAGCAGAATGAGCAACGACTTCAGGAGATGCATGAATCGCATGGTCGTCGCGAGAAGGAACTCATGGCTGAACTGGAGGCTCTCCGCGCTTCCGTCAACGAAGCTGCCGAAGCGAGGTCGAAGTCGACCGCGCAGACACAAGAAAGCAACGACCGCGACGAGGAACTGCGCGCTGCTCACCAGAAGAAGATTACTGACCTCGAGACTGAACTCAGCGGATGGGAAGGTAAACATCAGACTACTCTTGAATCGATGCAGGCCACAGAGAGGCAAATGAAGCAGACGATTATGGAACTCGAAGCCCATGTCGCTGATGTCAATGCGAGATTCGATGAAGCCCAGAACAAGGAAACCAGGAGTGGCGACGAGGCCAAAGAGGCCGAATTAAAGCATCAAAACCTCGTTACGTTCCTTCGCAATGAGATCGATGAGTACAAGACTATCATCAACAGCAACTCCACCAAGGTTGCCGAGTTGGAACAATCACACTCTTCTGCAAGGACACAGCTGGAAGAGGCGACCCAGGCGAGGGATCTAGCCTCGGCGGAAGCTAACAATCACAAGGAACTTGTGTGCCGTCTTGAAACCCAGATCGCCGCGCATGAGAACGCGCTCAAGTCCCACGAAGAAAGCCTACAGGATTTGCACTCCAATCATGCTAGAGACATCGAAAGCATCAGAGCGAGTTCCAAGGCGGACTATGACTCGCAGCTCAATGTACTCATGTCCGAGCATGCCGAGAATATCAAATTGCTAGAGAGCGATGCTTCTGAAGCCCGCGAGGAGCTCATGAAGGTCGCCACGCAAGTAGCTTTCGCTCTTGGCTTGGACGTTAGCGTCGAAAGGATCTCTGAACGCATCGAAGACTTGGTCGCAGACCACAAGGCCCTGGGTGCCGAGCAACAGAGAACGGCGGAGCTCGAGGGCCACGTCGACGAACTTTCGACTATCAACAACACCATCATGCGAGATCTTGAAGCTGTCAAGTCTTCTCTCAACGACATGCTCCGTGTAGATGGCGAGAACATGAAGAGCCCGTACCCTTCGGTCAATGAGCAGCTAGCAGTCATCAAGAAGAAGATACATGATCTTGAGAACCGAAACAAGAAGCACTCGCGATTGGTCGAAGAATTGGAAGATCAGCTCCAGACGAACTACGACCAAGCCCAGATCACCACGAATCGGCTGTCTACGCTTCAAACAGAGCGCCATGCGCAATTGGAAGAAGCTACCAATGCGAAGTACAAGGCGGAGGTTGAGTTGGAGGCCATCCGGCAAGAAATGCTCGCCCTACAGGTAAGATTACCACCTGTTTCTAGGTTGCTGTATTTGGCTAACAGGGTTATAGGCTCGCATGGAGGATCCTGCGGATGCACCCAAGCGAACCAGCTCGATGAGCTCTCAAGTACGCAAGACAGCCTCGGTTTCATCTTTGCCGTCACCGCCCCCAGCGATACCCCTTCCCCCTCTGCCGGCTGGTGGAACTACCTCGCCTGTGCCACCAACGCCCACTGGTGGTCGACCGCTTAGTAACGATCTTGCGGCTCAAAATCGGGACGACCAAGAGGCACGCCTTAAAAGCATCGAGAGGCATCTGAACGCCGAGAGACAGCTCACCTCAACTTTGGAAGAGGCCCTGACAGACCTGGAGCGCCAGTCCAACAAGGTCAAGGCTGACTGCGAGGCCTGGAAGAAGCGTGCACAGGAGCTCGAGTCCGACATTAAGGAATTGAAGGAGAAGCCACAGCAAGACAACCGATGGCGAGAGAGTATGCACCAGATCGAAGAAGAGCGGAAGAAGCGCCAGGAGTCCGAGAGAGCTCGTGCTCACCTTGAGGAACGCATGAATGCCATCAACAACAAAAAGAAGAAGAAGGGCAGCCTCAACTGCTTCTAGTTCCGGGGTTGGTGCGCAGTACTTTTGACGGCTCTCTTCCTCCTGGTCGTTGTCTGGCTGGTGCATCGTCTCACCATCCGGTCTGCCTGATTTTCTGCATTGTCTTGCTTTTTGGCACGGTTTACATCTGGCAAGGAGTTCAAGGAGCTACATTTCTGCCGCCTTCTTCTTGCCTTGCTGCTCACTTCTACAACCCCCCTTGGCATTCACGATCTATCCTTGGCTTGGATGCTACGGAAAGATCTTCCTTGCGTACTTCCCCCGATTTTTTCTTCGTCACGACACGAAGTACGCACATTGCGCACGAACTGGACGGTACACGACATGAAGAGCAAATGGCATGTGTACATTGGAATGAAATGCCATTCGAGCACATACATAAGGTTGTTGAACCTCCGAACCTTTTCCCCTTCTTTGTCATTATCTTGCACCTACAGAAAGGGGAGGAGAGAGCTGTGCTAGGCTCAGGCCTGAATTTGTTTTTATAAAGAGATACCACTCGTGTTGTCATGTTGTTTTCTGATGTCCAGTTCTACTTCACCTCGTGCGTGCGCCGATCGTTGCATACTCCCTCTTCTAATCGCCGCTCTAATAAAGACCGTGTCGGTCATCTGAGTTGCATTGTTGATGTTGTGGAGTTGTTTGAGAGCATGGCTTCTCTGTCATGTTGGCTCAGGGGGTAGTTTTGACACGGCCTTCGTGCCTTGGGCTTGGGGTGGTCACCTGTCTTCCCTGTGTGGAAATCGCGGTATACCGGCCCGCTTGCCCTGCTGTTCTATATAAGCTCTGATGAATGTAACATTATTGTCTTGTCTACTATATTGAGTTCCCTCGTATGTCCCTGTGATGCTGTCGTGATATGAGCCTCTGCTGATGGTTTTGCTATTATGCATCCCCCTGTTCGTATCACTACGGGTTCGGGAGCGTGTCAACACGGCTCCGACGATTGAAACCCTTCTTGGTGACTTGGCTCTTCAATAAGCGCTGGACAGTCATGCGAGCTATGTATGATCTGCTCCCCGAACATTGATAAGGTCGAGATGACCGCATGTGGCCGCGGATGTTTAACTGGAGGTCACCACCGGGACGTATCTCCCGCAAGGTTTTCTTCCCTGCTCTTCTCCGGAGGTCGCTCTCCGCTCTTCGTCGATGCAGCTCAACAGCAATGACTTCGCCTGGTCTTGTGTAGATACGACTGCCAAGCCCCATCGCCGCTGGAGAAAGGATTCGAACCTAACTGGCATTGTACGTCCACATTCGTCGTGCAATGCTCATCGGGTATGATGTCTTGATAGTGATGGTGCTCCCTGCCGCGCTCTCGAGTTTCAAGACAGATTAAGTAGGTAGTCTGGGTTCGTGTCTTAATATTATTGTGCTAACGCCGCGTCCTTGAGGTTCAAATTAGGTTAGGTGAGTAGTGTCGCTGAGTGTGGCTCGGTGTTGCGTGGTCGACCTCTCCAGCTCCAGCAACACTTGATGAACGTGGAGCGCGCAAGGGTCGGAACTATTTGCTGTTGGCGTAGCAAACTTGGTGTGAGATAGGAGAGCGGTGTATATGTGAGATGGAAGGATGTGTCTGGTGTTCTCCTGTGCTGCTGGATTTGGTGGTATTATCGGTGCTTGCGTGGGTCGACTTCTCCAGCTCCAGCAGCACTAGATGAAGGAGGAGCGCACAAGGCTCGGAACTGTTCCCCTGATGCTGTAGCAAATATCATGAGAGCTAGAGGAGCGGTATATATGTGAGATTGAAAGATATGCCTGGTGTTCTCCCGTGGTATCGTGGCTGCTGTTGGTGGGCGCAAGACTACCTCGTCCCCTTTTCATCCGTGGATGGGGTGTTTGCCATTTCAAGGGCCTAATAAGACCTGACACGAAGCGTGAGTCGCTAAATTCGCGGTGTATATATGGGACGAGAGATAGAAGAACAATCCTTAGAATGGGCGAAGGACTTGTGTATATCTAGGTGGCCGTTCTGGCCGTTCTGCCGTTCTGGCCGACTGCGTGGGTTGGGTAAAAGGGCAAGCATACATCAAGGATACCCACAGACGCTCTCCAGTGAAACGCATCACGATCACAGTCCTCGACCATGTTCACCAGTTTCCTCCTCGTTATCATCCTCGGTTGGGTGGGCCCCTCCAACGCGACCACTACTCCTTGCCCGCTGCAGCCAGGAGCCGTCACCAACTGCGAGACCTGGCAGCTTGCCGAGCATGGAGACACGTGCTGCTCTCTTGCTGATGAATTCCAACTGGACGATCAAGCCTTCCTTGGCATGAATCCGCAGCTACGTGGCGATTGCCTCAACAACTTCTTGGAGGGCTTCTGGTATTGTGTTTGTACGGGGTCACCAGCGCAGGCTACACCTTACACCACTGTCACTACGACTGTGACCGTCATGGTATCTTGCCAGCAGTCGTCTTCTCTCCTCGACCATTGCTCCCACACGTCAGTTGCATCGACGAGCTCGAGGACTTAATCGACATCTTCCATCAGCCACCTGCCGCCTTCATCAAGCTCGTCTACGGTCCAGATCAGTACCTCTTCGTTGGCATTGACATCAAGCTCCAGCATCTTTTCTTCGACATTGTCGACGAGCTCTTCGAAGTCAATACATATCAGCTCCGTGTCATCTTCTAATAGCTCAGCCGCATTGATTACTACTTCTTTGCTGCCTTCAACTTCTTCGTCCCTGAGTCCACCAATGTCGTCGACGCAGCCTACTTCCACCCTATCGACCACATCGAAGAAGTCAACGAGCACCACGAGTACCGTGCCACCGCACACTACTTCGCCGACATGCGTCGCACCCTCCATCCCCGCGTGTACTAAAGATTACTGTTACGCAAACTTATTCCAGCAAGGAACTTCGGACCGGGCCCACGTCACCTCCCTCCGCGACGCGCACATGCACACCCTACGCTGCGAGGTCAATGCGACCTTGCTATTCAACTCGTTCGAGAGCGCAGTAAAGCCCACGGACACGGTGCATTGGCCGAACTTTTTGGACCTCGATTGCGCGACCAAGGTGTCGCCTACGACTACCATCATCCATGCCGCGTACGTGTGGCTGAGCTCGCTGTGCTCTTGTTTCACCCACGATGAGTTCACCCGGACACTCCACCCGTCGATGAGCATCTGATTGCTGCGCGGGGGTATCGGCTGTATGTCAAGTTTTGGACTGTGCAGGTGCATTTGCGCTTCACAGGCGGAAAGGCAGGATTGGGGGTTAGTCGTGCGCGGTGGAAAGTGAATGTGCCTGGCAGATCATTCGTTGGTAGAGCAGACTCAGAACCAAAGTAGCAGGACGCGAGATAATCCGCCACGGGTACTCACTATTCTACCTATCTCGTAGAAGCATCGTCATTACGTGATCGCCCTTTACCTCCATTGAGTTATCCTGTGATGATAGAGCATTCCCAATCGACATCACAACGCCCCCCTTTAAGGCTGTCACGACCCCTTTTCCCCATTCCCCCACCTGCCTTCCTCCCCTCTCACGATCTCCCACTCACCACAAATACCTATCGCACCTGCATTCCCATCACAAACCCATGGCAAAACCACGGGCGGGCTCACCTCGGCTCAGACGGGGAGGGACCAGGCAAACGCACCTTATGAACCAAAATAGAGCGCATTTCCCCCAACCAGCTGGTTAAGGATTTAGTCACAGACTTGTCCTAGTGGGAACGCACGGCGCGCGAGAGGCGGCCGGTGCATGAAGTTCCAAACTTGAAGCCTGTTACTCAATTCGAGGCGGGTCCCGGAGTTACATCAATGATGGCTCGCAGGTTGAAGAGAGAGCGATTGTTCCATACGGACTGTCGGAGAAACGCTTTCTTTGTGCTCCTTTTAGCCGTGGTGTGTCATATCTGTTGAATGATGTCGGGTGTTTGGTGCGTCGGTGTTTTGGACGGGAGTTTTGTTCTACGGTGTTTCCCGTCGTTGGGTTTTGGGATCGATCAGTTCTTCCGAGGATCAGGCCTGCGGCAAGTGAAGGTGCATGTGAGAGTAGACGTCAGTACGCCAGCCAGTCTGCGTTCAGGGATGATTGCGAGCCAAGAACTCCACGGCAAGTGAATAAACAGCTGCGTACGTTGTATCGTGAACCGTCTGTCTGTCTGTCAAAAACAAGCTGGGGATGTGACGGTCATGACGAGTATGACCCCACGGAGATCGTGTCCGCATGGAAGAACTGCTACGACCAAACATACCCCCGGATTATAAGAAAAGGGGTTATCGACACTACCCCCTGCCTGCCGGCGACGCCTCGACGCCAGCGACATGCATACCCGTTTTGGTATCACGCCCAGGCACCCTGGCACAAACGGTGGTTCCAGTAATCCCTGTGGTGCAACCGATCTTCTAGCGGCAGACCCTGAGATCCCTACTGCGGCTCCACTTTGTCGTTCTCGCTACCGACATCTATCGTTGTACGCCATGCGGTACCGCCGATGTTTTATTCGGCACTCAAGAGAGCCTCCCAGAATGATAAAAGCTTGGTCCGGTTGTTTTGGACTTCTGGGTATCCCATCTGACGCCACTCGTCCACCGTGATGCTGCCTTGTGCAGTCCCCATCAAATTCCTGAGATGGATCAGGCCTATTGATAATGTTGTAGAATCCCTCGTTGCTCGGCACCGAAGTGTCAAGTCCCTGAACTCCAAGGACTGCTCCTCTCACGATGAGAATCTCCATCTGACATCGTTCATATGACGATTGATTCCAGACCTCACACTTGCCAATACTAATAGCATGCATTGGGTGCCCGCCCTGACGATCTGAGTGGACTGCTTCGAGATGATACATGAATCAAGCCTTGCTGCCTTGTCCAGGAATGGAACATTATCCCAACACGGTGGGCTCGGTGGAGTCTGATGGAATGAGGGTTGACGTGCCCCATACCGGTAGTATTAAAAGAGGAGCAGATCGCTGATGGCATCCCTGTTTGCTGCATATCGCCATTGTTATCCCGGTACCCCTGCGCTTCGAGAAATGTTCTTCGACGCCGATGGATTGTAATACCGCATTTAGACGTGTGTGTATGATGACTTCTATCGCATAGTCCAGTCTCAATGTTGCTCCATACAAGAGTCCTGAGGCGTCTGAGCACTGGAAGAATACTGGATGTCGGCCAAGGGGACATATAACATATTCATACCCACGTCTAAACAACTCACCTGCTCTACCGATACCGAGGCTGTGAGTGGGCTGTGTGGGTCTTCTCACGACTCATCAAAACGTACATCTATACCAGTCTCAGGAGGTCATCTCTCCGGTATCCACACGACAAATCGCAAGCTGAATGGATTGTTCTTCATATGAACCTGGTCTGCCTGTTTCTTCCCCGAAACCCCAAAGAGCGCCAGGCTCTGGCTGGGGCATCAACATCAACCGCGTCTACAGGTCGGTTCAACACCGCAAGCGAGCAATGGTTGCAGCAAGTCTCGACTTGGCGACAGTCCTCGAATGATATCGACATCGACTATTCGCGGATATGGGTAATAACCCGTGGGGTATCCCCGACGATGAATTCGCCGCCCTCGACCATGGAAATCGATATGGTACGGTGATAGGGGCCGCGGCCCTGTGTATGGCTCTCTCGACATTGATGGTGGCGGCTCGACTATACACGAGGCATTACCTCACAAATCAACTGGGCTTGGACGATTACCTCTCAGCGGCAGGCCTAGTGAGTCTACTCAGCCAGACGCTTCCGGCTGGCACTCTTCGCGTATCTCAGGAAGCAGTATTGACGATTCCCTCCAGGCCGGTATGCTCACTACAGGCATTATTTCATGTGTTCAAACAAAGTATGGGCTCGGTGCCCACCATTGGGACTTGACCAGCCTTTCGGAGGAAACAATGTTTTTCAAGGTATGACGTCTTGCCCTTGCGACAGATCTATAATTGAGTTCTGACTTGCTGGTGAAGTTGTTCTACGTCATGTCGATAATATACAACGCGACCTTGCTATGCATCAAACTCAGCCTCTTCTTTCAGTACTACCGGTTGATAAGGGACATCCCTCGCTACTCCTTTATCTACATTGTCATGTGAGTAACTTGCCGAGCTATCTTCGTTTCGTCAGGCGTGTCTGGGGAATTTGGTTTTCTTCTTGCAGGATGCTTCCTCTTGCAACAATACTCCAACTTCACAGGAATCACGTACCCCTCAGGAGTCCTTACTGACTTCGGATGACGCAGCATGGGCATAATAACTAGCTGGACAATCGCCCAAATTCTCGTTCTCTCTCTCATCTGCATCCCAGTCCAGGGGTACTGGGACCCGACGATATCAGCGAAATGCCTCGACCCCGATTCAGTCGTATGGGTAAACTCGATAGGCAACATCGTCACCGACATCATCGTGCTGTTGCTTCCGATGCCCGTCGCATGGCGTCTGAACCTCAAGAAGGGACAGAAGTGGGGCGTGATTGGGATATTCGGTCTTGGATTCCTGTGAGTGTATGCCCGCGTCGCCTCCCTCGATGCTGTACTGATGCGCTGGCGCCAAACAGGACGTGTGTGGTATCCATCTTCCGACTGGTCTTCTTCACCATGATGACCGCAGACTACACGCGAGATTTCGTTCCCTTCCTCGCATGGAGCCAGGCGGAGATGGCCTCGGGCCTCATCTGCTCGGCCCTCATCACGCTTCGCCCGCTGGTGGGTATCGTGTTCCCGGCTTTCCGAACGATAAAGAAGATCACGAATGGCCTTAAGTTCTACAAGATCGGTGGTGGGGAGTCGGGCCTGGGCTCGCGGAGGAAGAGCGCGAACCTTGACGCGAAGCTGACGAGGCGCCCGAGCCGCGATCCGTTCGGCGGGAGCGAGACGGAGCTGACACGGCGCGACGAACTGGACACCTATCGATCCTGCAAGCGGAAGGTGAACTTTCGCGACTCCGCGCTCGATAAGCGAAGGTCAGTGCAGAGCATGAAGGTGGCGAGGACGGCCCAGAAGCACGAAAGGAACGTGACCGCCCACAGGCACGACAAGTTCCTTGGTTTGGAATCAGGGGTGCGGACAATCATCAGTTCGGGCGACAACGACAGTATGATTTCGGTGTCGTCGCCGACGATCGATGGCATCATGGTGAAGCAGGTGTGGACTGTAGGCGACAAAGAAACGCGCGGTGATGAAGATGATATACCACAGGTCCCGCGTAGTCCATAGGCACATACTTGGAATTAGACACAATAGATGATTGGGACCATTCCCCTTTGTATGATCACATTCCGATACTCTACGCTGCACGTTGACCTAAGAGTTAAATATGAAGAAACAGTATTACCAGAGACGGGATAATACACACTGCCCCAATTCGCAATTCGATCCGATGACACTGCATTACTCGCAGCTCCGGATACCGACATCACGCTTTCTTACTACCACCGTCATCACCAAAACATCTGTCCCATATCAGAATACCCCGGCTGGGGAACGAACAAGTTCCAATCCGCCCAGATCAAGTCCTCCGAACTCTGCGGCATGAACCCGTCCAAGCCAGCCGCAACACCACCACCGCTCGTCTCCTGCAGCATCATCTCCGGCGCCGGCGGCAGCCGATCGCGCACCGCCTCCTCCACGGGGTGCACCTCCCTCTCCACGACGCCGTTCGCAGCCACAGTAAGCACATTCGTGCGCAAGCGCACCCGCAGCACCGTGTCCCACACGATGGAGGCGCCGAGACGGTTCGTGATCAGCAGCTCGTTCAGCGACGACGAGTTCGCCGTCGTCGTAGTGGTGGTGGTCTCGTGCAGACGCGCCTTGCTGAGCAGCTTCTCTACTAAGATGGCGGCACGTGCGATGTCGCGGCGTTGCGGCAGCTGCTGGAAGATCTCGTGCACATCGACCATGCCCTGGTACGCGAGCGCCTTGTGCGTCTGGCTGATGGGCTGGCTGAGGACGTAGGTGCGGAATAGGAAGAGCGCGGCGAAAAAGAGGTTCGTGAAGTAGTGCTTCGGGGCGAAGGGGAGTATGGTGTTGGTGGTGGTGTTGTCCCCGTGGGTATCGGCGGTGGCTGGGGCTGGGGCTGGGGCGAGGCAGACGGCCTTGATGCCCTCGATCAGGTTTGATGCGGCCTCTAGTCCGCGCAGGAGCAGAGTCTGCAGGTCGATGATGTGACTGGCCTCCCTCGTACACCCCTTTTGTAGATACGGCACCAGGGCGGTGCTGTGGAGATTCAGCTTCGCGAGTTGGAATACGATGTCTACTTCTCGCGGCCAGTCGGCGGCGTACGTCTGCTTGACGATGTCGAGCGATCCGTTGTGCGACTGCGTGAGCAGGAAGTGGGTCGATGGCTCGTCGATGCCCTCGAGCGCTACGCTGTAGTGGCACATGTTCTCGTAGATGGCTATACTGGCCAGTTGTTCGGGTTTCAGATGGCCGTCCAGGCCGTTGACGGCTTTCCGCGTGTTCTTCAGATGATAACAAGACGATAACGGTGGCACGAAGCCGAGCCACACGGACTCTCTATGTGGCGGTTAGTATGAAGTCACTGTCTTCCCCTGGGATGGCGTCACAAACTGGGTACTGATGCTAAAACATGCGAGCCACGTCAGACGCTGTGTCTCCAGGCTGACGGACGTGAGTGTTCTAGGCCACCCGCCCCAACCTTGCAAGATGTGATCTTGCGGTAGGGGGTTATGAATATCTAGTCGTATGCATGCGCTGATTGCTAGGCCGATGTAGTTCCATATTGGATTGAGGACCTCCCGTTGCTTCGGGATCGGCCATAGGCACAGCAGCAAGAGAGCATCTTTCGGCAAACCGAAGTCAGTGGTTGCTCCTATAAAACAGTCTAGGGTTTGACGGCTGTGGATTTACTCACGTATCTCCTGGATTGAGTGTAGGGCGCAAGTCGTTAGGGGTGCCAGTAAGTCCCGGTGCGGAAAGAACAACTTTTCGTATAGATGACTGTGGCTCTCATGATGTTGAGACGCAATAAATAGGATTGTCCAGAACAGCAAGGGTGACTCCGACGCGCAAGAGGCCGGAGACTGAATGGGCTGTAGAAACGCAGCCCGGATGTAGTAGTGTTGCTCAAAGCTATAGACACGTTAGCGATCATGGTAGCGGAACAGAGGCTCAACTGCCTATACTGTCTTAGTAGCTCAAGCACTACCTCGGGAGGTATGCCGACAGCCCCTATTGATAAGTCGGTAACGATCTCCCCCTCACTGATCTGGAGGAAGCGTGCATGCTCCTCCGGGTCACGCGCTGCCGATGGCGGGCGTGGCGAGACACTGGTCCCTTCAGAGGTATATTGCGTGGCTCGCATGTTGTGAAGCTCATTAGTGAGGCTCGACGTGATTCTGAGCGGGGGTCAATGTCACCATGCAGAAGTTCCGCAGACTCCGGGGTCAGACTCACTGTCTCGTTGGTATCCTCTTGAAGTTCTTGTCGAACCGACACTCCATGTTCTTGTCCTTGCACCTCCAGCACGGGCCTGGGGCCTTCTTGCGCGCGTCGCATGCCATCTTCGCTTGCCGGCAGGCTATACATGATCTGGCTTTCCCAACCATCTCGCTTCGTGATAGGGGATTCGGCTTGGAGAAGGCGTTTTGAGTCAAGAACGTCATAGGAGAAGGGCGCCGGTCGCATGTGGTGCCAGCCCCTTAATCAAATGTCTCTTCGATAGTGACAGTCCTACTCCATCCCAGGACAGAGTTGCATTGAACGGTACACTGCCACATTCGCTCTCTCGACTGCGCCTCCGCGATGTATACGTCGACCCTTGAGAAGCGAGATTCGCTTTTTCAGCAGAGCGGCGGATCGTATGCATGGCCCTTTTGACCGCCCTTTGACGTTGCCGGATCCCGCTTGGTCTTCGCCCACCTGCAGCCAGCAAGTCTTCCCCGCCTCTTCCCCGGGATCAGCGTTGTTTTCGGAGCTTACGGCGTTAACAGTGGAGCGGTTCTGGCATAGTGCGGAATTCGCAGTTTGGTATTGACCATTGACCATTGACCATTGACCGCCCCCCTCCCCGCGAAAGCAACATCGCCCGCAGAAGAGCCGGAGGAACCTCGTATAGAGCTAGGGGCCTTCCGTCCATAGGGCTGTGCATGGGTAAACTATGGTGGAAAATTGCATAGCCTCAGAACTTTAATTTCCCTGGATCTCCTATTCCCGTCCCGCGGCCCCTGATAGACTTGTGACGGCCATCGCATTGGTTGTCTTTGGAAGAGGCATGCGCCTCCTGAGCTACGCGGTTACTTCGACCTTGGAACTTTTATTTCCTTAAACCTCTCTTGCTCCCGTCTCGCGACCCCCGACAGACCAGTGAAGGGCATCGCATTAGTAATTTTCGGAAAGAGGCATGCGCCTCCTGAGTGACGCGGTTATTTCGACCATGCTTGTTGATAGACTCGATCATTGGCCATGGGCCGGGTGGTGGCAGGCAGCAGCGGGGTTGCGGCAGGAAGAAGAAATGCCTCTGTTTACCCCCGCGGCCGTAATCCGCGAAACGAAGGACTCTGAATATACATATAAAGGGTCCTGGGTCATGACCTGATAGGCGTTCTTGATTTGGAGCTTATTCATCCTTAGCACTTTCTAGTCAGACTCAGATCAAGATCGATATCAAGATGAAGCTCCCCTCCTTTTTCACCACATTGGCAGTCAGCCCAGCCCTTGCAGCGGCTTATTCCGGCAGCTGGAGTCCGGCAACGGCCGGTGATGGTATGTAGTATCTGAAAAAGAGGAGAAGTATCGATGACCGAGACGCTGACTCTCGGCAGTGCGAGCTCCTTGCCCGATGCTCAACACTCTGGCCAACCATGGGTATCTCCGACACAGCGGCAAGGATATCACCTTGAATGAGACCATCACCACCCTGCAGACTGTCTTGAACGTCGACCCGGTCTTTTCGACCTTTCTGTTCGAGAAGGCTCTCACTACAAACCCCTACCCCAATGCGACGACGTTCTCTCTCGAAGATCTCGGAAACCACAACATCCTGGAGCATGATGCTAGCTTGAGGTATGTTCGGGCCGTTTTGGATACCTTGTGTTCCCCGCATTATCATTGAAGCGAACACTAATCCGAGCATCGTGTAGTCGCGCTGACTGGTTCTTCGGTTCGGTTTTGTTGTTCAACGAGACCGTCTTCGCTGAAACCAAGTCCCACTTAACGGCAGACATCATTTCACTGGAAATGGCTGCTAAGGCCCGGCTTGGTCGCGTGGAAACCTCCAATGCCACGAACCCGACCTTCTCCCTGAGTCCGCTCGGTATGGATTTCGACTTCGGTGAGACCGCCGCCTACATCATGGTCCTCGGAGACGGAGCAGCCGGCACGGTTCGCAAGGACCGGGTCGAGTACTTGTTCGGTAAGAAGAGCCCCCGAACTCATAGTCCTTTCCCGCCCCAATATTGACATGGTGGGTGACAGAGAATGAACGGTTGCCCTTTGAGCTGGGCTGGGTCAGGCCTAATACGACCATTACCCTGGACGGCCTCATAGCTGTTGCCAATAGACTGTTCGCCGCCCAGGGATTGACTTCCGAGGAGGCCGCTAAGAGGGTCCGAAGTTCGAGGGATATGCACTTTGGCCATTAGGTGACAGCGAGCATGTCTCAGCACTGCACATGGGACTCTCTTGACTCGGGCTGTGTAAGGCGGTAGTGGATTCGGAGCCAGGGATCGATCGTGCGCGCCTGCCAGTTCTCGGACTCTGTAAGCTGGCATCCTCGGTTTCTCCAGCCGACTCTAGTTTAGGCCTTGATGGCAATACGACCCTGCTCATAGAGCTTCCATTTCACTTCTTGTGTCCTACCAATAGAATAAGGACAATTGACTTGTAGTTCCTATTTGAGACCCTGCCTCATTTTGAACGCGCACGAAACCCTATGTAAACCCGGTTCGTGTTTGTGTACGGTAGTATATTGTCTCCAAAGCTAATTATTTTCCCGTCTGTACAGTGCTGTGATGCTGGATGCGCTCGGGAAGCTTTATCAAGCGTGCCCAAGGACACCTGATAGATTGTCTCTTATTTGAAGCCTGTCATTCCCATCGAGATGCGAACTGCCTGTGGTGTGTTTTGATGCTCCGCGCCTCATAGCTTACAAGCTGTGGTCAACCAGATGTGGGTGTCGAGACACTTTCGTATTTGGTGTTCCGCCGTACCAGAGAATGAGTCTGACTAATAACACTGTGACCTCTAACATGATGCTTTGATTGTAAACGTGTATACTCTGTCAATATTCCATCTAATAATCTGGCAATCGATCCAGGCCTGCGAACGAGTAGCTCGGAGATTATCACCTCTGAACAAGATGAAGAATAGCCATAATCGAGCCACTGGTGCAGCTTCCCCCGTAGTCAGAAGAGCCAAGATCTATGCCTGCACCAAGTAGCATGTAACCCCATTATACATGGGCGATGGAGGTGTATATGCTGCCTCTGGACCCCAAGATAAATGTACCGAGGCGTACAAGATGTAAGCTGCACTGCTCTACACCAGCGAGTATGAGCGAGGTCCTGTGCGCGTCACTTAATGATCATGACGACCCTGAGTGTGAACCGTCCCCTGTGGACGCTCCTGGGTGAACGTGCTGAGATATGGAGTCCAGGTCGACCTGGTGGTCAGTGTCGAGCCGAGATGCGTTGGCACGACCCGTCTCCAGTCGCATTGACGTGATCGATATCCACATGTCTCCTTAGAGCCTGAATCACATCTTCATCGGTTCTGGTCCCCGTCCCGCTGCCTTTCTCTCATACCGGCAGCTCACTCCGTCGACTGTCATTGCCGCTCAACTCCGGCCGCGGGGACGTATAAGTAGGAGACGAATGCTGATGCGCCACCGCCACCTCGCAGTTAGGCGCCTCTCTGTACGCCATCTCCGTGTTCGGCACCTCATATCTCGACGGCGGGTTGGAGCCGGCCATCTCGGGATACGCGTTCGGCTGTAGGGACTGGGGGTAGGCGTTCGCAGCGGGCGCCTGGTTCCCGTATGTGTACGTAGGTACGGCGTTGTACTTCTCGACGTTGCCTTCCCTCGCCCTACGCCTCCTCTGGTTTCTCCTGTAGACGATGAAAGCTAGGATGCTGAGGCTGATGACCGCCACGCATATGATGACGATGCCCACGATCCAGCCGGTAGTTATGGTCTTCGTGGTGTTATTGAACGTGTCTTGCGCATCGTTGAAGCTGGAATCGAAATCCGAGGATGGTGATGATGTTGTGGTGGAGTCTGACATGATGTAAGGGTGCAACAAGTGTGTCGACAAGGTAGGTAGGCGGTAGGGGGATGACGAGGGGGATGGTGAGATTGCCTCACTCGTGGATATCGATCAGGAATCAGGATACGTAGATCCTAACTTCAGGTCAGAAGAGGATGAGAATCGCTGTCGGGAATCCAGTCTAGAAGGATATGAAATAGAAATGGTCGGCGCCCGGGTCCGTCTATTATAATGTCTTGCCACTTGCCGACCTCCAGCAGTGCGAGCTGTGCCTCTCCTGAGTCCTTGCTGCGCCTCGCAACACTGGGAGGGATCTGCAGAGATCGACAACATGCGATGCATCTAAATCGGGATCATAGGCCATCAAGTGCCTTTGCCACTCAGCTGCCGTCCATTTACGGTAAATTACCCAATGGGCCCTCTGCGCCGCTGTGTTGGTGCAACACCGCCTTGGAGCCATGATTGAAGCCGTAGGACCTTCAACGTCATACTTGACTGTGCCTGGTTACCTACCCTGTTCATAGCCCCCAGTTGTTCGCATTGCCTCCGTGGCCGTGAGGTTAGGTACCGCTGTATTGATCGACAGCTGGCCGACCGGAACTTAACCAACCTAACCTGCATCCCATTGATGAAGCTCGGGAGCCGCCTCGGGAGCCGCCTCGGGAGCCGTCTCGGGACATTGGCACGGGGGTCCGCCGCCGCAGTTTGAGCACGCCATTCGCTTTGCGCATACACGTACCACCTACCACCAATATACAAAGCGGCTTGTAAGTTGTGATACCGGCTTGTGACAAGCATGATGCTGCGGCGCGCACCCTCCATCCAGCAGTTTGAGTAATGTTGCTGCCTTGAGATGCTATCCTATACCTTTCCAGAGTGTGTGCCCGTGCATGACACGCCGCCTCTCAAATGACAACTCTGGATTAAAAGTTCAGGCTTAGATACGCAGAATGCCCTCACCTCAGAGCAGAGCAATGCGTCACAATTGCTCGCTGCTCGCTGCATGATCATGAGAGGGCGGCGAATCTTCTCGACCCTCCACAGACGAGGCAGCGGGCAGCTCACACCAATACACAGAGCCTTATTGGCCTCTCTAGGCTCCAGTGCTCTCGACAGGATCTAGGTATCCGTAAGCCAGTCTGGTCAGTATGACAAGGGAGCGCGCCAGCGGCCGCGCGCATCCTTCAGTGGGCCGTCGTCCCATGTGGTGAAGTCAGTAGGACACGCGATGACAAGCACAGCGACCCATGGTTCTCGAAAGCTTCACGGTAAGAAACATACTCGACTTTATTTGGCAGCCTGTATTGTGGGCACGTGTGGGTGGGACAAGCGTCGAAATCGCGATACGGCTTACATGGCTGACACATGGAAGCCGATGCGCCTTTCGCAAGAGGTTGTGATGAACAGAACACTTGGCACGAACACCCTAAGTGCCCCTCAAAGAAGGGATCTTGCTGGTAGTTCTCTTTTATCAGGGAGCAAACGTCAGGAGATGTGTCCATTATTCGCAGAAGATCGTCGCAAGTCCGCGATCCTCTTGTGGTCCCTGCATATAATTAGACAGATAAGCCGTGGATTGTGGTGGATCGTCAAATCCCACGGTCCGCCAAATCCCATGGCACGTCACCGAATCCTCGCATATGGTGGTAGTGTGGTGGTGGTGGTACTCTAGGCAGCCTCTGTAGGACAATGATGAGCGGGTATAATTTCATCGATACATACTCGACCCGTGTTCGAATCTCGTTGCCAAGAAACCCATTTTCTCGCTCGAAGCATCGACGCCGTTTTCCTGCGACCCTATCCAGGAACTCTGCACGTACAACACTTTTTCTATCTCACTCGAACTACCATAACATAATGCACTACGCGAAAACCGCATTGCGCTTATTGGCGGCCAGTGCGACCCTCACCGTGCAAGCCAGCGCCTCGGAACGCGTTCCCCAGCCCTGGGCGGACACTGGCTCCCTAGCCGTGCGCAACCCGGATCTAGGATCTTCTCTAACAACTGCGATCAAAGGCCTGGAAGCACCAGAGGATCTAATAGAATTCATTCCTGCCTGCCTTACCTGTTTCTTCTGGTCGCAGATAGCCACGCACTCGGCCCTGAAAGGCTCGGACGACACGGACTCCAATTTCCTGGAGAAGCTTGGATCAGGATACATCGATTGGCTTATGCACCTATGTCAGAAGAAAAATCCTGGCGGCATCAGTGGCATCGTTGACAAAATCATCGAGCTCGTCATCGTACCTCCGGAAACCCAGCATTGCGACGAACTCGATGCCACATACGACGATAAACTGCACAGGTTCGTCCTCGTTGACGGAAATGGGACCAAGTACGTGGCCGACGGGAAATCAGCAAGTACGTTCAGCACCAAAAATTCGGACGCTGCCAACAAAATGCGTTCCTTCTTCACATCCACCGTATTCATTGAGGCTGCTGAAAAGCTAGTCAAACACTTTATGACAAAAACTTCACAATCAAGGGCTATGTTTTAGAGTGGGAGATGGCTAAGGCACATCCATTGTGGCCGCCAGGGCAGTGATGAGCCGGGACTGGATAATCACGGTACCTTGCCTCGGCGTTATGAATCTTTCTCTTCTATCTCTCCTTTGCAGCACTGCACGAGATTTTTGATACCTTGAGTTCCTCTGAGAGACGGCGTCTTTCGAACAGGCACAGATCCTATCTGGTCCTCTGCGCTTCTACAATGGCCACTTTGGGCCTATTCCGAGCGGGAGATCTCAGCACATAGGGTTACGATATTACTTAGGGAATAGGGTTACGACGCTATTGCGGGATGGATCTTGTATGTAATATAGCGTTCTTGGGCCCGCAATGGCAAACCCCCTCAATGTATCCGACAGACGGAGAAGTGACAGAACGTGACCTGGATATATTCTGACCAACTACTGGCTTGCCTTTTTGACTCAAACTTCGCCTCCGATGCACGGTTGTTGTGCAGGTGTGATACCAAGGTCATAATCTGGCGACATTCCCAATGTGACACAGACTGCCACTGAGATATAATAAATGCTACCTGTCTGTATTGATTGACGGTATACCACAGTGGCCCAATGGCACACTCGCCGGCTTGGACTCAGCCTGGAGGGCGTGACTAAGAACTAGATATCATGTCTGGACCCATGGGCCACTGAGATTATCACGACGCTAACACACATTGCGAACACTGGCAGTCAGGTAAATAACCACATTTAAGGCGCGTTAATCGGAAAGGCTATCTAAGGAGTTGCGTCGGAGTTGGAGGCTAGGTAGGTTTGAGGATCAGGGGTGGGATATAGGTCAGTGGCACGCCCAATACGTACCATGAGCAAAACTTTGTGCATCTTCTGTGCACCTATCCTCCTTTGAGCCTATCATGGGGGAACTGCCAAGGCTTACAGGCGAGAGCTCTTATCTGGTTCTCTTCCAAAGAGCTCGTTGACGATGTGCCGGGAGTCTTCATGGCCTATCTTAAAGAATCAAAAATACTGACGGAAACAATGCCAGTAGCTGTTACATATAATCACTGCAACTGCTGTTACTTTATCCGACTCGTAGCGCGGCGCAGCTTTCTCCATCCCTTTGTAGTGCGGGTAGCCGCCCGTCTTTGTCACCCGAATTCAAAGGCATTGCCTCTAATTGTCCAGCGCCGAACCGCTACTGAGGGCAGCAGATTGATATAAATGGCAGTGTGCCCGACGTGAAGTCCAACAGAATGCTAGAAGACAAACACAAGAAATATCGCAGAATCATCTACCGCAATCAGAACACCACTCAAACTTCACCACAATGCCGGCCCGCTTTCCACTCGAGGCGGCGTTTCAGCCACGCAGGGTACAAGAACAAAAGGAGCTCGAAACTCTGCTCAGCGGCGGTGTTCTGTCAAGGCAGAATGTCTTAACCCGCTACGTGATAACGGCCAAGAAGTACAGCCCGGGCTGCGAAGTCGAAGTTGCCAACACCGAGCTTGTCGGGAAGCAGACGACGATTCCCATCCCGGAAATATTAAACCATTGGCAGGAAAACGGCCAATTCTTCAAGGTACAGGCGTGCAAAAAAGGTAAGCCTCTCACAGACGCCCTACCGACATTGGCCCACGACGACATCGCAAGCGTCGGCCGTGAGGTAGGTGAGTCGCTGCTCCAACTCCGCCGTATCACTTCCCCGACAACTAAGACGCTCGTCGGCTGCCCAGTCTTTGACAGCCGGCTTGGCTACCCCTTGGAAGATGTTGGCGCGTACGGTAGCTACTCGGAATGCGCATCCGACGCCGACGTGGCGGATAACCTGGCGCTGGCTATCCAGCATGTGGACGACACGACGCTGACGGCCCTGATGGCGAAGATGCCGTCATGCGAGCCGTTCACGTTCACGCACTCTGACGTGCATGAGGGCAATATCGTGGTGAGAGACGGTAAGTTCGTCGGACTCGCTGGTTGGGGGCTGGCTTCGTACTCGCCCTGTTGGTGGGAGTATGTCAATGCCGACCCGTTGCTTGCTGACCACTTCCCCGAGGAGATGAAGTACCCCAAGGCCTTGGAGTGGTTCACTGTCTACCAGGCTGTTCTTGAAAGGGCTTGGGACGAAGAGACCCAAGATTTGGTCATGGAGTATATTGCTTCGTGGCTGGACTTGAGTGACTTGAGTTGAGCTGACAGGTAAGTGACGCCCCATAAGCACCTAGGCATATACTTGAATTGAGGGCCCATATTGAGCTCTCCCAGTAGAAATTGAAAGTATATCTAATTCCTTCGTCGTTACCGTCTTGCTTCCGTGTCTTATAACTGTCTTGGCTTAGTGAGCGGCCGGACTGATTAACGCTCGGATAGGAGGTAACAAAGCACCTATAAGTCCAGTGCAATAAGGAGCAGGACAAGGCTTCATGTGGGTCTTGACTTGAATTGGAAAAGGGTAGTAATAATACCGTCAGTGACATTGATAGGATGTCCTGGTGTAAGCAGTCGGGTGGCTCACAGGTGTGCTGTAGCACGCTTCCAGGGGTGACAAGGCTGACAAGGCTGACAGCAGCACTGAAAGGAAGGAACAGCCTGGAAGCGGGCTTTGAGCCTTAGTGTATCTGGGACAAGGGATCTTTACCCTCCGGATCAAAGGCTGGGCATTGCTTTGAAGTTGGTATGTGTATTTAGTACCTGAACAGGTCCCAAGACCCAAGGGTAGATCCGCACCCAGAATGTAAGCAACATGATGACCTGAACCACTGAACCGATCTTTTCCATACCTAGTGTGTATTTCCGGCCAGATTCATTTGTGACTGAAATGAATGCTTTGCTGCAGCCATTTGCTTACGTGTAAGTACATACCTCCATAGTGAGTAATGGGTACCGGGGTCAATGTGAGAGCGGAGGGTACCCATTATCGTGGAGTCCGGAGGGCCCGCGGCAGGCCACTGGGTGCTTGGAATCTCGCCCTCCGATCCAGCGATCGTGATTCTGACTAGTCAATGGCGACATCCCCATGCGAACTCGTAACCATAAAGCAGTGGTAGATTGCTCGGTCGCTAGCAACCTACAACAGTTAGGACAGCACCTGGCACAGTGTGGTGCATCTGCCACACCTTCTTGCTCATGTGGAAACTTTACGCGCTTCTTATCCCGCCAGGAGTCATTGTCCTTCCGTTATACCCATGATTCAAGTAGACTGCCAATGAAATGAGAGCGGGATGGTTAGGTACATACATGGTGGAAAACTTACGGTTGGCCATCTAATCATGCCATCCACATGCAGTTTCGACTGCATGAAACGATACCACCTCTGCCCGCCGCGGACTGACCAGTGCAGATACCTAGAGAAGACATTGGCACTCCCTGAGATAGTCACGACCAGTTCAATTCAATAGTTCCGATTTCTATACTGACATTGACCCCAGTGAACTCCCGGAAAGGACTGATTGAATTCTTATGTTTGCCCGGCGTGTGGCGATGGGCCTTGGAGAGAGTCCGGGGGTGGGTCACTGACGGACGCCTAGTGCTAAAGTTAGATGCTCAGTGGATTAAAGTGGACCGCATCACTTGACCCACCACTTCCGTCTGGGGAAGCGGGGTTAGCGCAGACCCCTGAGTCCACTACGCTGCAGGCCATTCCCAAGGACGTCGCACGTCAGGAGACTATAGCAATGTTGCTGTCGATACTACCGTCATATTGACCAGAGAAGTTTGACAGTGATATTCCTTCCAGGATGAAGTACACATAAAGCAGCAGAGCCTCAACTATCAAGGTCGAGTGGCAGGCAACCCATTGGACATGTCGTGTGCCACGACATACAGGTGTGGTGGTCTGATCCCTGAAATCTTGGAGTCACATATGTCAGGGGGGCATCTGGACGAGTCAGTATCTCTTACCATTTGACATGCAAGCCTCAGGCCACCCTCGCACGAGGACCATGTACGAGTGGTACAGCAAGTGGGCCAGCGTCATCGCTGGCCCATCTAGGTTTGGGTCGACACGCATGACCTGCTGGACTAGGCGAAGCATAAGCTGAGCGACCCCCAGCCCGGAGAGTATGCGATTGATGTGACACTCCCCTTCAATGCCATTGGTATACCCCGCTTCCTGCTGCGTCTTCCCCGGACGAGACCTTGTTTGATAGGGGCGGACGTGTTGGTTATTACCTTGGGGGCACAAGGATGGAGACGGGGAGGTGCTACCGTGCTTACCGTGGTGTAACGGGTACGTCCCTCTCCTTCTCCCTCTTCTTTAAAGATCTCGCCCTCCCCTCCCGACCTGCTCTTCCCAAACTCACGCCTTTCTCTATTCATCAACACTCACATCATCACCACCGCCACCTGATCTCCTAAATATCAATCACCGTGAGACAACACCACTGGAACCCACTGCTTCTCCTAGTTTACAGCAGACAGAGGCCAGGTACGACATATCCCACAGCTCGCCCTTCCCCTCTCCTTCCTTCAATCACAAACCACTAACCCAGTCTCACCAGACACCACACGAAACTCTCCACTCTACCAACTCATATCATCCAAAATGCCCGTCCGCATCCCCAAGGCCAGAGGCAGCGAGACCGCCATCATCAGCATGGCCGGCGTGACCGCCTTCGCACCCTTCTACTTCATGATGCCCGGCGCCGAGGAACGCCTCACCTCCCAGACCACCCACTGGGCACCGCGATGGGAACGCAACATCTCCCACTTTGCACCACCCGCACAGAACATCGCCCAAAGAATAGAGCCCGGCGTCGGACGGACCGTCCAGAAAATCAACAACAAGCTGCCGTTGGAGAGGATGGCGCTTACCGTCGACCGGAGGATCAAGGCTGGTATTGACAGGATGAGCAAGCGTTGATGCCGTGCTGGCTCGCAGGGATTGCGGAAGATCTGGGTCGGATGAATTGAGATATCGATCATTGACGAGATCGAGACACCCATCGAGATCATAGGATGTACTACCCCAGACACGGGCACGAGTACGAGCGCATTGTCGCTCTGGATTGAGCCATACCTCGTCCACTACTCTGTAGCTTAGCACAATACAAGTTACATAAGAAGTAACCTGAGTCTCACCTGTCATCAGTGACCGCTCCACATACGATTAACATGGTGCCATCGGAGTACTTGGACGCTCGACTTCTGGTCTTACACGATGGCGCGACTGAGAGAAACCACCCTCGGCAATATCAAAATCACTACTGACTAGACACCAAAGTCCAGAAGTCTGAGCACGACACACAGACTCGACAGCTTCCGTGAACATAATTGGGAATTGGTAACGTGTTCTCCACCGTGGTAGCATGTGATGCAACCGAAAAATTACTGGCAGAATGCAGGGCAGCCAACGCCACTACTTTTCACTTCCCTCACGAAATTGATATCATTCGAAGTTCTCGACATGCAAGAGCTAGAATAGCAGAGACAGTACATCCAGTGAAAGTCTCGCACTGCTGTTCAATCATGCTGACGGCAGGGTGCGACTGGGGGAAGCTTCCAATCTTCTTTTCACCACTCCGAATTCGCAGTGCTCAGAAGTGAGGTTAACCAAGGAGCTTACATCAATTCCGTCATTTGAAAAGCTTGAGCCCTCCCGGGACAGTATCCTGAAACAGGCCCTCAGGATCATACTTCCTCCCAACCTCCTGCAAGAACCTCTTGTTCTCCTCCCCATACGACGTGAACGGGTCTTGGAACCCCGAGGCATAGTTCAAGTAGACATACGGCACGCGCACCCCCCCCCCCCCCTTCGACCCTCGGCATCCCTTTCAATCGCCTCCAGCGCCTCACGGAGCACCCGCAGGATCCCCTCATCGTCCGCGCGTTCTGCCAGAACGTCAACAGCAACACCGTCACAAGCGGCTCATCGTCGGCGTCCAGTCCGAGCGCGTTCCCGCCCAGCGCGGCCGTCCGGCGCAGGCAGCGTCACTATTAATTCAAGCCGATTTGATTGATTTAACGGTTGGATTTGGTTTAATTTAATTAAATCGAAGTTTTTACAATGTTTGCAACTTAAACATACTTTCCTTAGATTTAACCCTAATTAAACAAGCTTTAAAACCCTTTTCATATTTATATAAAGAGTGGTTTTATATAGTATTAAAGCCATAAAGTTTTTAAAAATTCTTGTTATAATTGAACTAATAATATTAAAATCTTATTCTAATTTGTTAATATAACTAGTTAATTTTGTTAATAAATTTTTATAGAATATTGAGCGGTTATTGTTGAATAGGAGCCGGAGATAGACACCGGAAGATCTCCAGTGTACCAAGAGCTCGCAACTGAAGGAGCCATCTACAGTAAGAACATCATGCACCAGGCCCAAGTCGACTACCGTGCCATTATATCAACGGTTAACAAGGGGGTACAGAAAAAGAAAAAGAAAGATTTTGTCAGCTGGATTAAAGAGTGGGAGTTGGTTATGGCCAGGGCTATGAAAGCCAGGATTCCTGAGGCTCTATCTCCAGCAACCTGGTTTAATGACTTCATAGTCGCTGTCACCTTGATGAACTCTAATTGGTCTTTTCAAGCCAGGGCAGACAAGAAGGAAGGAGTGCTTAAAGGCAGTATTTCATACTCTAAGATAACCTCTGATCTCCACAATGACTGGATAATAACGCATGCCGTTACCAATCCTTTAAAGGGATAGAAAGCGGGTTTCTCAGCCCTTTATGGAGAATAGGCAGACAATATAGGAGACTCAACAAGAGACTCAATTAAAAACAAGAGAGAAAAGGAGCATCCTCAAGTATAATCAGACACAAGAGGCAGAGGCCGCGGTGGAGGAAACAACAATCAGAGACAGCAAGGGGGCTCAAGAGGTGGATCAAGAGGAGATTTCAGAGAAGGAAGTCAGGGAGCTTCTAATAAAAGAGGCCAAGATAATAAAGAAGCTCCCTCAATCACTTAAGCATGCAAGGGATGCTATTATAAAGGACACCACTTTATAGAGTGCTTTTATCTCTTCCTAAACAAGCGACCAAATGGATAGAAAGTCCATCACAATGTGGAGCGAATGGTCAAAATACTGCTTAAAAGGGACAACAATCTATCTGAGAAAGTGGCACAAATTTCCAAGAGACAGACACCGCGTGATTGACTCGTGGAAAGGGGTGAGAGAATATAACATGTGCCAACACACACAAAGAAGACAGCAGCATCCTACCTAGCAAATAAGACAAAGTCCTCTTACGCAACCGCCCCTTACCTCTTACTCAACTCGTTAATCCTCGACTCTGGCATAACCTTACATATTTTCAACGTTATCACTCGCTTTAATAACTTTTATAGAGCCCCAACAGGTAATAGAGTATATGCAGGAGACACCTTCATACCAATCCTAGGATACGGAGAAGTAGACATCACTGCTCATAATTCACTGGGACCATTCATCTTGACACTACGGAATGTCGCTTTCTGTGAAGGATTTGTGACAAACCTTATATCTTTACAACAACTCAAAAAGCTTAGATATTACTAAGACAATAAATCTCTTAATAACTATATCAGACAAAAGGATGATTCAGTGGTGTTCAAACTCACAGATAAGTTTGGACAATGGGTTGTAGAGGACATACCCCTTGGCAAAACCAAAGCGTCCTTTGCCCTGTAGAGGAGGATAATTAATTCCAGAACAGAAAGAGCTCCAAACAAGAGTGACGAGAACCTCTGGCACTGGCGACTAGGGCATCCTGGCCCTGAAGTAATCGCCCAGATTACAAAGCATGCTAGAGGAGTGAGAATCAAGGGTCCCTCTACTGCTCAGTGTGATGGGTGTGGCAAGGCCAAAATCAAGAAACAGACACGCAGAACACCTAGGCGACCGTCAACCAAGCCAGGTAGCATCCTGTCTATTGATTTCCTTGACCTTAAGAAGGACTCCGATGGCTACTGGAGTATTATGTTTGTCACTTACAGATACTCTGGATACGTTTGGACATATTTCCTGAAAAGGAGAACTATAGAACACATAATTGGCGCCCTATAACGCATTATCAGTATACTGAAAATACAGTTCCAGATCAATATTGAGGCCATAGATACAGACAATGAGTTCACCAAGTCAAAGGACATTAAAGACTTCATCAAAGACAATCATATCTGAATCGAGCCCTCTGCACCTCATACCCAAGACCAAAATGGAGGCGCTGAACGCTCGGGAGGTATAAGCAAAGCCAAAGCTCTTGCCATACGCAGCGGAGCCAAGCTTCTAATATATCTTTGGCGTCACATCTACACTGCAGCAGTGTATCTCCACAACCGGACACCATCCTTGCACCACAACTGGAAGACCTCATACGAGATGTTCTTCTAATATCTGTCATTCCGAGACGGCCTAGTTACCCCTGACTGCAGACCAATGCATATACACCTACGAGCATATGGCTGCAAAATGTTTGCAATGACTGCCACTGCACAGGAGAAGAAGGACCGCCTCAAGAAACTGAACCCAAAAGCCTGGGTTGGCTATCTTGTGGGATATAACTCAACCAATATCTATCTGGTCTGGAACCCATGAACCAGCAAGGTCCATGCTATGCGTGATGTGATAGCAGACAAGGACCAGATGTTTTTAGGAGACTTGAGCGACCTCAAGGACGACCTTTTGCATGTCAGCGAGGAACAATTAACACGATTTCTAAGTAGACACGAGATGCCATCCAAAATCCTAGAGGACATTCCAGTGTACCAGGAAGATAAAGATCTTAACAGATTAATACAGGAGCACCCAGACAGAGATGAGATGGACCTGAGTGGTAATGGTACAGAAGATACCCAGGACAAAGCCAACACAAATGGTAGCAAAGGGACTGATCACTCCTATACATCTGCCGTGTTTGAGCCATACCTGACCCCAAAACCCACTCCTCTGCCTGCGGCAGCACTGCTGACTGCTACTATCAGAGAGCCTGTGGAGGGCCAGGTCAGAGCATCATGCTCCCAGCGAGCAGAAGAAGGGTTAGATGCCCGCTTGTTACCTTCAACTGGGGACGCCCAGGCCATACGAAATCGTCACGAGAATTGGGAAGCAGCGTTCAATGCTAGACGCGTTGCCAATCCTGTTGGTTTGATAGATGGCAGGCCGGTGAGCAAAGCCAAGTACAACAAGTACAGAACCTATGGCTCTCACCCTGGTGAGAGACCATCACACCAAGGAGATCATCACGGCTCAGCCTTAATACCTACAAAAATAAGGAAGATACATTAATGATCATTGCCACTAGAGCCAAAGAACTGGCAAGGTGTCAAAAATCATCTCTACAAGGCTGAGTGGCATCAAGCCGAGGTTGACCATATCAGCAGCTACAATGAAATGGGATCATGTATAATCACTGACAAGTCAGCAACAAATGGACACCAAATTCTGGACTGTATGTGGGTATACAAGTACAAGTTTGACAAGCATGGCTTCCTAAGCAAGTGCAAAGCACGCCTCGTGGTTCGCGGTAACCAACAGAATAAGAACATCTATGAGGATACATATGCATCAACTCTTGCAGGCAGATCTTTCAGAGCCCTCATGGCAATCGCAGCCCGGTTCAATTGTGCTCATCCAATACGATGCCGTCAATGCCTTTGTCAACGCGGACCTAGAAAAGGAAGTCTTCATGAAAATACCATAAGGGCATCGTGAACAAGGAAAGGTCCTCTTGTTAAAGAAGGCTCTATATGGATTATGGCAATCTCCTTTGCTATGGCAGAAGCATTTCACTAAAACTCTAACAGACCTTAATTTCAAATCAGTCGCTCATGAACCCTGTTGCTTCACAAAGGATGGCATGACCATCTTCTTCTATGTGGATGATATCGTGATAGCTTTTAAAGGACACCATCAGAACGCTATTAAGACGGTCACAAAGAAGCTCAAAGCTACCTATAATTTGACAGGAGGAGAGCTACTATAGTGGTTCTTAGGGATGGAGATCATCAGGGACCGAAAACAGCGGCTCATCTGGCTGTCTCAAGCCTCATATATCGACAAAATTATAAGCCATATCGACCACAACAAGAAGTGTTCAGAGATCCCTATGAAGCCTCAAGAACTTCTCCCAAGTGACGAGCTTGCCTCGCCAGCCTCAATCAACAGATACCAAAAGAAGATCGGATCAATCCTGTACGCAGCAGTGATCACACGACTCAATATCTCCTTTGCTACCTCTCGGCTTTCACGTTTTAATACCAACCTAAACAATTTATATACTGCTGCTACAGAGCATTTATTAGAATACCTGAAGGGCACCAGGTCTTTTGCTCTTCAGTTGGGGGATAAAGATCTGCTGGAAACATGAAGCGATGCATCGTTTGCTGACAACTACCTTGACTGAAAGAGCTCACAAGCATTTGTCATGAAGTTATTTGGAGGCATCATTGGCCAGAGAGCAAACAAACAGAACACAGTGACAACCTCAACAACAGAGGCAGAACTGTTATCTGTTGCCCAAGCAGCCAAGGAAGTGATGTTTGTTTTGCGCCTCTTTAGAGAAATTGGCGTATCCTTGGACGGTCCAACTCTCCGGATCTGATCTTAATTATCATTATTATTTTTAGATATATTTTATAAAGTTAATTTGTAATTAAATACTATTAAATGTAATAGTGTGTTTGGTATGTGGTTTAACGTGGTCCGTGTGTCACTATAAGGTGTGTAATAGTAATCCGATGTTATATAACAACTAAACAGCCACCTATTTAAATAGCGGTTTGTCCCTTTTAAACCATTAACTCAACACAAACAAATAAATCAACCCGATCTTAATCCATCCCCTGTCTTAACCCTTGTATAACTTCTTATAAATACTATATAATTATATAATTAAATAAATACTCTAAACTGTGACGAGCCGTCTAACCTCTAAGGCTAAAGGGTTCTATAGGGTTTATGTTCTGAGGTAAGTCAACACAAAAGACGATAGAGGCTTCTGTCAACTAGAAGACACTCAGATGCTGGGGCTTGGTCTGAACTGGGTTCATTGAATAGTCGAGTCGTCAGGAGATTTCTCCCACCTTAGGGTTGGCTAAGATGCTTAGATTAATCACTGAGGTAGAGACTGTCTATCTGTCTAGCTAGGAAATGTCCATCCTTATATATCCAACCTCTCCCTCACTGATGGGGTGGATATGTTGGATAACCTTGCTATCCAAGCTATCCTGGATATGTTGGATAACCTCGCTATCCAAGCTATCTATCACGTGATGTCTTGATCACGTGACCTAGACGTTTCCTTAGCCCGTGCGTTCTCCCGGGTTCTTCCAGTTACTGTCCATCTTGTTGGGCCTGCCAGCGGGCCTCATTCCCTGTACGACTCGTTGGTTCGTAACATAAACCTATATAGCCTTTAAAATAATTACCGTATTAAAAACATTATATTTTAAGCGTTTATGTTTATTGATTTTGTTTTGTTGTATTTAGAGAAAAAGATAAATTAATTTTTCATATTATTTCTTTTATTATTTATTCTTCATTTTTTATTATTACGAACCAACGAACAGTGCGGCCTGATAGCAGACCTAGAAGGGACGATTGGAAACAGATTGACCAGAGAATGGGGTGCTGATCAGTGGAGAGATCAGAGCAACGGAGCAACGGTACACAGATCACGCGACCAGTAGAGCCTGGGTCACGTGACTAAGAATTTGGATCACCGGTGATCCAGGGTGAGCCACCTAATCAGTGAGGGAGAGATTGGATACATAAGGACAGACATTTCCCAACCAGATAGATAGACAGTCTCTACCTCAGTGATCAATCTAAGCATCTTAGCCAACCCTAAAATGGGAGAAATCTCCTGACGACTCGACTACGCAGTGAACCCAGTTCAGACCAAGCCCCAGCATCTAAGTGTCTTCTAGTTGACAGAAGCCTTTATCGTCCTTTGTGTTGACTTACCTCAGAACATAAACCCTATAGAACCCTTTAGCCATATAGGTTAGACGGCTCGTCATATTATTATTTATTTAGTTATATTATTTATAGACTTCTTTTTATCTTTATCATATTAATATACGCCTTAATAAACCTTATTGTGTTATAAAATAATAATAAATTAAAACTTAAAGCTGTTTAATCTTTAAAAACATAAATTAATAACAATGTTTTTAAACCTTATTAAATAAATATAAGTGTATCTTTATTACTTGATTAAAAAACTAATATTTTATTCTATATCTCATCTTTTTATTAGTATTTCTATCTTATTATTAAAATTTTTTTAAAAAAAATACATCAAAAATATTATTTTTCTTACTATATTTATAATAATGCTGGCTTTATAAAAACCTTTGCTAGTAAAATAATAATAATAATTTCTTTTTTACAACCGCTTTTTTGATCAAGCAATTTTACAGCTTTATATATATAAAGCGTGCCTTTTTACCGCACTTGTACCTTTTGACTAACTTAAAAATAAAATAGATATTTTTATCAAAATAAGCGTAAACGATTAATTATAATACACGATTATTTAGTTGAGGTTATAATGTTATTGGGAGTTAGATTAAAATTCTCAATCAAATAACCTCGTAAGCCGGTATTTAATCTTTTATTTAACTATATATATAGGTTTTTGTGACGGTGTACAGCCGTACCCACCTAGATGGATGTATGTTTAGTCATTAGGTCACGTATAGATTAGATAAGGAGACTAGGGCCACAATATGTGCTGCAGCCTGTGCTGTACGCACATCTGTTCCTTTTCTCCCACCTTGTTAATCTGGGAATACAACACCAGATTCCATCACAACGCCTTAGGCATTGTGACAGTCTTGGTATAAATAGTTTGCAGGTTAAAATATCATAAATTTAATATTTTCTAAAAATTTGAAAACTCCTATTAACTTTCTTTTTTAATTAAAATTATAACAAACGAATTCCTTATTATTTGTATTAAAAATTATACGTCATTAATTTTTATTAATTCTTTATATAAGAATAAAAATACGTATTATTTATAATAAGAAAAGTGCGTAACTTTACCACCGTACTATATACTACTACTTTTATTTATATACACTCAATGTTGGAACAGGCTTGAACGATCAATTATAATACTCGAGTATGGGGTCAAGGTTATGATGTTGCTGATGGTTGGATTGGGAGGTCTAGCTGGACCTGAAGGTCTGGCTAAGTAACCTCGCAATCCGGTATCTAATCTCTTATCTAATCATACATGTGGGTCTTGGTATAGATGGTTTGCAGGCTGGAATTGCATAAATCCAACACTCAATAATATTTTCTTATTATTGTCACGGCAAGCGTACTGAGGAACTGGGACATGCCCGGCAGCAAGCAGCTATTACTCTATTGACGAGAATATCAAGACTAGAGAGGAAAGGAAGAGAGAGAGAGAGGAGGTTACCCCTTTAAGGGGATCCTCTGTTCAGATGCTTCCCTTATTGGGAAGTATCGGCTTGTCATGTGGGAATGTCCGTACAGGCCGTTACAATTATTGAAACCATTTTTTATTCTTTTTATTTAAAAGAATCGCATTACTTAATTTCTTCTAGCTAGTTAAATAAATAAGTTTATAAGTGCCCGTATTTAAAATTAAATATTTTCTTTTCTTTAATTTAATACATAATCATAAAAATACACATGACTTATACTTTATTTCAGAAATAAACTCTCTATATTAACTAGCTTAAATGAATTCATTCGATTAAATTTATAATAAAAATCAATCAAATATACAAATAATACCATCTAACCGCTTTTTAATATCATATTTACTCCGTATTTAGTGATAAAATGCCTTTTTTACTGATCACGTTCTTTTTTTTCCCCGGCTTATTTACAGCTACACGACTAGTTTTTAAAAAATATATATAATAAATAAAACAAATCTATAATAATGGCGAAATAATTTAATAACTTATAGCCTGAAAGCTTTAACTTTCAATAATTCAAAAATGTTTAAACATAAATAAAACTGCACAGAAGACTTAAATTCGAATTTCAACCACGCTATTATATTTTTAAAATTATGTAAGACTAATTAAATCTTTTTAAACGTTTAGAAGTGCAAAGTTTACCGGTAACATATTTTTTGAATTTGTGAACTGTTCAAATTTCTTAAAATAAAGCGATATAAAAAAGTAAAAGCCTCGTTTAACTACATAAATATTAAAGAAACCCATTTATTTATAAACAATATTATATAAAGCTAATTACGGCTTTTTTAAACGCTTATAAATATAAATCTTATCACCAATAATTATTTTAATCTTAATATGAGCAATAATAAGTACGTAAATTTTTTTTTTCGACCTTATTTTACCTCTTATCAGAAAAAAATCTACACGGTTTAATATCTTTACACTTAAAACAAGTCTTAAATAACCTTATTAAGCAAGCTAGTTAGTTATGGTTAGCTTGATTTAAGGTTGTTAAACTTTTTAGATTGGTCGGTTTGGTTGAATTGATGGTGACGCTGGGCGTAGGAGGGATCTGGTGTACGTCTGCAGCGTTAGGGTGAGCACGATGCCCTCGAGGCCCTTGAGCGGCTCAATGACCTCGGAGTAGATCTGCGACGAGGCGTCGAGCGCGGCCGCGTCGGCCCGCAGTGTGCAGTTCATGTACGCGCAGCGATTCCATCTGCTCGAGCTGCGGGTGCACGCTTGTGAAGGGGCGCAGCATGGGCGGGACCCGAAGTGTACCCGTGGTCTCGTCCTTGTGTTAAACAGCGTGATTGAGGTTTATATGGTTGAAAACCTTATATTCTGGTGATTTCTAGTAGATTGTTATTTTATATAAAGAATCTGCTATAAAGTGTTATTGTTGGATCCATGCGATTCCCGACTGCAAATCATCTATACCAGGACCCATATGTATGATTAGATAAGATAAGATAGTGGATTGCGAGGTTACTTAGCCAGACCTCAGGTCCAGCTAGACCTCCCAATCCAACCATCAGCAACATCATAACCTTGACCCCATACTCGAGTATTATAATTGATCGTTCAAGCCTGTTCCAACAGTTAATTTATTTAAAAGAATTTTTTATAATTTCAATACGGGTTTTTGTAGAAATCCAGTGGTCAAAATAGGATGGATGATGGTCTGTGTCTTGTCTATGGATCCATGGGGGAGATTCCCACCTAAATACAGGTGTGACAGCCCTTTGATGCCCTGCTGCCTGACAGCGAACAACAAATCTGCCACTGGTCACCATAATAGACCTTTCACCCCCTTTGGGCCCCTTTCATCCCTTTCACCTGGCGGACAGCTGCAGCCTATACCTGACAGCACCACAATGCGCACAGCTTTTAAATATACGTTTAATGGTTTTTATTAACTTTTTTTAACTCTTTATATTCTTTTTTTCCTCGTTTATATATCCCTTAAAATTATTAATCTATTTGTTAATTATTAACGTTTAAGTAGACATAGTTATTAAAAAAATTTTAATAAAGTATCAAAATTAAAAGCGTTAAAAGAGCTTAAAAGGCGCTGATATGTTAGATTTAAAGTCGATATATTTAAAAAAAAAAAAAAAATTTCAACAAAATTTTTGTATTAAATCTTTAAATATTTTATATTGTATAAAATCTTTTTTTTATCAATGTTTTAATAATTATTTTATTGTTTTTATTAATCGTATTATTTATTATATTTTTTTGTGTAATAATAAGTTCAAACTAATGATAAATCGCTTAATTAATTAAAAAAGTACTTATTAATTTAAGCTTAGCGTAGCCGACAAGCGAGTTGGCATTATAAGCGAGTTGACGCCGCATTATAACGAATGAGACTTATAGCTAGCTATCTAAGCTAAACGGCGTGACCCTCATATGTCTATATTTCAACTTGCGAAACTCTTTAACATCTCTTGTTCTATTTTGAGCAATAGAATCAAAGAATGCCATCATGACGTGACAACATGCCCAATACTTTGAAACTTACAGTTTCCAAAGAGAATGCCATTCTTTCCTTCGTTCTTGGCCTGGATGTGCGAGCATTTCCACCCCGGCACTGTTATATTGAAGATATAACGAATCAATTATTAGCGGCACATGGGGCTGGACCCGTTGGAAAGAACTACACGCAGAACTTCATTAAACGCATACCAGGCCTCCGGACACGTTTTTATCGGAGGATGGACTACCAGAGGGTCTTGAACAAAGATCCAGACGCGTATCACGCGTGGTTTCGCCAAATTACGGCAGCAATCGCGAAACATGGTATCAAAGACGCGGATATTTATAACTTCAATGAGACTGGGTTTATGATGGGTATTATTGGGTCTGATATGGTCGTTACAAGTGCCAAAAGACATGACAGGCTTAAACAAGCTCAGCATAGTAATAAATAATGGTCTATAACAATTTCTGCTATTAATGCTGATAGTTGGGTGGTCCTGTCGTTCATGATTCTACAGGGCAAAACCTATCTCTCGTCATAGTATTGCGACACGACATTACCATGCGATTAGAAGGTGGCTGTGTCTGACAACGGGTGGATTACAAATAAGATCTGTTTGAAATGGATTCAGCATTTCGACAAGTATACCAGACCGTGTATGACTACCAGTAAATGCCTCCTCATCCTAGATGGTCACGAAAGCCACCATTCCCAGGTCTTTGAAAATTATTGCCAGAATAACAGTATCATTACTCTTTGTATGCCTTCGTCTGGATGCAGACACACCCACGGCGGAATGGGCTTGGTACGAGCTAATTGCAAGCATGGGTTCCGGGTTGATCTTGTCGATTCTGCTGCCTGCCATTATGGCTGGCCTGCCCGAATCGGACTTGGACTCGGCGAGTTCGATGTATAGCTTCATACGCACGTTCGGGGTGAGTAGCCCTATACCATTGCCTCTGCTAACCACTTTCGGCATGGATTTGGCGGCCACTGACCCAAGAGACTCTAGTGGATTTGGGGCGTCACGGCTCCTGGCATAATATTCAATGCCGTCTTCGACCAGAACCGACATCGCATACCTGATCCAGCCTTGCGCGAACAAGTATCCGGCGGTCAGGCCTACTCGTTCGCTAGGCAGGTGCATGTGGTACGCGATGACTACAGTACGGCTGTATGGAGCGAGGTGACGGACGTTTATGCCGAGAGCCTGAGGGTCATCTGGTGGTTCGGCCTAGCTATTAGTTTGCTGTTCCTGTTGGCTGTTGGCGGCGAGAAGGAGCTTGAGCTGAGAAAGGAGCTTGAGACCGAGTATGGCCTGGATGATAGGGCAAAGGGCATGGAGCCGAGCAGCACTGAGATTGGTAGCGAGAAGATTGGTCAACCCGCAGCAGGAGCCTAGCGCATGCCTGTGCGAAGACTGGCGTCTGCGCCGTGCCTTGTTGTGCAGTGCGCGATTGAGCGACTAGAAAGGGGGAATGAAGTTACATAGAACGCCGGCCTTATTCGAAGGGTCGGGTCAAAGCCTTGGATACCATTACAAGAGATAGGCGATCAACATCATCACACTAAGAACTGATCACTAAAACTCTCGTTACACGGTCCAGAGAAGAAGCTGCACCAATTCAGTCATGTATCAGGTTATGGTTTGAGCATAAAGACCAGAGAATTTGCGGGCTGTGTTTGGGGGACAATGGGGTGAGAGGTATGACGGGGAACGGCAACCGCGCCGACGCGCCTCCTGCAGTCTGCGACCCTGGAAACGTAGTGCTACTGGCCGATGGCACATGTGGCTCGACATGTACACTCTTCTGTTATCTATTGCTCTTCCAGCTCGGCATCAAAGCGACCGTCATAGGCGGCAGACCGACCACCGGGCCCATGCAAGCGATTGCGGGCGTCGAGGGCGCCCAGATCTTCTACATGCCGGAGATCTCGTCGCTCGCCAGCGCTGCCCTCATCCTGGCCGCCAAGGATCAACAAGCCGAGCTGCAAGCTGGGAAGTTGGGGATTTCCGCGGAGAGCTAGTCCTGGACACGCGCGAGTGACTCAGCTAATGGCGGCGCTAAAAGTGGCAAGAACGCCTTCTCGCCATCCGACTCCAAGATGACGCTGCAGTTCATGATGGAGCCGGCGAACTGTTGATCGGTCGCGCTCGGTTGATCCCGTCTCCCAAGTAGGGGCAAATGGCACCAGCGCTGCCAATACTTCAAACCAGGCTAGCCCACTCGAAGACACTACATCTGGTGCGACTATAACCATGCAAGGACATATACCATTGTCCATGATCTTGACTGTAGGGACCCCTCTCATCTTTGGATATATATATGTAGTTCATTCACATAGCTCTGGTTGCGACCTGCAATCCCAGCAACATGATAAATGGGAGATAACCTCAGTATGGTATTTTTGAATGCTTTCTTCTCGAGTGAGAGCATAGTTTCAACGCAGAATGGAAATCATAGATGTGAGGGCCTGGGCCGTCACTGAAACTATACTATGAACTGTGGCATGTATTCAGGCTACATTGAAGCCAGTTATGCAGAATCGTAGACTGTTGCTTTCACTGCCTATTATCAAAGCTACCGGCCATTATCCCAGGTTCCAAGAGGGTCAATGATTGCGGTCGGTAAGTCAGTGTAAGTCGAAGGGTGCATACTTCCACCTCTTCTATTCATCCCATGGTTATTGATATGGCTCCAGTGTTGCAGAATGGGAGCTCCATGAAGTCGCACAATACTGGGTAGGACTGCGCATTCCGGACTACTGCTTCACTTCGAACACAATACTCAACGACCGAGTGCCATTTTGAAGCCATTGTCTTCATCGCCATGCTAATCTGTGGTTACAAATCCTCATAATCTATAAAGCTACCTCAGGAAATCCCCCCTTACTCTCTTGAAAACATATCCCAGGCACACCCACAAGCACGCATCTTGACCCTCCGACTGACCTACCTGATCCACGAAGCATCTCTCGCCCGCTCTGAGAACCACACCATCCGCTACACACCCACGAAAAAAGACCGTCTTCTCAGACCACGACCTAATCAGCAACCATGTGCAAATACCACCGCACACGTCACTGGGTAAGGCATCGCCACCCCCTATCCACGTCGCCACAAGTGACCTCGCCAGGCAAAAAGTCAAACAACCGCGACAACTAACAAGAAGCCACCATACAGTGCCGCGGCTGCAATAACCTCATCCAGAACGAGGACCGACGCACCAGAAAGTTCCAATACGAAAGATCCCACCCAGGCCAATGCCAGACAAAGCAGATCGGTAACTGGGCAGATACGCACGAAGTCAGTAGCCCCTTCCCTGCCACGTCTCAACAGCCGAGTTCATCAACAAGAAACGCGACATGTTTTGTCATGAGCGAGCTCCTTGTCATTTTCTTCCAGCCCCTATTTAGCTCGCTACGTACTCCGGATTATCACTAAGGGTTTGATTTAGTACTGCTGCGGTAACCCTTGTGTTGGAATATCCGAGTACGATGCCCAGCGAGCGTAAATATACGAAAGCTCTGGGAGCGAATGTTCACCTTGACAACCACTGGCGCCTCTTGACGACGCGTTAAGGGGGCATTGTCAGCTTGTATTATACCGCTCTGCACCTGTAGCGAGGTAACTTTTGGACTGTATCGGGATAACTAGTCAGTAGATAGAGAATTTACTCACTTTTCCCGTAACCCCGATGCGGAAAATGTTTGTCATCTGTCAGTGCTTAGGTGGTCGAGAACCCACCATTCGCCGCAATAGTCAGCTTATAGCCGGCCTGAATAGGCTTAGACTCCGCAACACCCATAGGCGCGGACACATCGGCTTCCTGGATCGAGACCTTAGTCGGGGCAATTGTACGCCCTGTACCGATACAGACACGAATATCTTCCGATGGATGACAAGAGAATTCCCATGGTCTATGTATATATAAGTAGGTTGGTCCCATCTTATCCCAAGATGAGCTTCACTATTGTATCCATCGAAGCCTGCCTTACTAGTACACCATCTACACATACAGGACCGTCATCAAAGCCGCCGCTCAAGTCTCATCCTCAGGATGGCCATTATCGAGCTAGTCTACCCTCAATTCAAGTCTGAAGGCAACATCCTCCAGACGATCGAAGAAGAATTCTTCCCCATTGCCGTCAAAACCCTCCACGATGGCGGTGTGATCGACGGCATCCGCGGATTCATCGTCTCTTATAACGGAATAGACGTCACCTCCGACGTCCGGGAGGTTCTAGTCCTGGGTGAGCAAGGCCCGTGATGCGTCCGGTGGTCCGCCGCTGACAGTTTCTACAGAATGGCCCACCGAAGAGAAGTTTACTTTGTTCGTCAAGACAGAGGCATTCGCTAGGTTCCAGGCGGCGATGAAGCCTTTCGTGAAAGGTCCGCCTGTCCTGAAGCTGTTCGAGACCAATGAGGCATCGAAGCTTTTTGGTTCAGCCCCAGTTTTGGAAATCTTGGAGATAGCCCCCAAGGAGACGACGGATGGGGAGAAGGCACGAGATGTCCTGCAGAAGGTTCTTGATGATATGAAGAAGACCAAGGCTGCCGGGGCTGTGTATGGGACCAGCTTGAACCTTGACCAGAAGCAGGTTGTAATCGTTGAACTTTTCACAGATACTGCAGTAAGTTCTCATTGCCTGACCTTCGCTAGAACAATTTGAAAGGCTGACAACCTGCCACCAGGCGCTCCAAGCAGCACAGGAAACGGCATCTCGCCGAGAGTTCTTAGAGAGCATTCACGGCCTAGCCAGTGTCACCCAGCTTGTAGCAAAGGTGGAGAAGATGCCCCTTTAACGTTCTGAGGGAAGGTTGGCCTGTGAGCACACACCACAGTAACGTACATCAGACAATATACTGCTCTTCTTCTTGCTGGGCAGGCGATCACCTACGAGTGCACGAGAACATTATGTCAGGAAGCATCCAGGAGAACAAAGAACCTTCATGTACATATACATGGCCTCCGTGCCTGACTAGTATTGCACCTCTCTGCAGAACAACATACCATTTACCCCCCCCCATGGTTCGGCCTTGTGACAGTTTGTTCTGCCTTCAACAAATAAACAACCTCAAGACCACTGCTTCAATCACGGTATCAGTTATCACAGCATACTTCTCGCTCTCAGACCTCGCGTTTTCAGCTTCAGTCGATATATCAGATATCACGTCGCTCTCAGACCTCAGCTTCAGCTTTTCAGACCGCCACTTCAGCCTCAGTCCCCTGAATCTTCTTGTTGGAAGGATCGTTGCCAAGCGAGCCCTGGTTCAGTCCTTTATTCACAAGACGATCACAGCCTCACCGCAAGCGCTCTCAGACCCCCAGGACCACAGAAAAACAAGGAATGAACCCAGAGTCAATGTCAGAATCTTCGGAATCAACAGCAGAATCAATGGCGAACCTGAGACGCGCTGTAATGGCGTTGGTAGCGATGGTTATACATATGGGGCGAATATCCCCTCCTCCTGATTCAGACCACGAGATCAATAACACACACCTTGACCCTGACCCTGACCCTCACCCTGTTCTACACTTGAATTCCCCAACCATGGCTACCAATACCAACGGCAACTTCGGACAGTCAGGAGACGAGACACTCAGCATCGAGGAGCTGCTTGGCAGTAGTTGGCCGACAGTGCTCAAGTCTTGCGTCGAACGCAACTGTGACGGTAACTTTCGCCCCTTTCATAACGCCCTCTCCAATGATTCTGGCAATAACTTGCAGGCCAATACCCAGGCATTGGTGATCTTCAACGCGCTCGAAGAGGCTCTGAGTCTTCAGGAGCGAAGATAGCGCAGCTCCAGCAGACCGTCACGACGGGCACTGGCGAGTTCCGAGTTCCAGGCACTGCGAGACCAGCTGAACGCTGCTCGTGGACGTATCGATGGCTTCGAGCAGAATATTGGCATCCTCACGCAGGCCTTCAATCAGGGCATCAAGGGCATGAGCAACAACCCACAGAGGGAACCCTCGTCGTTGGTATCTGACCCAGCGCTCTTCGACAGAGAGGAGAAAGACGACAAGAAGCGCCGTCGACAGTTCAGGGCATGGTTGAGCAGCGCGCGCATGAAGATCAACGTCGAGACAAGGAAATACAACACCGAATACAACAAGATCCTGTACGCAGTCTCTCGCCTCGACGGCACCGCGAGGGTGACCACTGATGGGTACCTGGCAAAGATCTACAGCAACCCTGACAACCCAACGATGTGGGAGTGGCAGGATGTTGACACCTTCTTCGACTGGCTGGAGCGGGCATACGACTCGCACAACCGATCGGGTGACGCCAGCAGGGAGATGGATGACTTGAAGCAGAAAAACACTGCGTTCAACCTATTCCTTTCTGAGTTCCTGGCACTCGCCAGTGACTTGGGTCTTGACGATAAGGTGAAGATCGAGAAGCTGAAGAAAAAGGTGAACAACGAGCTACAATCGGCGGTGATCAGCGTGTTTTCCAAGCCCCAGAACGAAGACTTCGACGGTTGGGTGGAATGCTACCAATCACTGACCGAGAACATTGCCGACTACGCGCACCACACTGGCAACAAGAACCCCTTCGCGAACAACAATCCGTTCAATAATAACAGCAATAAGAACAACAACAAGGACAGCAATAACAAGAACAACCAGACGCCTCAGCACCCACCCCAAGCGTAGAACCCAGCGCCAGCAGCAGGTGACCCGATGGACCTCGATTTTATTAGACTGCGACGCTTGTCAACCACAGAGAGGCAGAAACGGATTGAGAAGGGTCTGTGCCTGTACTGCGGAGGAGAGGGACACATGAATCGAGACTGCCCTGAGGCCCCCCAGCTCCTGCAATCAGCCACTCCCGCGAGAGGCGGCGGATTCAACCTGACGAGACCCGGATCCGCGCCGCCTGGCGGGAACCTCCAGGGAGGCGGCAGCAACAACACCAACCCTTTTCGACAGGGCCACACGTCGGACCTTCGGATCAGAGCCATCGGCTGGAGAGGGAACGCGGATGACTGGCCAGGGAGCACCGCGAGCACCCCCGGATACAACAACGGATACGGTCAGCAGTACGGCCACAAGGGCAATAGCGATCAACCCTCGAGAGAGTCAAAAGGTTAGGTCCTGAGGAAAGTCGCCGCCAGGACCTTGACCACGAAGATGTTCCAGATATGGATGTGCTGTACCTCAAATCGGCGAACACGGGCGGGAATTCTCTCCTGCTGTGTGCGACCGTCTGTCAAGGCGGCCGCGGCAAGGTGAATATCGTCACTTTGCTCGATTCAGGGTGTACAGCACTCTCTTTTATGGACACTACTTTCGTGCGAGATCATAATTTTGATATTTTATAACTACCAAAACCAAAACAACTTCGCCTTGCTGACGGTAAGCGGAGGAACAACGTCACCGAATTCGTCGCCGTAACGATGGAGGTGGATGGCCACCTGGAAACCCTGCTGTGCTTCTTGACGGAACTGGGCAACGAGAATCCTCTGATCCTGGGCTTTCCATGGCTCCAGACGCACAATCCTTCTATTGACTGGCAGACATGCGTAATAACCTTCTGTTCTGACTTCTGCAGGAACAATTACTTCCACGTCCGACCTGTTCAGGTCAGAGGCGGTAAGAAAGCACCAAACCCAAACCAGCACAGGAAAAAGGTCCAGTTCGCTGAAACTGAACCCCTCCGCGACTGTTCACCTGACGACCTCAAGATCTCTTCAGTAGTCTCTTTCGCATGGTTTTGCCGTCAGAAGGGTGTCACGATATCCCGGATCACGGTCGAGCAACTCGAGCAAGCCAGCCTCCCAGAACTCAAGCCCCTAGAACTCTCCGAACACGACATCCAACAGATCCTGACTACGGAAGGGTCGGCAAAAGAACACAAAGCGAAGCTGGACACTCGGTACCACACGTTTGTGGACGACATGTTCAACAAACACTTCCTGAACCGGGTCACGGACAAGGATATCGAGAAATACCTCAAGGACAAGGAGCCTGCCACGGTCAACGACATCAAGAAGAAGCTGCCACCTGAATACCATGATCTTATCGACGTTTTCCTGCCTTCCGGAGCAACCACTCTGCCCGAACACCGCTCGTACGACCATCATATTGATATCGAACCCGGCAAGTCCATACCCAACCTGAAAACGCGTCCCATGTCCCAATCCGAGCTCCGAGTCGTGAAGAAATACCTAGATGACAACATGCAAAAGAAGTTCATCCGGCCTTCGGAGTTGAGATCAGCAGCACCGCTTCTGCTGGCACGGAAGCCAGGTGGCGGCGTACGAGTCTGCGTCGACTATCGCGGCCTCAACGACATTACGATCAAGAACAGGTACCCACTTCCACTCATCCGCGAGACGCTCGACGCATTGTCAACGTCCAATATCTTCTCGAAACTGGACGTCATAGCAGCGTTCAACCGGATACGGATCGCAGAAGGCGACGAGTGGAAGACGGCCTTCACAACGAGATTCGGCCTTTACAAGACCTTAGTCACACCCTTCGGGCTCTGTAACGCGCCATCAACCTTCCAGCATTACATCAACGACACACTGTACGAGTTCCTCAATCGATTTGCGTCAGCCTACCTCCACAACATCCTCATATACTCGAAAAACCTCAAGGAGCACAGGAAACAAGTTCGTAAGGTGCTTGAGGCACTGAGGACAGCGAATCTGCACATCGATATTGGGAAGTGCGAGTTCCACACAACCAAGACCAAGTACCTCGGCCTCATCATATCCACGGACGGCATCGGCATGGACCCAGAGAAGGTTGACGCGCTGCTTGATTGGGAGAGTCCACGCAATGTTAAGGACCTCCAGCACTTCCTGGGCTTCGCAAACTTCTATCGACGGTTCATCCGCGGCTTCTCGTCAATTGCGAGACCTCTGACAGGCCGCCTCAAGACATCAGAACGGTAGGATTAGACCCGCGATTGCTAGACAGCATTCCAGAGCCTTAAGGAGTCTTTCACACGCGCACCAGTCCTCTCGTATTTCCATCCCGCAAGGCAAACGGTGGTCGAGACGGATGCCTCAGATTGTGCAGCCGGAGGTGTGGTCTCTCAGTATGATGACGATGGAGACTTGCACCCCATCGGCTTCTATTCGGCCCAACACAAGCCTGCTGAGGCAAATTACGAGATATACACAAGGAACTGATGGCGATCATCAAGGCGCTCGAAGAATGGCAACCAGAGCTCCAAGGCACAGACGAGCCGTTTGAGATCATCATTGACCACAAGAACTTGCAGTACTTCATAACGACCAAACTTTTGACACAGAGACAGGCTCGTTGGGCGGAGTTCCTCAGCCAGTTCAACTTCCAGATTGTCTATCGCAGTGACAAACAGTCTGTCAAACCTGATGTGCTCAGCAGACGGCCTGGCGACACACCTGCGAAGTTTGACACCACGGACTCTCGTGTGGCGGCCAGACAGCAGACAATTCTCCCAGCTTCACGGATATCCACAGGCATGGATCAACAGGACGAGGAGTACTTGTGCGTGTTGGACACCTCCGAGGACCTCGATAACCTGATCGACATGGCATACAGTACAGACCCGATGGCAAAAAAGGTGGTGAAAGCCTTGCTAATACAGAGATCGTGGCCAAAGACCGTGAAATGGTTCATACGAGTGCCATTCGGCGACTGTGAGTTGCGCAATGGCCGCGTTTTTTACCGCGATAAGCTGTTCATTCCGGAGAACGATCACTTGCGGTCACAGATTGAGTATTGTACACACGCGCTCCCTGCCAGCGGTCACCAAGGAGAAGCGAAAACAACAGAGTTGATCCAGAGAAGCTACTGGTGGCCAGGAATGTACCGGGAGATCGGAGGCTTCGTAGCAGCCTGTCACACATGCAGGAGGGCTAAGAGCCTCAGGGAGAGTCCTCAAGGCCTGCTGCATTCACTGACAGTTCCGTACAGGCCCTGGGCCAACATCTCAGTCGACTATATCACTGTGTTACCAGAGTGTACACGTTACGGAACCACATACAAGCACATCTTCGTAGTGGTCGGTCCGACCGTCTGACAAAGATGCGTCATTTCGTCCCAGTTGACAAACTGGACGTACCCACGATGGTCGATGCCTTCATCTACCGCGTATTCTCTCTCCATGGAGCCCCCAAATTCATCACGTCCGACAGGGGAACGCAGCTCATCTCACAGTTCTGGCAACGACTAGCAGAGCGCCTGGGTGCCAGGCTCAAACCCTCGTCAGCGTACCATCCAGCTTCAAACGGACAGACAGAGATCATGAATTCTGTACTTGAGCAATACCTGAGGATTTATATCTCGCTCGATCAAGACGACTGGGTGGATCACTTGCCCCTCGCGGAGTTCGCTTTGAACAACTCGGTCTCCAGTACCACGAAGTTCTCGCCATTTTTCGCTAATTACGGTTGGAACCCACGCCTCGGCATTGAGCCGCCCTCACCATGACCTCCGAACATGTCAAGAGATGAAGCACAGGAATGGGACAAGGCTGACAGGCACGCTGAACTCATAAAGGATCTACTCGAAGAGCTCCGTCACAACATGACTCGCACACAAAAAGACCACAAAAAATACACGAATATGAAGCAAGGGGATGCCCAAGTGTACAACGTGGGGGACCTCGTATGGCTCAGCTCCGCGAATATCGTCACTCAGAGACCTTCGAGGAAGCTGAGTGACAAGTGGCTGGGACTATTTGCAGTATCACGGACATACAAGCGCGCCTGCGCCCTTGAACTTGATGACTAATTCAACGACATTTTCCCTGTGTTTCACCACTCGCTATTGCGCCCGGTTAAAGAACCACGCACGCAGGACCAGGTGGCAATTAACCCAGAGTCTCAGGATGATCAGAAGAACCTCATCATCGTGCCCGACGATAAGGGCCGCCTGCAAAGGAAGTGGGTATTCGAGAAGGTCACTGACAGCCGTACAGATCGCAAGCAAGGCCTGATGTATCACGTCTTGTGGAGGGACGGGACTGCTTTATGGCAGCCAGCTCGCAACCTTCAAGGCTGTCACTGGGTGTTGTATGAGTTTCACCAGAGGAATAAGTCCAAACCAAGACCCCCATGATGGTACAGGAAGAAGGATGCCCTCGAACAGAGGGATTGGCATAAAAGAAGAGAAGAGAGTGAATCAGAGCCAAGTGACGATTCGGACACGGATTCAGATGGGAGCTCCACAGAGAGCGACAATACCACTAATTACGATGTTTGAATTGCCTCATTTGCGGACAAATGAGGTTTGGAAGAGGGGAGTACTGTCAGGAAGCATCTAGGAGAACAAAGAACCTTCATATACATATACATGGCCTCCGTGCCTGACTAGTATTGCACCTCTCTGCAGAACAACATACCATTTACCCCCCCCCCACCCATGGTTCGGCCTTGTGACACATTATTGCGCAACTAGATAAAGATGGTATATGTATATATCTAACTTGAACTGCCATGCAATCGAGCGTAAGTTCAGTCAGAAATGCCAGGAGGTGAATTGGAGCAATTCAAGGACACAAGTCTTAAAGAAAAAGAAAAGTCATATTATTATAACATATAAATCATAGCTATATGTAACCTTAAGTTTGCTTAGTTTATAATAATATAATATTACTAAGTTTTTCATCGACTGGTAATACTACCTTATATTTAAAACCTGCTAATCGATCTCAACCTTAAACTATGCGGCGTTGTGGTGTTTGCGGCAACACTGGCCATAATACGGAAACTTGTACAATAGAGATAGAAACGTCTGAAGAGGAATCCGATTTGTTAGATTGAATTCAATGCGTTGTGATTAAGTTATTTGACATGTTGGTTGGACGGTTGATAAAAGTGTCCCGCTCGCTTGTGTGTCCTGCTCGCTTGTGTGTCCTGCTCGCTTGTGTGTCCTGCTCGCTTGTGACCTACGTTACGAACTTTAATTGTACATATTGCGTTACGTCTTCTAATATTAAAAAAGGACTATTCATATTACTTTTAAAGTTAAAAGGAGTAAAAACGAGATAAACTGTTACGCTTTAAGAACAAAACGAGAAATAATTGATGCCGTAATGATTACATTTAAAGACAAATTGAACGGATTTTTTTAATATTTTCATGCTTATATTTTTATTTATAAAGAGCTTATTTAACGTAATTAGGAAAGAAATTAAACCGTTGTAAAATATATTAAAATATAGCAAAATATACATTTTAAATAAGTTTTGATAAAATATTAGTATTAGTTATCTATTTTATACGGTTAAATAAAGTAATTAGTAAAAGTAAACTTAAAATATATATATTAAATATTACGATTAGATTTATTAAGGAAGTAAGGAAAGATACCACCCGGCTGTTTAAAGGAAAAGTATCATCTATCGTATTAAAATCTATAACAGTATCAGTATCTAACTATCACAAGGGTAAGACGTCTAGGGTGCATGTCAGGTATTCGCTCGGACGTAGATTTTATATTATTTCAGGGTCGACCTATACGGAGAGTGGGGATGCCCTTAACCAACCTCATAAACCCGTATGTGATCATGTCCTTGTGGAAATCATCCTTACAATCAGCTTCGCATTCCTTAAGTTCTTCCCTAACAGCCTTAATATCCTCCGTCGCTTTTTCAGGATCGATCTTTCCTGCTTTTAGATTTTTCTTGATTTCGTGGCGCTCCTTGTTTTCGATCTCAGAACAGATTTCCTCGCACTCTCCACACGCACTCTCAAGATCTTCTTTGGACTCGCCGCGCGCTTGGATATGCTGCTTCTGAGGCGCTTACGTTAGTTCTTTCTCGTGTAACAACTGCCTGGGGCTGGCTCTTGTTGGAGTTACCTACCTCTTGGCCTAGAGGGTTTCCGAGAACCCCAAGCGCAGAAAGGGCGATAATGAGAGTGGTCTGGAACCTCTTGATGTTGGTGGTTGTTGGTGGTGGTGGTGATGCTGGTGATGCTGGTGATGAAATAAGAATCTAGAGGGGGTTGAGATGGTTCTTATAACCAAACATACATGTACGTATACTCAAGGTTAATGTCATCATCACAACTAGGTCAGCGCCGCCACATATTTGTTGGGATATAATGACCATTCTCCACATTCGCCAGCTACGAGGGCCCGGAATCACCGTAACGTAGGAGCACTTCGTCTTAGCGAAACATGGCACGATGGGTCAAATGGTTAGAATTAGATCTCCCTCGGTATTAGAATCTCCTGGGCTAGCCGTGACGTGAGATGCAATGGTCCTCCCACAGTGCAACCACCTACCGAACCTATTGCTTGCTACTTTTACCGAACGCTTGATAGGTACAAGTGGCGAGAAGCCCACTGGGAGTCACCGAGAATCAGTATAGGTGCCTAAAAAGGTGATGGTCAGCGGCTTCACATGTAGGGGAGCATCGGTTCGTATATAATGGTAACTGCTACGTTGATACATCACGAAAAGTGTTCATTACTCAAAGTTCTATTCACTGTCTTGAGTGGTCCCCGTTACGTGAAACCGCTAACTGTTACAACTATAGACACATCTATACTTACAGGTGTCAAGGATGGTAATGGTTAGCGGTTCCTCGTATATATATAATGGTAATAGGTAGAACTTTACGCGATGGGAACTTTCTCGTAGAATCGTCTTAAAAGAACTTTTATAAGAACTTTCATAGGAACTTTCTTGTAAGAACGTCATTGTTAGGTATATTTCTTACGTGGAACCGCTAACCATTACCATCCTGGACACCTGTAGGAGTTGACAGTGGAGGGGATAGAACTTACTCAGCCTCAAGCGGGTCCAACAACTCACCGAACACCATGTCCACATATTCCAAGGATGGTGTGAGAGAAAAAGCGGATGGCAACAGGGCTCGAGTCCAAAAGCAAGCGCCGACATATCTACCGTGTGGCCTGTTCCCGTATTCCCGTATACGTGTCTTGTCTTGTCGTGCTGCGCCGTGCCGCGTGTGACAACCCTTGCCTTCCTTATCGATGAGCTTGAGTTGTATCTACCTAGGTATTGAGGCGACACTATGTATAAAACTCACGATTCCATCTTGGCCGAGATCAATCAATGTCACAGCTGCGCGATGGATGCGGGCTCAGTCTCAGCATGCTTCCGATCAGACATGCGCTTTCAGTGGCGCTTTGGGCTGCTCTTCATGTTGTGGCGGCTGGGCCCTGTGCTCCTTTTGGTGGGCCACCGAACTTTCATTGTACCCAGCTGGCACTTTTCAGCATCTTGGCCATTAGAAGGGTCACGTCATGGCAGGAACTTCCTCGCGGCTTCGCCGGGTGGAGGCAAGACGCTGTCAATGATCCCATTGCCACATGTCCACGACCTGCTTCATGGCCTTTGATTCGCATGCCTGACACAACCAATCCCCACGGTCATCGTAGGAATTATTGCAATTCCGCTCATCGCACAGAGCCCTCCCGATCGAACTCACGCAGAGATGACGAACACCACGCTGCTCAAGCCGACCGGAAGCTGCACGCAGCAGATTCCGAAAGCGAAGCCACTGAACGTCGTCTTCTCCGTTGGCAGCCGCCGAACCTTCGCCGAGTTCGTTGTCGGGCACTGGGCCATTCCCTGACCCACGGAGAATCTCAGATTGTCTGTCACACTTCAAGACGTTATGAAGCTGACGGACGTAAAATGGCCAAACCCCCGTTACCTCCAGGACGTCGCTATCAAAATATCCGTGCTCAGGAAGGTCGACCCTCGACAGCGGATCCAACGGCACAAGAACTCGTTTCAGCCCGTAAAGGGTTGACAGGGCTCTGAAATAGGGTTGGTCCGTGACCAGCAACTTACTCGGAGACAGAATGACGTTTCTGATCCCATTCAGTGCAAGCAGCTCCGGCTGTTTGAAAAGGATCGGCACAGCCCGCTCAGCTGCTTCCGTAAGCCCATCTGAAGCGCTGGACAGAAGTTCATTCCAGTTGCCATCACGGTCTTTCTCGAGATGAAACAGGTCGTTCTTGTAGTTAACCCAGAAGTGTTTCGTCCTCGTGCCGGAGTACCACAGGAGTTTGACGCGACGGAACACTCGTGCAGTTACGCGGCGTGACTCGCGATTGACTCGAGACAAGTTCTCAACCTTTACTTCTCTCACTTCTTCATAGCGATATGGAATCCACAAGATGCGTAAGGGTGAGTCTTTCGCGGGTTGCAGAGCCCAAGCAAGAGATGTTCCTTGAGGATCGGCTCCCAAGAAGAACTCCCAGATCAATAGACGGAATTCGATAGGCAGGTCGTTGAATGTTGCTGGTGTATGGTGCATGTCGCAGGTGCGTCTTCTCCAGATGTAGGGAAGAGCTGCGAGCATGCTCTCGGAGGGACTGGGTATCGTCCCAAGCCCATCATCATCTTCGGGCTTCCACAGGCTCGCGGCAAGCATCTCCGACCTGAAGTAGGAGATGAGCCACTCAGCCTTGGTGGCCAAGACTGGCGGCTTCGGCTTTTGGTCCATCTCAGAGGATCAGAGGTTTGGTCGGGGAGGTTATGTGTCCGTGGCTTTTGGGTGCATCGGTGACGGTAGCTGTGGCTGGGAGAGGTAACTTATTGGGACTTGTGCCAGTCGAAAGACGACGTCGTCTCTCAAATAGGTACTCAAGATCGGGCTGTGCCTTCGTGGTAGCGCCTTCCAGGAGGGTGATCAATCACAAGGCTTGGTTGTGATTTGTCTGTCTTCTGAGAGTTGCTTAGATTAAGTCAGGATGGGAGCTGGGCCCATCCGAGATGTATCTATATACCTACTTAAGTACAGCTGAAAGGTACCTGTTGCCTTCAGCATTGTCCCAGGCAACCTTCGATGGGACAATTACTGGAAGACAGTGAAGACGACTGAATGCCAGTGGATGGGTCCACAGGACAAATACTGCGCCTTTACGACACTCCAACTGCTGCCTATGAAAGTCTCTTAGGCTTTCATGCAATAGTTATCAGTGCGCCTTTATTCTAAGGACATGACTGAAGCCAGGCTCCGAGCATTGAATCGTTTCCAGACAAGGCCACTTTTTGTTAGAGCCCTTTCATAAGAAAATCAAATGTGCTAACACGTTCCAGATGCACAGCTTGACAGGAAGTTCATTGCTTGAAGCTAAAGTTTCACTAAGTCGTTGCGAACGTGGAAGTGAATGAAGTTCTACTGCCATTTCAAAAGAAGCTGTCACGCGATCCATGCTCGAGCCTGTGCCTTTTGGTAGCTTTCCCAGATGCTGACGAATCACAAGTCTTGTTGTAATCTATCAGTGGTCTGGGTGGTGCTTGATTAAAAGGTCGGATGGAATGGATTCCATCCGAGATGTATCTAAATACCTAAATTACAGTGGTGAGGTACCTGGGGCAACAGGTGGGTTGCCAGGCATCCTTTATCCGTTGACCTCCATCACATCTGGGGGGTTATCGGAATACTCCATATGGTCCATGCTCTGGATCCACAAGCCCACCCTTTAAGCTGCATGCCCCGATAAGCAACAAACCAGAGAACCCCAATTGATTACCGGGGTTACCATCACCACAAGTATCGAACCAACCCCGAGCCCGATCAAATGACTTATTACAACCTCTGCAAGTCCTTATCCACTTACCTAACACATACGGTCATGCATTGAGACTCAACCATCCATAATGGCAAGATCCGACGAAGCCGCAGCGTTCTTCTTCACAGTGTACAGGGCAGTCCAAGAGATCCCCGAAGGCAAAGTCACGAGCTACGGCCACATCGCGAAGCTAGTCGGAACTCGTACGGACGTTTGCTATCTCATTTAAAGACCATGTCGATGACTGACGATGCTCACAGCTCAGCGACCGCGTCAAGTGGGAGTCTGTCTCAAGCACCTGTCGCAGGATGCGGGCGCACGGTACAACCATGAGAGCGTCCCCTGGCAGAGGGTGATCAACGCCAAGGGGGTCATATCACCACGGTATGTCTTCGCACTACGGACGTTGGGGAGTTATAGATAGGAGCTTAAGGGTGCTGACAGGCGTCCAGATCACAGCCATCTGGTACACGCAATCAGGCAGCCGCACTCCAAGCAGAAGGGGTCACTGTCACTACAGGCGCACTAGGAGAATTGATGGTGGACCTTGGAGAATTTGGCTGGTTTCCCAATTCTCTACCGTCTGACCAGGATGAGAAAGACGAGTCAGAGGATGGGAACGAGGACTAGACAGGGGCAATCATGGACATGAATCACGGTTACGACTGCTGAGTCAAGGTGGAAGGACTTCGCTCCGGCATGAAGCGGTATTTATTGGTGTATGCAGTCTAAGCAATGACTCCTTCCGTAACCGAGCAATCACGGCCCTGGCGACTAGGGTCCTACACTGTGATGGCCGGGTTATTGGCCTGAGTATAGGTTGGGCGAGTTGAATGGCGCGAACGGATCTGTGTATTTCTCCGCGGTTAGTGAGAATGACCAAAGCGGCAGCAATGGCAAGGAGTGGATGGATTGATCAAGTGTCAGATAGCGGTTGGACATAAAAGATTCCACATGTAATTCAGAACAGGTCTGTGAATTATGCTCTTTCATCATATGAAGCAAGGTAGGATAAGCAGGAGGAAGGGTACATACCATTGATGGACGATTGGGACTCAGGATAGCACACGACGCTACGAAGACGTCACTCCTTGTTGGACTCTTCTAGCTTCCGCTTCTTAGAGCCGGAACCGAAGAATAAATCCACGGTACGTTGCTTCGGGTCGAACTTGGCACTCCCAATGCCGCCTCTGGTCTTCTTCAGACCCTTGAGGTGATCGATGTCATTGGTGAGCTGGATTGTGAGGTGAAATCTGACTTGAAAGAATCCGTTGGGTGGATCAGCGCCGGGACTACTCTCGGCGAGGCCAGCGACCACTGGTCCCTGGTCAGATGTTCCAGCTTCGGCATGAGGGTCGAGCGACACTGAGTCTACAGTCGTGACCTTTGCCTGAAGGACGCCTGTATTGCTCCATGCAGCAAGATACTCCGAGCCGCCCGCCTCATTGACGGTAGGTTGGGGTTGTGACAAGATGGGTTTCGGTGTACCACGTGCAAGAAGAGCTCTCAGCAGCACGTTGAGAATGATGCCGTGCGCGACTATGACGACAGCCACGTTTTCAGTGGCATGTTTGTCAACGACCGGCAGCAAATGCGAGGCCAAAAAGCGGTCGATCCGAGCTTTCATGGCATCACGGGATTCCGAGTCAGTGTGAGCAGGACCACCATCGCCCTCGCGACTCCCGATATTGACGCCCTCGGAAGAGCCAAAGTCCTTCTCCCGAAGCTCTGGCAGCTGCACCACCTCCAGCAAAGGGATAGGTGCAAGCTCCTTGCTAAGCAACGACTGTTGAGCTTCGACAATCGCACCGGCCGTATTGTAGGCTCTTTGAAGATTCGAGGCAAAGATGTGCCTGATCGGCCCTATGGTCGAGCGACGGGAGACGAGGTGAGCGCCCAGCCGCTTGGTCTGTACGACGCCATGATTCGTCAAAGGCGCGTCGCGAGAACCTGCACTTCGGAAATGGTCAGGCTTGAGGAGGAGCAGGAAAGGGTTGGAGGCACGCTTACTATAGTCTGGCTATATTGTCAACCGACTCGCCATGACGAATGAGCAGGAGGTGCATTGCTGCGCGTCATCTTCGAGCGTGACGAGAAGAAGGACGGCAGGCAACAGAGCCTTGGAGGTGATGTTGGGTGGATTGAGGTTTTGGAAGAAGGAAGTTTGTGTGCGGGCCAAAGAAAAATGCAAGAGCTCAAATATGCGGGCAGAAGTGGTGGTCCGTGCTCAACTATCTCCGCCCGAATCTGTCCAAGCTCATCTCAACAACTACCTAGTATTCAACACCCCATCAACAAAAGTTTACATTCGCGTTATCACGGTCTGATCTTCACTGAAGACACAGGCATCTTTCACTACTTCACATTGCGGCCAATGTGTTGCAAGAGGGATTGCATGTTGCTTAGCTTTTTGATACAAGCTATGGGGTGTGAAAAGAGCGTAATAGTGTACATCTCCGGGCATGTTCCATTCGAAGCTGCCACACGGTCATACGAGCCTCCAGTTCTTCTTAGATGGCGTTCTCCTTCTGGCGCTGCTCAAAGACAGCCAGAGCTTCCTCGGCAGCTTTGACACCAGAAAGCGCCATGGCACCGAAAGTCGGGCCCATGCGGTTTGCTCCGTCGACCTCGGACAGCTCCATGCCTCCGACGATCAGTCCAGGGACGATCTCACGAGTGCCCTTGACAATAGCATCTTCGGCAGTGTTCATGTCCAAGCCCCTCATGCCTCCAAGCTTCTCGATGGCCTGCATGCTTACGAGTCTCTTGACGCTGAAGGCACCGAACGGGCCGTCGTGACCAGTAGTGCTGATGATGACGGGCGCGTTGATGGTGCTGGGGTCCATGCAGGACTGATCGTCGTGGTGCATGGCGACAAGAGTCCAGTTGGTGACGACACCGGCAATGCGGAGGTTTCCGGACTCATCCCTGCGTGTGATGAGGTCCTCGACTGAGGTGGCGTTGAAGAGCTTGATGTTCGGGAACGCCAGCACCTTCGACAGCAAAGTCGAGGTGAAGAGGGCGGCGTGCTTGACCACGACGTAGGGCCCCTCGTCCTCAAACGGCACACCGAGGTCGGTCAAGAACTTGTCGGCAGGCTTGCGCATCACCATGGCGCTGAAGAGCTGGCCTCCGAGCCAGGCACCACCGCCTGCAATGCGCGTCAGTGTCATTTTCAAACCATAAGGAGCGTCTATGTGCACATACCAGGAGAGACACTAGCCTCGATGATGGCAATCTTCAAGTCGGGACGAGCCTTGGCGAGGGTGTAAGCCGTGCTCAGACCACACGAGCCCGCGCCGACGATGACAATGTCAGACTCGGCATATGTGTCGAGGTCGTTGAAGTAGCGACGAGACATCGCACGAGCCACCTGGGACTCCCGAATGGCATCGAAGGTGAAGTTCTTCCACTTCCCGTCGGCAAGTTGGGCGCGGCCATTGGTATGGGTCTTACCATTTCCAACGGGGACTCCGCCTTTGTGAGGGAGGGTGGTGGGCTCAACAACGTCAATCGCAGAGGGTGCCATTGTGAATGATGATCAAGTAGGTTGACCTGACCTGCGTCAGTAGTTGCACAGCTGGGGGTAGAGGGGGAATCGAGAGCATGATCCTTTCGCTGGTATTATCCAGATCAAGTACATCGCCGTGTAATCTCAGATCAAGCTCTGTTGGCCACCCAGTCTTCTGCGGCTTCCACGCAGCGTCCGAAGACGAGCAGTGGTTGAACACGCAGAAACACTGGGTGCAGAGACTCGAACACCGGCTCATGGCTCGCCTCAGATGGCGTTACCTATTGATTTGAGGATACTGATCATGTAGAGTCATCATGACTCTCGCTGGATAACCCTTCGCGGGTCATGTCCTCCGAGAACGGGATCGCCATATTGGCTCGTACCGTGTCGGGATTCCTGCGGGAGCAGAAGTCAGTAAGTCAATCTTATGGTTCCAACACACCTGACCAAATATTGGTTAGGGGTACGATGCGTACGATTGTTCTTTTTCGGATGAAGTCAGATATCAGTGGTGTCTGTAAACGATGGATATGTGAAGAAGAGAAGGTAGTTGTCTGAGGACCAACGAAGCACCCAACATCAGGTCTTTGTATTCATGGAGAGCGGGGTAGAAGTGGGTGTCGTCATCTGGGCAACGCGACGACGCATGCACATGCTTGGTCAACGATGTCATATCGCCCTCCTGTAGCTAGAGGTTAGAGAGAGGTAGTTTCACGCGACGCCGGTCTTCAGCCGCGGATTGGACGGCATCGTTGCAAGCGCACCGCGGGTAATCGTTTCGGACCCCTCACGGCACTGGATCGGCGAGTATACTGACTTGTCTAGTAGAGGGCCAGTCCGGGAAACGGAGCGGTACTCTGATTCGTATACGAGACATTACCAGATCAACAGCGACGTACGTGGGCCTTGGTTGAGGGGGTCCCCGTGGGGAGAGGAGAACTCTGGGTCACTAGTCCCGAGGACCTCTTCATCAGCGACACAATAGTGGTACGTACAATTATACTGACAAGCAAGCAGTTCAATCACGCATTGCCGTCCTCTTCACAAGGACAGTGCTTGAAGAGACCATCTTGACCACCTGCAGATGTGGATTGGAACGTGGTCTAACACCATCCTGATACCCCCTACCCCTTTAAACCTTGCTCACAATAAAGTCCACAGCATCATCAACCTTCCCCGAGTAATCCAGGTGCGCCGACGTGATCTGCAGCGTGCCATCACAGACCCTATCGCCCGTATTGCACAGAATCAGCGTCTTCCCGGTATCAAACCCCGGGATCCGATCGCCGTCCTGCGCATTCTGCGTGTCGCCAAAGGTGACGGCGGCGCCGACACGCGCCTTGACCGCCGTCGTCAACTGCTCCACCGACCGGTGCACCATGGGCGCGCCCAGGCTGTAGCCGGCCACGGCGATGGCCGCCTGCGGGCACTGCGTCGCCGCCTGCGTGATCAGCGCCGCCATCGTCTTCGCCTCGGACGCCTTGCACCCGCCCGCCAGCAGGTTCGACGCCTGCGCTGCGGCGTAGGTCACGCCCTGCGCCGCGACGCTGTTGGTTCCCAGGGCGGACTTGAGTCCGTTGGCTACTGCGGGGCCTGGCATCTCGCCCTGTTCGTGTCGGGTTAGCCGGCTGCTTTTGCGGAACCTACTCTGGTACTCAAGGAAACGAGGACTGAGTGGCTTTGGAAGGAGACCAGCAACTCACCAAATTGCCGCTTTGGCCCGTTCCACGCGCATAGATGAAGATCAGGTCCTTGCAACCGCTGTCGAGGAACTCGTTGGCGGTCGTGCCGACTGCGCGGCGGCTCAGCACATCGCCTTCCGTGACGTCCAGTGCGATGGGGCTGGCTGTCGTGGTGACGGCCAGGGCCGCAGCCAGAAGAGAGATGGAGAATTTCATCTTGATGGCGAGCGCGAGGCGGTGAACTTGGCTAATTTGGTGACAGTCGTCCTCTTCAAGGGTTGCAAGGTGGTTCGACTTCCGCTGTGAATCACAAGTCAGATCGGGGCTATGACCGAGGCCAGTGGTTCCTTATATAGTCCCTGGTTCAAGTTTACCAACAATTTCAAGAATGAGCTTGCTGATTTTTGTAATGCCATGTTGTGCGGTATGCTCAATGGTATGCTCGCCCCGCGAGCTGGATGCCTATATGGCTCATGGCGCCGACTGGAAGTAACCTCCAAGCCGCCCGGGGCAAGACGTATCTCGCATGAAGCAGTGCAATATGTTGTGAATCCCGAGACAATCTCTCAAGACAAAAGGTCAAAGTCGAAAGCTGGATAAGCGATGTTTAGCTCGGCTGACGAGTAAGTTACGCAGCAGTCGAAAGCTCTAGATCCCGTATGGCTTCGATATATCATTGCAGAAGTATTTGAAAGATGTCAACCTAGAGTTCCAAAGGGTACCCAGATGTTGTGGTCGGTCCGAATAGGGCCATGAGTCATGGCAAAGCTTGGTATGTCCTTGCCTTCCCCGTAAGGCAGCTCCTAGGGCAACCCACCGCGTATTTCGGGAATATGATACGGGGAGTTTTAGTTGTTCTGCGTCGCTTAGACGTCTGTTTCAGGCTTGCGCGCCGGGCTCGCGGTATCGCAGGGTCGCTTTTCCAATGTGTCGCTTCTATAAGAGTACGCTTGGCGCGAGTTATCCGCCGGGGATACCCTCGCTTTCTTATGTCGAACGACTGTGGAATGGGAGTCGAGTTGTTTGTACCTTCCCGAGATGATTACATTTCGCTGATTAGGCGCCAATCCGAGTGTCACTCGTTTCTTGGCAATGTGCGTCGGGGCATTGCACCATGCTACGGCTCGTGCTCGTATCCATCGTACCTTGTAGCTTCAGCACTTTGATGTAGGAGTGAACCTTGGGGAAGCACTGAACCTATCCATACCCCGAGTCTCAACCAAGTGTTCTTCTTACGGAGTTACTTTCGCCTTGGGGGCAGTTTACAATCACGTATCCGTGAGTGCCGAGCCCGAGGGCCCAGATCACACTCAGCTTCCAACTGGCGCCAGAATGCTATCATGTTCCCTCGCTGACCATTCCGAGAGATGAAGCCTAATTGTCGACTATCAATTCATGAATAAGACGTAGACTTAAGTTGTATCGGTAGAGAGTATCTGCCGGGCTGCCAGGCTGCATGGGCTTGAGATATAAAATCGAGAACAGTCGAAGAAATCACTAATACGGTTGACTTATCAATACGTAGCGAACAGATGGTCTTCGGCTAGAAATAGCATGGACAATTGGCCTGTTCGATTTCAACCTAATTCAGGTGATATCAGATACACTGGTCCTCCATAGGTCTCCGTACACCCTTTATTTACCAAACAGGGCGGTCAATGAGCGCATTGCGGAGATGAAATAGCAATCCATTGACATTCATGTCTCTCATACAGTCGCGTAAACCTCAAACACGAATCTCATCAAACGCTTCCTTCTTTGTATCTCATGGGAGGGGTGGTTATGTGGTGCCGCAGATGGCCCAAGAGACGGGTCAATGTGACCAGCGACCTGAATGTGCATGTTTAGAGAACGGAGCAAATCATAGGATATTCGAGTGGACCACTCTTACCTGACGCGATGTCATATCCAGCGTGCCTCCACAGATCCACATCACCGTAAACTCTCACGAATGCGTCCACGAAGCCTTTGCTGGCGTTGAGAACTTCGGTGGGAGATGGGTACATCCCGTTATCCGCGAGCCACTTTAGTAGAAATTGAATATCTCTCGCGTCTGTTCCCTTCTTTCCCTCGGTCGCCCGTCCTCCATTGGAGCCGCACTTGGCGTTCAAGAGTGTGACAATCAGGCCTGCAGCTGCGCTGGTCAGGGCTGATGGGATGAAATATCTAGATTCAACAGTATCTAAGGAAGAAGAGGCAAGGTCGGAAGAGAGAGGGGAAGCTAGGGGTATATATGTACATAAATATGTGGAGGTATTATGTAATACCGTAACAAAGAGGAGTGTGGGCTTCAAGATGCGGACGTTTCCCACCATAAGAGTGGGTGTATGCTCGTCGAACTCCTCTTTGAAGAGTACAGGAGGTGTGAGTATTTCAATCTCGACCTTTGGCATCGTTCTGTAGGTCGTGTGCTGCGTTCGTTTCTCAACCTCAAAGGAGGCTGCCTGGACTTTTCAGGAGGTCTCGGGCAGCCTTCGTGCCGCCTTTCGGTACGACGAAGTCAACGTCCACTATTTGGCGGGGCGACCCGAGCAGAGAGCAAGCAGCTCCGCCCACGATGGCATACCAAGAGTTTCCAAGAGCATGGGCAACGGCTTTGGCTGCCGCAATGGTTTGTGCAGGCCCTGGGTACTGCTTTGGGCTAGAAGGAGGCATCGGGTACTGCTAGATTGTCAGCTTCCCTTCCTATAGTTCCTGTCGGCGTTCAGTTTGGTGTTTACAGTTTGTAATTATATTGTCTGGTGTATACCTACAATGATTCTTCGAGCTTCGGGGAGCAGTCAGCCGCTAGCACAACTATGGATAGTAGTCCAGGCCGTTGAAGTGACTTGAATGGGTGAACAATCTCACCAGACTGAGCAGCATTAGAGAATCAAGACCGATAAATCGAGGCTACACCGCGGCCTTACGCAAGTTACGGGGCGACGTACCTAGGAGATGGAAGTGAAGTTCCCTGGGAGACGGGTTACGGGAGCTGGGAATGCCCTATCTGGCTGGCCGTGGGGGCTCCTGCGCAGGCATTAACCAGGGCCGGAGCGGGATCAAGAGCCTTCGCACCAGTTAGATCGTAGGGCTTAACGTAGGAAGAGAGTTGGGTGCCATTCCGTTCCTTTATTTCGTTTTGGAACTTTACTTCTATACCGAGTTTTTAAGGCAACATTTTATTCCTAAGCCAATCATAATTGGGAGTGTAAGCATTCCTAGCCTGTGGCCTATGAGGAGTAGTAAAGTGTTGCTTAGAAAAGGCGGTATATATACCTTTACTTAGCAGCCATGGCAGCAAGGTTGAGGGAATACCTGCCAAAGACAAGTCTATGTTGGTTTCAGATGCTGGCTCCTTTGGATGAGACAAACAGCCCTCCACCAATGGATCCCACAGGCATCCATTTTGTTGATGTAGCATTAGGTACCAACTCACTTCCGGGCGCCACCTGCAGACGCACGCCACTCAGCTGCATAGCACAGCCACACAGCAGTTTTCCGCGGCGGCTAATCTTTCAATGTTCCAGACAGTTGCTAAGCGCCAACAGCTACAAGGTAGACTGATGATGAGAACCAAGATCGCTTGCGACCTTGTTATTCAAAATGCTTGATCAGCAAACGGCCCGTTTGTCCTGCAGACCACTCACGTATCTATCCACCTTCTCTTACCCTTGATCCGCCAGTTGGGTCACCAAGATCTACCTAGCCGCTCGCCCTTGGACACAACCTTACACCCTCCAGCCGCCGGCCGCCAGCCAGCCTGAACTATGTTCGATTCAAGGCGGATACCCTGCGATCTCTTGGGTCAAAATGACATCTCTAACGCCGTCTGGTTCGAGGACGCTATCAGATCCTACGGGGTCCCCACTGTCCTTTTCGATCTGCACCTGGTGGTACCAGACATAGACGAGGCCGCAGCAGTCTTGCGGGCCAACGACTGGACCCCGGAGCCGCCAAGCATGTACTCTTTTCTCGCTCGCACGCCAGCCTCGATGTTCCACCGGCTGCTAGCACCTGCTACTGGGGAAGAGTACGATCCTGACGCGTGGCCACCCGTACCGCCTGGCGAGGAGCCTCCCATTGCGCGAGTCGCCGCTGTTCTTTTCCCAGCTGCTCGCTGGGGTGTGGCGGCAGAGACGCTCGAGCAGGCCGTGGAGAACGACTTCGTGCCTCATCTGCCTGCGTTGACAAACGCTCTCATCGGCAGTTATCTTGATTGCCCCGAAGATCCTAATGGTGGGAAAGTGCAATCGTACCTTTCCTGTCAGCTTGGCTACCTGTACGACTACGTGCCACAGCTCAAAGAGAAGACCTTTACAGAAGAACTGGCCTTTGAACACCGTCAGTTCCACCTCGACTGTCTGTCCAAGATGAGGCTGTGGACTATCCCGTTCGTCACCCATGAGCGACGGATAAGAAAAGCCATCAGGGAAGGGGGTTATGAGCTCCGGGAATGCTCGGCCGATACTGAGGAAACACGGTACCTCTTCGAGGATCCTCTTGCTCAGCTACATATGGAGAGAATGGCTCATTCGAGCGATTCTTGGGCAATGGGAGAATGAAAACTCCCAATCTACTTGATAAGAACGCTTTGCGATACACACAACGGTGGTTGGTATAGTGTGAAGAGATGATGGTCAAGCAGAGAGCTGCCAATTTCCGGCATGGAGCATTGCCTACTAGGCGCAACGCTTTCTTCCTCGGTTTTTAGATGAGTGCGAAAGATCAAATGATGCTTTACTCCACACACGCTGTCTGAAGCCAGGTGAGGTCGAAAGGAAATGGAAGGAGAGCCGATGTAGCGCGATGTTCGAGATTGGTACAAGGGGACGACTGGAAATCTTGCTTGTATCGGTCGGCTGACCGTGGTATCGATATCGATGCCTAAGTTGTATTGAGGTACAGTATGGCTGGACTGACTTCTTTGGCAACACTGGTACCTCCAGGCCTACTCAATGAGCTGGCAGTGGGAGGAAGAGGGACACCACAGATATCCTATTCAGACGATATGTTGTTCTCTCGTTATGATTGCCCCAGTCTACCGGCACATTTTCATGGCACTATTCGCCCAGTGGTAAATAATACCCCAACCCATGCATCCCCTCATAGTCATATAAATCGTAAATCGTCCGTCTCGCATCATGGTTCGTCTCCTGTCATCCACCACCCCTAAAACCCGCCCTCCTCGAACTTCTCAACACCCGGTCCCTCGACGCCGCTGAACCAGCTCACGCGGTTCTTGATGAACTGCTCAACCGTAGGTCGCAACTTGGTCTCATGCAGATAGAAATCATCCACGGTGCCGATGCGCAGGATACTAAATCCTGGGAACCGGGCACCGACGCGATACATCAACGTGCCACAAGTCTTGCAGAAGTAGTTGGTCATGGTCTGGCCGGACGCGATCGTCTTCTCCTGCCCCCAATGGCTCAAGTTCTCCTGGCCTCGCACGTGCTTCAGGTAGGAATTGTCGATGGTGAAGTTTGATGCGAACATTGATGCCGTGATCTTGTGGCAGTCCGAACAGTTGCAGACGAAGGACTTGACCAGACCTGGTGCTTTCGTTGGCTAGACCCATGTCAGTGGCTGCAGGTAATGAATAGGTTCTCGAGCTCGTAATCGTGGGCATGTCCCATCTGAATGAAGATGGCTGGAATATGCGTCAGACTTACAAATGCCAATTGCACTGCGCCGCAAAAGCATGTTGCCGTTGCCTCGTCCTCGGTAGACCAACCATCATTGGCGACGCCTGCGAGAGGAAAGTTAGACCCGGATTGGTCTGCGGTATTGGTAGTGGTAGTAGTCATGGTGGTTTTGCTAGTAGAAAAATGAGGAGCGTGACGTGTTGGGACGAGTTGAAGAGGATGGGCCAGATGTAATCGGCGGGAAATGCTGGAGATGTGCTGGTGTCTGCCGTTTACAGTTGCGAACTTCCTTGATTCGCAGTTCGAAGGCAGGTTTTATATATAACGTGACGTCCAGGAGTTAAGGCACGCAAGCCGTAAGTCCTCGGCCGAGTCGAGCTACGTGACTATCAATTCCGTCACTCCGAACTCAACCCCGCGACCTCCGTTGACTCCAACCAATCCGCTGCATTCCGATACTCCATTAGGCCAGTAACTGACATGGACTGATTAGTGAACAGCCATTCGCCAACTTTGATGGTACGGACGCATGAAGGTTGCTGAACTAATCACGGAGTACACATCCAGTGCATCGGTGGTGTCGATGCATTTTGGGACCACGTTGTAACTCTGCCAGTGCTCGACCAACGGAATACGTCGGAGGGCCTGTCACAGTGACCAACCAGCGTGACCCTTGTGCCGCTTGAAGGATGCATTTTGCGAATTGGCATCTTGAGTATATCAATATGGAATAGGGATGATAGATATCTCAAATCAGCTCTAAGCGGACCTCACGAACGGTCGCAGACATCTAAACTCTCACGTTGATCAAAGTAAGCTCACGGGGGGGTTGGGGATCGTCGAGGGACTGGACCACCAATCTACCGGGCCCTCCTCACACTCTGCAGCCGCGAATAACCCGACAAGGCTGGAAACCCGAACATGAAGCAAAGTGAGTACCATTTCGGCTTCGGACGTGTATCAAGCTCCCCGATCAGTCGGCGACTTGAGAACCGCGAGAATTATGAAGAAACGGCTGGGTAAAAGATGTGCGATAAAATTCAAGGTTCGATGAAATATATAAGCACAAAAAGGCAATCCAACTTATATACACAAAACTGATTCCAGCTAGACCAAAGTTGGACCTAGATACACCACGAATATCAACCCCCTTCAGCATTCACCCCCGACTTGAGGGCGCGGCACTGGTGGTGGTAGCAGCCATTAAGCGTTGACGCACTGGGAGTAGTAAGGGTTCATGCCGGTGCAAGTGCCCACAGAGCAAGAAGTGGCGCCGGTCCAGTTCTTACCGCCTGGAACATCTCAAGTCAGCATTTGCAACTGCGGGAAAGGGGTCGCGGGGATCATATCGAGAAGGGGCTACATACCACACTGGCCGTAGAGAGCTGCGGTCCCGCTCGGCGACGCAGCGGCGGAGCTGGTGGCTACCACCTTGGTGGAAGTAGCCTTGGTCACGGTAGCGAAGGTAGTGGCGGAAGTAGCAGCGGGCGTGGTCTCGACGGCACTGGTCTCGGCGGCTACGCTGGTAGTGGCCGACGAGGTCTCGACGACGACAGTGGAGGAGGTCTCAGCAGCGGCGGTGGTCTGGTCGGCAGCGGTGGAGGTCTCGGCAGCGGCGCTGGAGGTCGTGGTATCAACGCTGGTGGTCTCAGCAGCAACGGTGGAGGTCAGGGCAGCAGCGGTGGATGTGGCCGTGGCGCTGGTGGTCTGGGACGCGGAGGCCGACGAGTCGTCGCCGCCGCTGCCGCTGCCGCTGACGGTGAAGTCGATACAAGACTCGTAGGTCTGATCGATCGAGGCCGCGTTCCAGTACCACTGGATGACGCAGTCACCAGCGGTCGCGCACTCACTGCCGAGGTCGCTGGGGATGGTGATGTCGAACTGGGTCTCGTTCGCGGGGATAGAGGTGGCGGTGGAGGCGTACACGTCCCACGAGATTAGGGGAGAGCCGATGACGGTGTTGCTGCTGGTCTTGACGATGGAGACGTTGGCAACTCCGGTGTGGGGAGCGCGGATGTCGACGGTGATGGGGAGCACCTGTCCGGCGGTCAAGGACTGGACGTTGGCCGTGTTGTCGGCGAACTTGTAGCCCTTGCACAGCCAGATATCGCAGGCCGCCTCGTCGTAGTCGCTCTGGCTGGATGCGACTTGGAGTTCGCCCTGGATGTTTCCGTAGTTGTCGGACGACTGGTTGATCTCGACTTGGTTTCCGCAAGCCGCTTCCATGGCGGAGCCGGGCATGCGAGCCTGGGGGTCGGTGACGAAACCATGGCCGAAGACGGTCGAGGCGAAGCTGACAAAGCCAAGGGTGACGGAGGTGGTGGTCTTCATGGTGAATGGTAAGTGACTTATTGATGTGAGAAGATGGTCTTCGTGTGTTGGAAACGGAGCGCCAGGGAAAAGAATGAATGTGATTTCAAAAGAGTGAAAGTGGAAACGAACGTCAAGTCACAGACCAGATACTAACGACAGAGAAGCAGAGAGTGATGTTGAACAAGAAAAACTGCAGTGAAGTGAAAGCATAATCTCATATATATACAATGCTGCCCCCGAGCATCCCACGAACACTCCCAGTGCCAGCGATTCGCATCTCGGGTCGAGGCTGCGGGGCCTCGAAGAAATGAAGGGACAGCAAATGTCTGGAAGGCCGGTTCCTCCCATGTCGCCCAATTAATGTCAGGACACTCTATCTGCATGCGGTGAGGCTCAAACTTAAGTGACCAAGTCAATCTCCACGTAGCAGGGGCATAACTGTGGTTGACCATCTGAAGGCTGTCAGCCGTGCCGCGCGACTGAGGATCCGGGAAGCTGGATACCTAGTAGAAGCGTCCTATCATCCTTTGCAATGCACACCCAGGCTCGTGGGACCATCACATTGTTTCATATATCTGTTGGTGATATAGTTGAAACACAGACCAACGACTATGCCAAGAACCGTTACACCCTAGTGGCCGTCTTGCCAACCGCCAGTCTAGCGCTCCCGATCCCGTTCGACGCCGCCATGGATCGGCTCTTCACTAGATGGAACTTCATATATCGCATCGTACGGATGGCTCAGCAAGATTCTAATTGCCGCGTTGGGCCATGTCGTCGGTGAATGTGCACTCAGGCTGCGAGCTGTCAAAACTCATCCGTCGCGCGGCGAGCAATGGCGGCGCGTACGAGTTCCAGGTTGCCCCTGTGTGGATCTCTTCATAGGCAAGGGGCTTCGAAGGGCTGCGGGTCGTCCGATGATTTTCGGCAGCGGATTACCGCAAGTGGCAAGGAGCCCCGGAAGAAGCCGAAGCCTGTCAAGGATGAGGAGCCAGGTAAGGATGTACTGTGGGCCGTGGCACGTAAATGGAAGTCCTGTAGATCATGTTGACTTGTCATTGGAGGAAATATTTCAAGGTTCAGACGGAATTTCTGCGAGATGGCTAGGGTCGGTATATTCAATCAACTTCAGCTGAGATGACAGGATGAGTGCAGTGGCTCTTCAAGTGCACGGAAGAACTGAGGAAGATTCAGCTTGTTGAACAACAGATGTCCACCACATACCCCAGTTTAGTCACGTGATAAGTCAGGGCAGGTATCACGACTGCTTAACTGTTGGTAGGCACGGTGTAACACACCGTTGGCTGAGTGGCATGACATAGCATGTCTTAGACGCTGACAACCAACAAGACGAAATGGTCTAAATCCGGCATATTGTAGCGCGGGCCTGATAACTTTTGGCCCCGTCAAGGTCCTTACTTTCCGGCCGGGGGTACCTCCCAGCCCCGAGAGTACAAGAGATCATGAATTCCCCCGTCATGGAGTAGGTCAATGATGAGAAGTTTACATTTCGTGTTGACATCAACACACACCTTGTCAGTTTGCATTTTATGCCGTCGCCCAGCTATAATAGTACAGATTGTTTGCGTACACTGGGCCCATCCTGCCCTGTGCTCATTTTATGGTGGGTGTCACTCTTGTGATGAAGCACCCTGGCGCCGGCAGGCATGCAATCCTCGGTTCACAGGTTTATGCGTAATACTTGTGCTGTAATCCCAATGCGAAGATTGCATGACAACATGATACGATCTTATTGGACATCACAACGGCCGGTTACCTCGAATGCCAAGCCCAGTCAAGTCTTTTTCTGTCCTAAAACCCATTGGGCACATGACACATGTTGAGGCTGGCCATGACCAATGTTTTGAAAGCACTTTAGGTATCGGTATGGCGGAATGAGGAATATTTCTGTGTTGCTGAGAGAATTTTCAAGTAATGGACTTTGGGGACATGACTGTGACGAGCCGTCTAACCTATAAGGCTAAAGGGTTCTATAGGGTTTATGTTCTGAGGTAAGTCAACACAAAAGACGATAGAGGCTTCTGTCAACTAGAAGACACTCAGATGCTGGGGCTTGGTCTGAACTGGGTTCACTGAATAGTCGAGTCGTCAGGAGATTTCTCCCCTTAGGGTTGGCTAAGATGCTTAGATTGATCACTGAGGTAGAGACTGTCTATCTGTCTAGCTAGGAAATGTCCATCCTTATATATCCAATCTCTCCCTCACTGATGGGGTGGATATGTTGGATAACCTTGCTATCCAAGCTATCCTGGATATGTTGGATAACCTCGCTATCCAAGCTATCCATCACGTGATGTCTTGATCACGTGACCTAAACGTTTCCTTGGCCCGTGCGTTCTCCCGGGTTCTTCCAGTTACTGTCCATCTTGTTGGGCCTGCCAGCGGGCTTCATTCCCTGTACGCCTCGTTGGTTCGTAACAATGACCATGGATAATCTCATGCAATTCAAGGATCATCTTGACGGATGTTTTAAATGCTGATATAAGTGAGCCAGTTGAGAACCGGTTCATTCGCGACTTCTCCGGCTCTTATAATTATTACGTCTCGGGACCCCTGTAAGACCTCGATCTACTCAAACCTTATGGATTTCATCGACCTGCGTAGCAAGCCCGAAAATCCCACAGGTTGCGTCTTCTTACAAGGACTCTGCTCAGGCCTGCAGGTGTTACGGTATTACATAATATCTCCACATATTTATGTACATATATACCTCTAGCTTCCCCTTTCTCTTCTGACCTTGCCTCTTCTTCCTTAGATATCATTGAATCTAGATGTTTCATCCCATCAGCCCTGACCAGCGCAGCTGCAGGCCTGATTGTCACAGCAGGTACCTTCGTCTGATGTGACTGTCAGTGACTACGAAACCAGAAGAGTATTGACTTGACACGAACCTTCGCTTCGTCAATGATGATATATTGTTAGAGGCAAGGAAAGAAAATAAAAACCAGTGCACTAGGAAATAGCTTCAACCAATAGGTGCCTACTTCTACAGATATGTTTCCGAGTGAAGATGTAAACGGTGGCTCTTCTTTCTAACTTTACCCTCCTGGGTATGTTAGTAAGGGCTCAACTCAGTTCGGTATAGCGTCCTACCATCTTGACTCAATAATGACCCGGGCTTGATGTTATCAGTTTTTGTTACAATGTCAATATCATGCACGGCGCTAGATATCCCCACAGGATTGACCCCTATATATACCGGACCATGTCTTCTAGCTCGCTTCATAGTTTCTTTTCTTCTTCATGTATCACATTTGAAGTCATTCTGGACTCACCACCAGTCTTACTGTGACATATCTGATTCGACATCTGTTTATCACCGCACAGTGAACTTCTGGTACACCTAGAACCTCCAGAAGTCTGTGCACACCCCTTATTCATGCGAGCGAAGGGTGTACCTTCCTACTTGAGCAATTGTGAAAGCGACCTCCGATAGCTGTTGAATCCAGTGATACAGCAGGATGACCACATCATTCTGTACGGGATCCGACTTGCGAGGGTGTTGAATCCATAATCTATCCTCGGTCTGATGATTGGACCAGTATTTATATCAACATCGATTATATAAGTGCAAGAAGGAATGTGTTAACATGAGCAGATCTGACCAGATGTATCAATATTTACACGCTACCAAGAAATGATTTGCATGTACTGCCAGGCAGCGGCAGACTCGCAGGTCGTTTCAACATCACGCTGAGCTGCAAGCGATCACGAAGCTCCGATGGCGACACGGGCGCTGGAACCTGCACAGTCCTTGGAGCAACAAGTCTGGATATAGAGTTTTCACATGCTGCCTGAATCACAGAGATGATTGTTCATGTGACCCGGCAGCTTACCTTCATCAGAGGCAATTCCACTGGTCGAACTTTCGTCCTGCGCGACGAACCAACGACACGCGACGAACCAACGACCCAACGACCCAACGACCCAACGCGCAGTTCGCCGTTCTCGTTAGCACAACGCCACATCGCACAGGAACAACGACATTTTCGCGCCCTTCATCCCAGTCAACCACACCTTGGAATGCGACAAGACAATATCACCCGCATGATGGATTCTCCCACGGACGGAGAGAACGGAGAGGCTCAATCGAACTTCGGCCGCTCGAGCAGCTCATTCGGAAACTTGACCAACCCGGCGTCTTCATCAAACGACAACTCCTCATACCCGTTGCCCATGCATATCGGGCCGGAAGATAGTCACATGTCGGGACAGGCCACAAGCGAAAGCCCCCAGCCGCTGGCAGACCCCCTCGCTCAGAAGGAGCCGGCGACCGTGAATGGACACAACCGATTCCAACGCGCGGTTCGTAAGCGCACGGTGGAGTTCGAGCAGCTCTCCCTCTGTCCCGATTCTCGGAAAAGAGCGAAGACAGCGGCGTGGCTCACCAGTGATGGTGATGTGAGTCCCCATTCAGTGCAGTGTCGGTCCCACCTAACCTGACTGTGATACAGTCTTGCAGTGAATGGCAAGCCGCTATTCGGACCTAAGACTCTAGCCGACATGATCGATGCCCACCTGGAAAAGCTCAAGCAACTGCTTCTTCCTGGCGCCGGAAAGACTGTTACTGAAGGATCGGTCGAGGGGCACGGCAATTCTACCCAGCAGAAGCAGTTGAAGAGGGATTACGACATGATGGAGGAGTAAACGGGAGGAGGGGCCTTGGAGGCCAACTAAGGGCCATGCGCGATGATATGGATCTGCAAGGCATCGCGTAGCATCTTGCAATGTGTAGAAATTGGGACAATTTCAGGAATCAGTCACAGATACCAGCTAGGTAGCCAATGCCAGGTGTCTTGACTCTTGAGGTATGAAGCGACGTTCGACATAATGCATGACAGGAGACCTTTTATCTCTAAATGCATTTCCCTTAGTATGCAATAAGCGGGCTCCCCCGTCTTCTAGCATTCCCCAACTTCGCGACCAAAATAGTTCGTCATCACGGCCTTGTAATTGTCCCTCTAAATCATATCTCAAGCAACATTTGTCACGATCTCAGACAATGTTCGAGGACGCCCTGGATTCATGTCGGCCTCGGCTCCTCACTCGACATCTCTACCCACCGATATAACGTGCATCGCCGCCGAACCCTTCGAGCCAAAACCCCTGATTGCCGACATCCTCCGTACGCGCTTCTGCGTCCCCGGCTCCATCTTCCTCGTGGAAGGTGTGCATTCCGTCCATACGTCCCGGTCAAAAAGATGGCGCGCTCTTCGCCTACTGCTGGGCGACGGCGAGCTCTCCATCCAGGCTCTTCTGTCGGCTGAGCTGCACAGATACATCGACCGAGGCGAGGTCGCGTTCGGGTCCTATATCAGGTTGGAGCAGTTCCGGGTCGAATGGAAAGCCTCGAGCGGCAACCGTGGATCTTCGCCTACGAAAAGGAAAGGGAAAGAGAAAGCTCAAGAATCCGAGGGAGAAGAAAGGGGCATGGTATATCTAATCGTGGAGGATCTCGCGTTGGTCGGTTGGAACAACGCGCTTGTCGACTCCGAAATCGGCGAGGCAGCTGAGACTGGGCCATTCTATCAAGCAGAAGAAGAAAAGAACCGGCAAGGAACCCCTGGCATGTCTGATCCTATCGACCATACCCAGCTCCGGCGCAAATCAATAGAACCTGCCGAGAATCGGGGTATAGAGGAGCATCTGAAGGACCCTGCAGATGCCGACGACGATTTCGAATCCATGCCCATCTCCGACCAGAAGGCGACGCAAAACCGCATCGCCATAGCTACAAACGCCAGCAGCACCGAGCTGGACGTGCAGCCGATATCTAGCTACCTCCCATGGGCCGGCAACGATCCTTCGAAGCCGCTGAAGCTCACCAAGCTGCGCTCCATCCCAAACCTGCCATACAAGCAGAATTGGAGCGTCAACGTCCTGGCCGTCGTGTCAGCCATCTCCGACGTCGAGCCCTCTGGTCTGCCGCCTTACACACAGCGTCAAGCGCGCCTCGCCGATCCCTCGACGGACAAGCACGTGCTCCTCACTGTGTTCCTCGACCCGCATCTGTTCGCCCCGTCGGTTGGCAGTGTTGTCTTGTTGCTCGGCGTCAAGAACCACAGATTCGACGGGGGCAGCTTAAAGAAGTATGTGAGCGATCGCCCGAGGGATGGCGAGGGCTGGTGGTTTGAGAACCCCTCTCGCTTCTCCTGGTGTGACGTTGCTGGCCTGCAGCAGTGGTGGAATGGGGACAACAGCTGGGGAGATCATGACGTCCCTCCACCATGATAAGTCGTCAGAAGACGCGTTCGTCAATGATGATATTCTCCGCGGTCTTTATTACCATGGAGGCTTCTCTGGCCTGGTAAGCGTGGAACCACAAGGGTCCCAGAGAGGCATTCTCTTATCCTGGCGCAAGGTCTCTGTTTCAAGATATGGGGTCGTTATCACGAGACTGATGTCGGTGGAACTGTCTATGCGTTCCACCTGCTCAGTTTAGCTGTCATGTCACAACTCATCATATCATCCTTGAGCAGGGCAAATCCATTGCCTCTGTCTTTGAGTGAATCTCTTTCATTACCGCTGTCTATTCTATGTTGACATTCCCAGTCTCGATTTTGCCTGATGTGAGTTCTAGCACCAAATGAGCCCGCTATCTGCCCGCTGCTTGAGAAAAGTAATTCAGACCATCACTCTCCTTGCCGGCCACCAACATTGCTTTGGCACTTTCTTATCCTTTTTCTGCTACTTATGGCTTATGGCTAGACAGCGGCGTCATCTCTCGGGCAATATTTGCTCAGCTTCCCACTTTTTTTCAATCGGAACTGGCCTTCATGATACTTTCTGTTGCACTTTAGGCACTTTCCCCATTTTGGTGGCGTGGGTGCTTGCGGTCCCCGGTGTGGGCGGCATTCAAGATGGGGGAACTTCCATCCATCAAGCTCAACAATGTCGAAGTCTTCAGTGGGGGGCAAAATCATAATGGCCTGGAGCCCGGCAGAAGGACTTCGGGGTGTAGTTGACGTGTTCGACAAGCTCTCCAACTGGATCACGCGGCAATGCCTGGCGCTCCTACTGCCCTTTCTAGCACTCTTTACACAGAGAACCTGCTTCTGCCGCGCTCATCTCATTGTGCAACTTCAACTTTCCACACCCAGTGTTCCGACGTCAACCCGGTGCAAATCTTCCAATTAGCTGGTGGAGGTTTACCCTTGTCCTCCCTTGCATGCTTGATGCCTTTCTCCAAACGTCTGCCCCAGATACAAGTTGGTAGAAGGTCGAATTTAATCGATGATCGAGCGAAGTCGGCGCAAGGGTGGGACTCTCCGCAGCAAATGCACAGCCTGGGAGGCGCCTTCTGAGCAAATCATCACCAAAGCCCGCATCCCAAAACAACACCGCCAATCAAGACTATGGACCTTACCAGCCAGAATATGGTGCTAATGTTCCCTCTGCAGGACAGAATGCCCATTTCAACTACAATTCTCAACAACTTAGCCAGGACTACTACTCGACCCCAAACCACGATCAGGGCCAGCTCCTAGCGTTCGATGCGGCTACTAGCAGTGGGCTGGCTGGATTCGAGTACAACGATTCATACGCTGTAAATCCACAGGACTTTGTTCTCCCATACATGAACAACAACCACAACTCTTTCAGCAGTGGAGGAGGTAGCGGTTACGGTCATGGTTCTGCTTCAGCAATCGACTCAGGATACAGTCAGCACAGCAGTGGAGGAGGTAGTGGTTACTGCCAAGGCACAGAATACGACCCGAACTTGGGAACATACCCGCCTGTGGAGGACACATTGTCTCTGCTGCAACTGAATTACAGCAGCCAAGCATCCCCGATGCAAGGTTCGGACTTGAGTCCTTTCTACCCACAGTCTGAGAGTTACGCTGGGGGCCAGGGTCATTTATTCGGGTCGAGTTCGGCCGTACCTGGGAAGATGGGAGCTCCAGCTCAGTATGTACCATTGCCTTCGCAGTGGTTAAACACCTTCGGCACCGGGGAAGCGAACGGCCGATCAGGTTCACGTTCGGTGGCTCCAGATGTGGGCAGTGCCACTGGCTTCATGGAATCAACAACGACAACCGCACTCACTTCGCCTAGTCAAAGTAGTGCAACCTTTCAGCAGACGAGAGCGGCGGCGGCGAACTTCAGTACTCCCGGGTCGCCATTGCCGTGGCTGAACCGCCAGTGGCTACCACGGTCTCTGCTGCTGGATCGTGGGACCATCACTGGGTCGAAACCGATAAAGGCGGACGTTTGAGACCATACGCACCTCTTCCTGTCGATGGAAAAGGAGGCTATTATTATATATGTGCCGCGTGCGGTGAACGCAAGGTACGATATGAATTTCGACGGAGTTGAAAAAACATGAACGACATTTTACCGACGTGCTTTGAATGCAGGTCTGAGAATAACTTCACTGGTGAGATGCGGATATGCGTGGGTAAAGGCAGAAGCAAAGAGAAAACCTATTGTGGAAGGATACTCCCTAAAGATCCGCATTTTTGGGATGATCGTGGCCAGAAATACGTTGACATCGATGAGGAATGTAGAGAGAAAGGGAAATTCAAACGGAATTCTAAACGAGCCGCACTCCGTGAGTAGGAGGAAGTGGAGGAGGATAATAACGCTACATCTGCACCTCACAAGAGACAGAAGACCGATGACAAAAAGAACAAGAAGGACGGAAGGAAGGGGGGAGAAGACGAAGCAATTGAATCGGCACCTGGGAGTTATGAGCCACCACCTTAAAGTATAGAGGGTAGAGAAAAGGGAAGCTAGCTAGATTAGTAATGATGTTATTTGATTTTTTGGTTTACGTATGGAGTTATCGGCTGAAGGTCGAGGCACGGCGCCCCGGCCCCTGACAAGCAATTCTACCATACCAGATGTACGTGCAACTTTACAAGAGCGACGTTCTGCTCGGGTCTCTTAGCCCTACGTAGAGGTCGAAACTGGGTGTTCCTCCGGGAAATGAACAGTGGCAACGGTCAAATGTATCACAGGAAGACGACGTGAAGGTGACCGTAGCATATGGGTATAATTCGCCCATCAAAAGGCCGCCTCATCAACGTAAAGCTATCAACAAGCATGTATGTGCCAAACTCATCTCGGGTCAGAAATATTCATCGCAACAGAAAATGCATAGGGGTATGATGTCCCCAAAACACTCGAGAGTGTGCCGCAATCTCGAAATCGGGATTGCCCGTTGTCATCGTCATCGTTATTGCCAAAGCCATCGCGGTCGCAGTCGCTGTCCTGTCGCATTGTTATTCCCTTCGCCGATGCCAACGCCCCGCACGCATCATCCTGCAGCCCCCAGAATGGAACCCAATCGTCAAGCCCTCGTAATACGCCCAGGAGCCGATGCCACCAAATATCTCCAGCCACCCTACTGATGATGCGCTCTCAGCCGTCGGCCGCATCACCCAAGGTGGCTATGTCAAGCCATGTCGCACCTCGCGCCAACGAAACCGCAGGAGACTCCTTCGCACCATGTCCTGTCATCACGTTTCAGCAACCCATTCACCTTACACGCAGAGCCGATGACCCAGAACCCCATGATGGCGATGCAAGTATCACCGGACGACGCCAACCCTACCTTCCGCTATGCATCTCCTCTTGAACACGTTGCCAGGGCTCTCAGATTCCCGGTCCTCGGAAAAGCTTGCATTAAAAACCTCTGAGAGAACCTCTCTTCTGCGCTTCGGCGACGTCGACTCCGGCGTAACCGGAAGCTCGTCCTCGTACGTATCCATAGAGACGCCATCGAAGTCGCCCACGATGTCTTTGCCCAGAGCTTTCCCCAGCCGCTCCTTGAGTCCGAGTACCGGCCAAACAGGAGCCTGGGAGTACTCAATCTTGATTTGCGTATCTCCTTTCGGCGCTTTATCAGGCTGGTCGAGCATGACCAGGAAAGCTGCAGGAACGGTCGCGGAATAGACGATGAATGAATGACCTTCCTCCGATATTGTCAATACGCAGGTCTTGACAGACTTGGGCGTAAAGCCCGCACCCATCATGACGTCGGTATACACCTGCTGTTGCGCCATGGCGATCATGACAGCAACGAAGTATTGATCCTCGTCGATGTTTCCGGGTATAAGATTCCTCGAACGGAGCTGCTGTAGACGATGGACTGGCCCGTTGAACGACCGATTTGGACCACTCAACACTCGGAAGCAATGCCTTCTGATGTGGTCAAGGTGGCTGCGACTGACATAGGCCAATATCGGCGTATCATTGGCAAGATTGACCGTCATGGAAGACATCAATTGGCTCGCGGATCTACTCGACGTCCAGGTAGTAGCCGAGTTGAAAGACATGGCGCTCGTGTCTGGCTGCTTCCATATTGCCTGACAGCGGACAGCTTTGGAGTAGGTGCGTTGGCCGAATCGTATGTCCAAATCGGGGCAAGCCTTTGTCGTGGACAGGTGATTGCGGAAAAATGTCGAGAGAATAGTTCGCAGCGCACGGGTCTTAGTCTGAACCGGCATCGACCCGTCAGTCGACATTAAGATATCCAAGCCTCTACCAATAGTGACCACGGTTTCCGGCGTCCTCTGCGACCTTCGAGGAGATGGTGTCGATGGCGGCATCAGGAACTTGTGCGCCGGCATTGGTAAGTTGTGCGCGGGAAGCTGTGTGAAGTTGCAGCCGAGTAGTCGCGTATGAAGATCGGTCCAGCAGATGGGCAAGACGAATAGTGATGTGCCCGAATGGTCGTGTAGAATGTCGAGGAAGGATCCGACTTCTGGTCTTATGTGCTTGCGGCGCATTCTCCTGCGCTTTGTTTCCGTAGTTGGCACCGTCGTCGCCTCCACCGCGGTCGTCGGTATCCTTTCAGCCTCCATCGTCCCGTTTGTGCGTGTCGCTGTGATGAATGTAGATGCGGAATAGCGAACAGCCTGTCAACTGGGGTGTCAGTATTAGACACGCAATGATCAAAAGTGCTGAAGGAGGTTGTCAGGCAGGCAGCTTACCTAGTGACGCTTGGCTATTGCTATACCGACTGCCAGTGGGTGGCGCACTATTGGAATGGCGGTATTGATATTCGACGGCTGCGATGCGATTGCGATGCGACGCGTCCAAAACACAGCAGAAACCTCAATAAATCTACGTAGTGTCATTAATAGAGTAAAAGGGCTGGAAAATATTGATAAGGCTTCGAGGCGCCCGGAGATATTGGCAGATACAAGTATGCGACACGATCTGAGACGAGAGGCGAGATCCAGGCCCGGCGGCTATGTGGCAGATGGGAGTGGTGGGCGCGGAGAGAGAGGGAGAGACGCGACTTGGAGGGGGATTTGGGGTTTGCCGCAGACGAAAAGGGCGGAAGGGGCCGCATTATTTGAATGCGGACTGCACCACCGTCGCGCGTGGGCATGTGACTCTACTTTGTGCCATGTACCGAGACTGCCCGTGGGCCGTGGCTCCATCTGCCAATCATGGCCGCTCCTTCCAGGCTGCAGCACTTCCTTTGGTCAGATCCAGACGCCGCCACACTCCACTACCTCGGGTCCACATGTTGGTGCCACATATGCTTTGCCACAAGAGTTGGCAGACCTGCCCAGACCTGGCACATCGAGATCCACATGCCAAGGGTTGGAATTACTGCATAAGTTGCTAGTGTGACAGAGTGAGCATTAATTTGTGCAGCTTTCATGCATTAATCCATCTACGAATGGGCCGACCGCCGGAGTTCATCCGCCAAAAGTGACGTCCCACTCTAACAGTGGGGACTTTGGATTCGAGACGTCAGCCTCACCAAGCCTTTAAGGTACCTCCGACCAGCCAGCCCCTCCAGTCCAGCATCGCTCAGGTAGCCAGCCAGAGTCCCCCTCCAACGAACCTCACGATACCATACGGCCACAACACCGCAGCACAAACCGAGCGCCACCGACTCTCACGGTGAGACCTCGACAAGATGCCGGTATGCATACTCCCTCATAACACACAATGCGCTACCAGGTGTACCAACCCAACACCAATTGACCTCCATTCCAAGCCAAGCTAACCAACCAACAAACATATTACTAACCTCCCCCTAGGCCTACAACTCCATGTTCAACGCCGACCCAGACGTCCCCCGTCTAATCGGCAACGTGCCTCTCCTGCCCCTCCGCACCAAGACGCGCGGGCCCGCCTACACGCTGCCCGCGCCCTCAATGCCCCTACCCCCCAACGAGTCGCCGGACCCAGACTCAGAGTCGTACGACATCCTGGACGAAGTCCTCTCCCTGTTCAGAGCCAACACGTTCTTCCGCAACTTCGAGATCCAGGGCCCCGCCGACCGCCTGCTGATCTACGGCATCCTGTTCGTCAGCGAAGTGCTGGGCAAGATCCGCCCGCACCACGGCGTGCGCGACGCCCAGAAGGAGGTGCTGAATGTGGCGCTGGATAACAACTTTAGTATCCCTGGCGACCCGGGGTTTCCGTTGAATCAGGTATGTCTTTGACGTGGAGACTGGGGCGGGCGGAAGGGGTCTATGTAGAGGGGGCTGTGGGCGTTGGTGTTGCTTCGGGAAGAATGAAGACAGGGGACGTATAGAAGGAGGAATGCTGACACACCCACATAGATGTACGAGGCCCCGCGCGACAGACAAGACGCCGAGCAACTGCGCCAGTACCTATCGCAGGTGCGACAAGAGCTCGCGAGCCGGTTACTAGCGAGGGTCTACGAGGAAGGCGGCGACGGGAAGCCGAGCAAGTGGTGGTTGAGTTTCACAAAGAGGAAGTTCATGGGCAAGGCATTGTAGAGGAACAGTCACGAACTGATGAACTGTGATGGATGACCAGAGAGTGGTACAAACTTCATAATGAGCTTGGAATTCAATGCATGATAGCAATGCTTCTTCGTTCAGGGGGGTATACCACGTCTATATGACCATGTACCTGAGCTGATGCCCTGTCTCTTTTACGATCCAGTGCCATCTTGTCCAACTTGGTCTACTTCCTCAGCCTTCCGCTTCTTCGGTCGCGCCTTACCTCTGGCCTCGACCTTGCCCTCAGCCGGCTTCACTCTCCAGGCCGTAAATACATATCCCTCGGCCCCTCCCCTGCTGGTCATGACCGGATGTGTCCGTCCGGGCAAAACCTGCCACTTCCTCACGCGACTCGTCTGTATAGACGCCCCCAGCACAAGCGAAGGATTCAACGGGAACTCGTCTGTTCCAGCCCACTGCTCCAACTCCTCGATGCTCTTGCCTATTGCCTCCTCAGGCGGATGCGCCACCCACGCCGCGCGGCGTGCTACACTATAGCAGTCTGCCAGCTTGGTCAACGGCTCGACTGACGGCGAGTAGATGGCGATGGGCGCACCACCAGCCAGCAGGGGCACCGTATGGCGCATGATAGAGACGGGGTCCATGGAGCTTGCGACCACGAGCCCCGAGAACTCGCCTTGACGCGTGCTGTCGATGGTGTGGCGGACCTTGGCCCAGCGGCGGCGCTTGCGGTGGTACGTCCCCCGCTTGGTGCCCTTCCACGTTTTCAGCTCGTCTGGCGTTGCCGTGGGAAGCTCGGAGTTGTAGGTGCTATCGAGTTGGGGTTCCAGGAGCTGGAGCCATGATAGCGTCATCAAGTGCTTCGCTAGGGGATGTGTCTGCCCCTGTGACGGGTTCGTAATGTCGAAGTCGTAGTACCGCAATGTACTCAGGTTGGGCTGCGAGTTGGCGTGGATCAGTGTCAGTGTGTTGGTTTGCGAGAATGGCACGTGTAGGTCGTTCCATCGTTGTCTTCCCTCCCCGTTATATTGTTTCTTATTTGTCTCGGGTGACTGAGGCCTTGTTGGGTCTTGGTCTTCAATCTCGACCTTGATTTCCGACTCGACTTGCCCGACAGCAGGTTTTATAGCAGGATCAGATTGTCCATCCGTAGCAGCGGTGGGCTGACTGCCAGGCTCATGTGGACGCTGTTTTGATAACCTTGCTTTCCGTTGCGCTTCGATCGCCTTGTCTTTCTCAGATTGGTAGAGCACTCCCATCCTTTCTGCCATAGCTGCGACTAGCAGGCCACCCGTATCGTCCACTACAAGCCAGCGTCCGGTCGACTGTTCCGGTTCTTGCTCTTCTTGGTCTTGGCCGTGCTCTTGTTCGACTTCATCCTGGCCCCCCGTCGTGAGTACGTCCGTTTTGCAACGCTCCTCCCCACCAAAGTGCACATTCGCCCAGCAGCCCAACAGCCCTATCATCTCCTCCCGCATGTCCATGACCCTCGTCGGGTCCTTTTCCTCGACGAGCCAGTGGTCGAGCAGCGCCACGTCCAGCGGCAGCACGGAGAACCGCCGGATATACTTTTTCGTCTTCAGCAGCTTGTACTTGGCCAGCGAGTACTGTGTCTTCTGCTCGATGGCCGTATGCGACAGCATAAGTTTGGCGATGAGGTCCTTGCCCGAATCCGTCCCATCCTTCTTCAGCTCCTCGATCTCCTCCATGGTCAACGTCTGGCGCGCGGACGCATCGAGCTCGGCGCGGTTGGTGGTAGCGACTACGGCGCCGGAGTCGGGGTCCACGAGCGAGTACTCGATCCCCGTGGGCACTGCGTTCTCTGCATCTTCGCTTACCGGGGTGGCTTCTCCGGTGGAGCTCGAAACCTCGCCCGAGGACAGGATGTCGCTGTAGAGCTCGGAGGCGGGCACGATGCGCAGACGGTTGAAGGTCTCGGGGGCTTGCTTGTCTTGCAGCTCGTACGTGAGGTGGTAGGGTCGGTGGATGATCAGGTTACTTGGGAAAGATCCGTATTTGCCCAGCGAGATGGTGCTAGGCGCGGGTGTCAGTGAAGGCGAGAGAGAGGGTGTGGTATTGTGGCAGAGGGACACACGTGTTTGGTGCTATCTCGAGCACTCTGAGGTTTCCTGCTGGCATCTTGAGCGCAACCCAAGCATTGGGCTCGACCAGCGAGTGCATTGCGACATGTGCTACGGATGTCAAGCTGGTGATGAGTCCCGTCGCGTCGTATTATACTGGCAATGGGAGGCAGATGCAGATTTTTGGGTGGTGCATCTGAATTGGATCTCGAGCTTCCCCACCATGCGCTAAGGAAATCGGAATCCCCGCCAAAGCTGCTCGGGTGGGGCCGAAGCTCTCGGAGCTTCAGATTACCCCTTTAAGGTTAGGAAGGTTGGTCTCTCCCCGGAATCGAAGGTCGCGCAGGCCGCTTTCTTGCTGGCCTTGCCGTGATGCATGTTTCTAACCAAGCTTCTGATGCCAGTGGTGTTGCTTGTTCTACAACTCTAGATTATCATGGTATGGCTCTTCCCTGCCCCTATTACCCATTGCTTCCCCCGGCACTATAACTTTGCGTAGATGTAGGTATCGGAGCCGCAGACTTACACGGCCGTCTACTTCTACTGCACGACATGAGCTCACCGTATGGGCACTCATCACAGGAGTCTTGCTTATATAGTATATTGCATGCTACGAATGACGTGTAGTATTAATCGCTATCAAGACCGCTGCTGAAATACCTTCAAGATGTCAAACCCAATAAACAGACGCTCGGCGGCGCACCAAACGCAACCATTGCCCACGGGCACCACCTCATGCCACCCTTTTCTCCCGCATCAAGTCTGCGGATGTTCAACTCAGCCAGTGCCACTCTGGACTTGGGGCATTGACACTGTGTTTGACTCTGAATCTGCGCTTGACTCTGAACCTGTGTGTCCCTCTGAACCTGCGTCTCCCTCCGGACCTGCGTCTGACTCTGAACCTGTTTGTGAATTTGCCCTGGCCACTGGTGGAAGTACGGGCACTGGTGGAGGGACAGGAGCCGGGTCGGTGATGCGGTAGTATGTGCGGAGCTTGGGGTCGAGATACCCCAGTTCGTCTATCCCGACGTCGATTTCAACGTCGAGCTGTAACTTGTCGGTAATGACTTTTTTGATCCCTCTGCGCAGTTTAACGCTCCAGGCGTGGCGTGTCATCGGGGTGTCCCCCTCTGAGAACCCCGACATTGAACTGAAGCTTGTAGGCTCTTCGCGGATAGGGCGAAAACCGAACTGGTCTCGTGATATAAACAGCAACTCTTGGCAGTGTTTGAAGCATGGTCGCTGACGGTCTGAGCAATCGAAATAGGCATGGTGCCGTGTAACCGACCTGACAGTAAGTACCACCCGTCGAAGGGAGGTCATTTTTTGGAATGTGCGTTTGCGGAAGAACTCGTTGATCACATCACCGTATTCTCCGTGTTCAATCGAGACCTCTGCGCCCACGGTGTGACGTTTCAACAAGGCGTTGCCGTTGCCAATGGCTATGTTCTGCAGGCGTCCCATGAATGATTGTGTTCTTGGAAAAGACCGAAATCCTTGGAGACGGCCATGGCAGAAATAGGAAAGTGGAAAGTAAAACACGTCAACGTCCGGGTTAGCGAAGAAGAAAGTATAATCTTCTGTCGCGGGTCTTTCCGACGTGAAAAGGAGGACAGAGCTAGAACAGAAGATGACACTGTGGGTCCCGTTGTGTTCTCCGAAGGCGATTTGCTCTCTACCTGCTCTCAGTACTTCCCACCTTGCTCTCTGTTGACTTGCATGACGGATCTAGTCGTCGTTGAAGTGGTGGGAGGTATCAATGAAAAGAGAGATGTGACCTGATGCCCAGCCGTTCGGTACACAACGTGCAACAATGGCCCTGTGGGTAGATCAAAACAATTCCAGACCATACAACGAAACTCTGGTGGGAGCTGCGGAAAACGCGGAAACAACGGCGGATTGGACGTGTTGGGGTGTTGATCCGCCACGACGCCGGAATTGGTAACGTGCTTCTGATAAGTACGAGAACCGGTAGTTGTAATTGATACTTGGCGGCGTATGGAGACGAGGGATCGGCCTCCGATGAAGTACGGCAGAGTATGGCTCTTATGGATGCTGTCGTGCAGGTATCTGATAAGTGTGAGGACCGATGGCTGGAGTATGGTGCTTTGCAGGAGATGAGGAATCAGCTCGCAGCCGTTTGGGATCGGGTATGGCTCTTATGGATAGTGTCGTGTAGGTAGTATCTGATAAGTGTGAAGATGTGAGGAATCAGGGTCGGGTGGGAGTTGATGTTTTGCAAAGAGACGAGGGATCGGCTCTCAGCCGAACAGGACCGGGTATGGCTCTCATGGTCACTCCTGCTTTTCTCTTCCCATCCTTTCCCCCCCTGTTCCTTCCGTTGTCCTTGTCTTGGAATTCGTTCGTGGCAGGTAGAGTCGCACGTCGCGGAAGTACTGTACTGTACCTGCCGGTAAGCCTCGCGCACCTGCACGAAAGGTTCATCTCGGCTCGAACAGAACAGCACTTCGTGAAGCGTTCTTGCAATCTGAAGATTAGAGTCAGCTCGGAGAACTTGATTGGGGGTTCTTGTGACGTTGAAATTTGAGTCAGCTCAGAACACTTGGCTCAGGGGTTCTCCACTGACTTCCTCCTACCTTGTTACAACGATACGTCACTCCAGGGTGGGACTATGCCAGAAGAGAGGAGACAACAAACTGAGTTACCCGAAAAAGTAGAGTTGAGCAATCAGTGAAGAGTACAGAAAATGAAGTAAATAAACCTATCGTCTATGGATATCAACCGAACGCCTACCACCATGATCAGCCATGCCACTGAACGCCGAGCACGCAGGGGGTAGTCCGCCATACTGAATGCAGAGTAACAAATGAAAAACCCAAGACTGTTGTGTCCTGAGGGTAGTGAAGGTGCAGTTGCACTTATGCCATGAGGAGTTCCTCAGATCTATTCGCCATTAGGCTTGCCTTTACCACTGGGCTTCTGCTCCCGTCTAGCAACGTCGTTGCTGGGCATGCGTCCAAACTGCCACTCCGGCAGCGTGATGCCAGTCTGGTCCTGGATCGTGGACATCAAGGGCGGCAGAAGCTGGTAGACGTTCCGCATGGTAGCGGCGCTGTCCTGAACCGAGCCGCTTCCACTACCCCCGGCTCCCGACCCGGCCTCGGAACCGGTGTTCCAGACGCTGATCTTGGGTTGCATGCCGCTGACGGCCGTGGCGTTGGCCTTAGCAAGCTCTACGAACGTGCCCTTCTCGATCATCATGTACTGCAAGAGACCGGCTGGGCCGCCGAAGGCGTGGCTCATCTTGTGATACGCTTCGGCCATAGCTGCCATACCCTCGGCCTCCTTTAACTTCTTCTGCAGGTTGGCATCAGCATTCTGGATCGCGGCGTGGCTCCAGGCGTCGGCATCTGCCTTCGTTTTATAGGCGGTAGCGTCCGTGTTCTTCGTGACACGCTGGTAGTCGGCCAACGCCTGCGTCTCGATGTCGAGCTTGGTCTTGTATGCCCTTGCTTTTGCATCGGCCTCTAACGCGTATGCACTGGCGTCTGCGGCCTGCTGTTTCGATTCGCGCGCGATGGTGGCCTTGACGACGTCGTCGGCACGCAGACGCTCGAGCTCGGCTCCGGCGCGCTTGACTTGGACCTCCTTCTTCAGGTCTTCGTCTTTGGACTCGGTTGCACGCTGCGCCTGGATGCGAGCAATTGACACGTCACGGTCAAGCACTGTCTTTTGTGTCGACAGGTTAGCTTCAGCTGTGGCGCGCTCGACGTCTCGGTCAGTCTTCTGCACGGCGGTCTCTGCATTACTGTCCAACAATTAGCTAGAAGTCATGATAGGCAGTCGAAACGCTTTGCTATCATGCGAATCAATCTGCGAACCGCTCGACAGGCGAAGGACTTACATCTTGGCAATCTGTCGCTCTTGCTGGCCGTGTCTGTCGGCCTCCCCGACGTTTCCCCGAAGTTGCGCGTCTGCCACGTCGATTCGAGCTTGATTCGTCGCACCCTCGTGGGCCTTCTGAGAGAGCGACTGGAAGTAGGTGGAGCCGGGAGCATCCTTGAGCTCCTTGACGTTTGCGTTGTAGATGCGGAGGCCGAACTGGTCCAGCTCACTCTGGATGTTCCGGAAGATACGGCGCTTGAACTCCTCTCTCTCGGTGAAGATCTCCTCCATGGTCATGCTGGAGATCAAGACTCGAGTCTCGCCCTCGATGATACCTTTGACGATGTTTTCGAGATGATGTGGACCCTTCTTCTGGTTCATGGAGTCGGCTAGTAGCATAGCATACTTCATCAGGGCGTCTCCGCGGTCTTCGTCGTTGATGTGGCTCGCTGCCTCTTGGTGAGCAGCATGCTGTCCGTGCTCAAGGGCATGCGGACTTGCGACCTTCGAGTTGGCTCCCCGAGAATTGACATCACTATGGTATCGTCAGCTACCAACTCTCTCGCCTCGAATAACCGCCCAGGCCAGGTGCTCATGCCAGCCATTGCCTCCTGCCCACCGCTGGCGAAGAAGAGTGACTTACGGGCCAATGGTGAAGACGACAGGCAAGAGAAATTGCAGCTTCTCCTTGGTCATTGCTATATTTAAAGTACCTAGTCAGCACTTGTGCGACCCATTGTTTTCGTTACTTACCCTGAAGGTCGATGGCATAGTCATGTGGTCGGACGGAAAACCGAGTGCATCTCTGGAAGGGCCAAACCCAAGCGGCTTTGGTAATGAGCACATTCTTGACGTGCATGCCAGTAATGGCAAGGTACTCATCCGGAGCTGCGATTCTGTACGACATGATAAAGGTTATGATAGTGAAAGCGATAGTGAGTGTGTGATTGATCGAGTCGGTTACCCGCGACTTGTTGGCGGCCGCTGAAGATTGATAAGGAAGACTGGAGTGCGTGGTGGGAGGCTGGGGGAGAGGGGATGCGTTGTACGACAGAGGGAAACAATATCTTTAAATATGCAGTAGCTCCTTACTGTGATAAGGTACGGAACGAAACTGTGACAGCGACGGGAGGAAGGATATCCTTAAGGCTTAAGGTTTGCTGGAACAAGCGCGGGAATGGGGGGATTGGTTGGGGAGGGGCTATGCAGAGCTTCAAAGGACTCAGGTAAGCCTTGCTAGGTACCTATACCTACTCGCCCCGAGGCCATAAAGCTGGACTGAAACAAAGCAGTAACTGCCGAGGATGGAGTGGTGCATACGATGAATACGATACCGTGACCGTGGACTACCTATGTGGTAGGTAGACTTTACGCCGTCTTACCTGTGGCCATATGCGGCTGGGACGCATGCTGCCCAAAAGGTGACCGATCATGTCAGACTCCAGGGGAGCTGTTTGCCCCTCTATTCGACTCATCAGCATTGGATTCCGGTTCCTTCAATGTTTGTTGCTTCCAGTTACTCAGCCTCGCATACCTAAAGTACTGTAGGTGTCCGGTTTAGGTGCTGTTGGATTGAAACCTGAGAGTCAGATATCACATGTGGAGGACTGGAATGCAGTGGGCAAGGCGTACGGCGTACCGGCCCGCCTATGGAGTGGAGTGGCTTGGGTGGCTGAGGCTTAGTCAAAGCTCAGTTTCAGTGGATAATATACTGTGCCTTTGTGGTAGCGGAACCAGAACAGAGATCTATCACAAGTCTTGGTTGGGATGATCTGTATTCTGGTTGGTGCTTGGTTAAGTTCGGATGGGAAGGGATCCCATCCGAGAAGTATCTAAATACCTAAATTACAGTGGGTTGGTTCCTGTCACCTGGGGCAGCCATCCCAAGTAACCTTATCGTAGAACGCCCTGGATGACAGGAGATCCGATAAGGTACTGGTGGCTGGATCCAGTGGCTGGGATCCACAATACGCTGTGAGTAAATAACCGATTGCAGGAACAAGGAAACTGGGATGTAGCGTGCTTGATTCTACTAAATGTATCTATAACAAAAGCTAATATATATATAATAGCTACGCTATAATCAGCTACTAGGGCTGATACCTACCCACTACTTAGTCATCCTTGCTTAAATTAATAGTAACAGCGAAATATTACCGTCCCAATATGATATATCTACCGGTTATTTTTAAAAATTTCCGTTCTTTTTGAAATTTACGTTTATTCTTCAAATAATAGTAAAAAAAGTACATTACAATTTATCCTTATACTATATAACCTAGCGTAGTTTTACCGAATTTAAACTTAAGTATTTATTTTATATAGTAACAATAGTATATAAAACCGTTGTAGGAATAGGCTTGAACGATCAATCATAATACTCGAGTATTGGGTCAAGGTTATGATGTTGCTTATGGTTGGATTGGGAAGTCTAGCTAGACCTGCAGGTCTGGCTAAGTAACCTCACAATCCGGTATCTAATCTCTTATCTAATCATACATGTGGGTTCTGTATGGATGGTTTGACTGTGGAATCACATGGATCCAACAACCGTTATATTTTTCGATATCAAAACGAATATTTATAGTGTAATGGTGTTATAAGTCGTAAAAAAAAATCCCCTCCAAAAAAAGAAGCCGACATATCAATATTTATATTAATAAGTGTGAGATTCTGAAGGGTCACAAGCCTTGTGGGTGTGAGCAGTTGCTGCAAACGTTGTTGTCATTCTCAAGTATGCTTGGCAGGGCTAATCTACAGCTAAATACTATACTGCACCATGCCAGGGTAGATCCACTGTTCCCTTGACAGCCCCCTAGTGGGTACTGCACCTAAAGGCACCATATCTGGGATCCAACATCTGACATGCCCTCTTGCCCGAAAGGTGCGACTGCACTCTGAAATCAGCAAAATCACGGTCTATCTATCTATCTGGGATCACAGTAGGCGTGTTATAGCACTCCAAGCCAACAATCTAGTGATCTATCTGTCTATCTACTCGAAGTCCTCCAGGCCTAATAGCCGTACAAACTCCCTGTGGTTTGCCCCTAAGAGCGCCTTGGTGAATCCATCAGCTGGATTTTCCTCGCTCTTGATGTACTGGTCCTTGATATGGCCAGCATCAGCTTTCTAGCGAGCGTAATGGTATGCAATACAGATAGGCCCTTCTGTTTTGACATTTGCGATTCCTTTATCCACGTAATTGTGCTATTGTTATCTTCTAGCAATGTAATTGGCCCTTCTGGCATCAAGTTGAGCTCTGTGAAAAAGCTCCTAATCCATGCCGCATCTTCTACTGCCTCTGAGAGAGCGATGTATTCAGCCTTAGAGGTGTTCTTTGCTACCACTGTCTGCAGCTTTGAATGCCACAGGATAGGAGCGCCGGAGAAGAAGAAAACAAAGCTTATAATTGATCTGCCAGTATCTGGACAGGTCCCAAAGCTTGAATCCACGGCTCTATAGAGCCCCAGCTTGTTAAAATAGCGATAGGGATGATCCTTTGCCAATCGCCTATATCGTATGGCTCTCTTCCGGGTCCAGTTCATGTATTTGGCAACCCTCTTGAGGCCCTGATGATGGCTAAGAGACGGGTTGTTCATGAATCGTGCCCAGGTGGAAGCCGCAAAAGCGAGGTCAGGGCGCGCAATACATCCTGGAAAGATAAACTGGCCAATGGCTGAGGCGTAATTATGGATTTCGTCTGCAGAGGCCTTTCCAATGTGCTTTGTGGCTTCTTTAGCCATTGTGGGATCAAGAGGAGAGATCATAGGGTTGGTGTGCTGTACACCCAGCTTTTCTACGACCTTTGAAACATACTGTTCTTGATCAAGCCTCACATCGCCATCATCAGCGTTCCTGACAATCCGAACGCCTAGGAACCAGTCTGCGGCTCCTTTGCATGTGATCAGCACGTCCTCCTTGATGGACATGGTGAGGTCTTTAAGACGCCGAAGATCAAATCCAAAAAGGAGGAAGTCGTCCACATACGAGGCGATCACCTCGCCTATAGCACTGTTGAAGTAGATCGCATCATCTGATATAAGAGGTTCAAATCCGCGCTTGCTAAGCAGTTTGCGTACCTTCTTCTGCCACATTGCGCCTGACTGTTTGAGGCCATATAGTGGTCTTAATAACTCAATGACCTTCTCAAGAGCATAGCAATACAGCCTGGCCTGATCAGGATGGGCCTGGAAACACTCATACAGCATAGGGAACTGCTTCATAAAGATGCGTTCCTGAAGTTCACCGTTCAGACATGCGGCAATGAAGTCAATCTGAATAATGTGCCATCTTAGTGAAGCTATAAGCGCCATTAGTATCTTCTATGATGATGAACGGGCTGTAGAAGCCGCGGTTTCATTGTAGTCAATACCCTTGCGCTGGATGAATTCCTTTGCACAGATCCTGCCCTTGAACTTGTCGAGTTCACCAGTAGATAGGTACTTCTTCTTCAGTACCCATTTTATGTCGATTAGATGGCCTGTGATAGTCTTGCTGGTGCACTTAAAGCCGAAGGTGCCGCGCTCAAGGTTCTCTCTGATCTCATTGAAGATAGCTGCAATCCATAGCTCTCTTTCTGGTCTATTCATGGCTTCTTTGAAGGTAGGGTTTGTAACTGTCATTGCCTCTATCAGCCTGTAGCTAGGTGATAGCATCCTCATATGATACATAGCTGCGCTGTGATCACCAGGGCCGTCCTGATCAGGGTCAAATAGGCACTCTCGCTCGTCTTTAAGGAGCTCCTTCATAATCTGAGTGTTCATCTGATCCATGGTGGTGGCTGTATCGTGGAACATTGCCGCTGTAGCGCGCTCCCTTGCAAAGTACGCATTGTAATCAAACATTTCAGGATTGAAATAGCCGTTAGAGTCGTCCTGATCAGAGTCAGAAGCAGCTACTGAGCCGCCTTCTTTGCCATTTTTGCCGTCTTGGATTGAGAGCATCTTCAGGACGCTCTTGATCTCGTCAGAGTCAGGGAAGTCCACACACAGGTGATACACGTTGTGATGCTTCTTCTTTGGGCGCCCACGCTTGCGCTTCACGGTGCCCTTGTCATCTGTAATGTCTTCTTCAACAATATTGAGATCACGGTTCTTGATCCCAATTGCTGGTTTTCCCTTCTTCCTGAGCCTCAGTCGCTTCTTCGCGGCTGGGGGCAGAGACCTGATGATATCACGAGGATCTGGGGGATCATCATGTTCGACGTGCTCAAGGAAACGAACATGCGGTATTGTCAGATAATGGCCGCCTTCCATCAGCCAGACCTTGTAGTTCTGTGTGCCTTGGTAATCAAGAAAGATAACCTTAGCTCCTTTTGCTTCGAGCTTTTCAGAGGCAATACGAATGTTCTTGGCAATCAGGGCAAAACATCGTGATCCCGGGATCATGAACTGGTCTGCAGAGACTGAGTACTTATGGAGGGAGTCTATCCCACTCATGTATTCCTTGTACGGAGTGCAATCCTTCAGAGTTGATTAGCCTGTTCGATTCAGGATAGTGATCGTACAGGATGTTGTGCTATCCCAGAAGCAGCTTAGGATATTCATTTAAAGGCCAGTTGCGCAAGCCTCCTTTATGCAGAACTGGATGCTGCGCTCAGAAACACTGTTCTGGTACTGGTTATTTGGTGAAGAGATGATCAGTTGAATCTCATCTTCTCTGTAGCGTGCTTCAAGGCGTGAAATGCCCATTTTGCGCCCTTTATCTGCGTAGATGATTCTCATGCGGCGAGCCTGGCCGTCAATAGGTGGCATTGCCATGAGCGCAATATTTGTCTTGGTGATATATTCCTCAAGGTGATTAGCGACACCATGCTTTGTTGGATGGAATGCAGGCTCGCGATAGCGACTTTTGTTATCTATGATGATGTTGAATACTACGTTCCCTTTCATTGAAATTGGCGTACAG